TTACACTATTTTGCCTATACCGTTTTTATAGGACTTCGAATTTGTCTTATGGTTTGGATTGTTCGTACTTGGTTTTATTTTATTTATACAATAAAAACATTTGGCAAGTTTTATGCAATGCGTCTATTCAGAGTAACATACCAACTTGACGTTTCTTTTGCTTCTTAGTATATAATAAATAATTATAAAAGACCGTTGTTAGCAAAGTGAACTCCTCAAGCGAACATACTGTCATCAGAATACATAATTTTTTAACTACTTACCTAGTGGGCCGGACTGATAACAAATAGTGTTTTTTTCTTACCAGCAAAAGATACCAGAAATGAATGGCTAATGTTTATAAGGTAAAGGCAAAAGTAATTGCTATAAAACATATAAACACCCTGTTTGCTTTTCTTACCTTTCAGAGCAAATATCATAAAAAAAATGTCCAGCCGCCGCGGCGCTTTTAAGACCCTACGTCTCACTTGTACTTAGTGATAATGGGGTACGGTTGTAGCTACAAAAGAGGTGCCTACCACAGCGATATTTTTTTTTTTTGGGGGGGGGGGGGGAGGGGGGCTGTAACTCTAGATATGTAGTAGTATATTATTTCTAAAGACATCCACCAGGTAGCATGGAAAATTAAGATTTATCAATTTGAAATCCACATTAAACCAGAACGAACCGATATGAGCACATCACACCAGTGCTGAAAGATTTACACTGGCTTCCTATCCATCAACGCATTAATTACAAAATACTTTTAATAACTTACAAATGTTTACAGCCAAACACAACCTCTGCTACCTACCTTCAGAATCTACTTCACATAAAAAATCACAAAGAGAAACCCGTTCTTCAAATAAAATTCAATTAGAAATTGAAACTGCTCATAAACTGTTGAACACGCTATCATCATATATAAAAGATGCCAAATCGCTGTGTACATTCAAATCCTTGCTAAAAAAACACACCTATTTATGTGACAGACTAACTCAGCGCCAGTGAGTAAACAAATCCATTATTATTATTATTTATTATTATTTATATAACATGTCTTTCAGTCTACTGAACTCCCACCAAACTCTCCTAAAAAAGATACATGGTATCTGATCTTTAAAGAATCCAATGCGTGTCTGCTCTTCGGTCTCTGGTTTGGACCTTTTTTATAGGGCCCACTAAGGAAAATGGCATTGAGAGTCAATGAGAGATGTCATGCTCAGATCTTACTTAGATATCTGCTATTAATTATTCAATTGATCAAATAAATGTAATTAATTATGTGATTAATTACTTATGCCTAAGGATGTAATTAGTGATAAACCCGCGATATTCTGACAATGAAAAAGACAAATGACAGGTGTGTTTATTAAATTATATCTTATGACTGTTGGTGTCAGGCCCGTAGCCAGCTTGCTAGCTTCGGAGGGGCAGTGAATTTTTTAGGGGGGGGGGGCACAGTCTACAGTAGGTATTTTAGAGCTATGATCGGCAATTTATTTTTCGGGGGGGGGGGCAAAACATTTTTTCGGGGGGGCATTGACCCCCCCCCCCGGCCCCCCTCTGGCTATGGGCCTGGTTGGTGTATTTATATCTAACTGGTTTATGTCCAAGCCATACAATTATTATACATCTCCCAATATTATAACACTGCTCTAATTCCCGGAATTTTAAAAGTATCAGGCAGATCTGCAGTAAATATTCGCTCTACCGTTACTATCAATGATAGGGGTTAAATATAGCTAAATCAATGGGACGTCAATATTAAATTTCAGGTCTATGCCCATACAATTCCAATACTAAATTTTTAATTATTTAAAGAAATCAATTAGACTATTAGATATATAGGACAGATCACCACAATAAATATTCGCTCTGTCGTTACTATCACTGATAGAGTTTATATATAGCTACGTTAATGAGGCGTTGTATTAAATTTCAGTTCTATGCCGTAAAACGTTTAAAATCACCTTCTTAATCATTTAACAGATTAATTATATTTCTAAAAGTGTAACCAGGGGCGTAAATGTGGGTGTGTGTGTGTGCCCCCCCCCCCCCAGGAAAAAAAATAGTCGGTCGCAAAATAAGAGCAGTCGGTATCAAAATAAGTCTCACTGCACACGTCACGCTACTCACGCAAAACTTTAGTATAAAATAACCTTGTCAACTTATCATGTTTGAAAAAATGATGGGTTTCACTCTTATTCTGTTGAGTATGTAGGTCTAAGAACAAAATTTCCCCCAGGGAGAAAAATAGTCGGTCTCAAAATAAGTGCAGTCACTCATGCATCGCCGTCTTAATGAATTAACGAGGTAAACAAATAATGCCAGAATAGATCCCAAATACTAGTCGGTCGCAAAATCAGTGCAGTCGGTCGTAAGATATGAGCAGTCGGTATCAAAATAAATGCTCACTGCACACGTCACTCTAGCCTACTCACGCAAAACTTTAGTATAAAATAACCTTGTCGACTTATCATGTTTGAAAAAAATGTTTTTCACCCCATGGCAAAAAAATAGCCTTTCTCAAAAAAAAGTGCTCAGCGCAGTCGGTCTCAGACTAAATGAATTAATGGGGTGTTTTCTGACCATCAGAACTCTGCAAAATCCCTCCCCAAAGTCCAGGGCATTTCAGAGACCAAGTAAGCGCCCCATTGAGGTAAAGTGTCCTCAGGCTCAGTCCTCAAAAATTAAAAGCTCAGTTACATATCGGCGCTCAATTCCATTATGCCATCATTCTTCAACTCCTTCTCTGTCTTATACTATCTCATCACTATAATATTCACACTTACAGTGAATCGACCAGTTAGTAGTACCACTAGTGAGTGAGTCGTGGGTCAAAAGACTGTAGAATTGTTAGTCCTACCTCTCACAAAACAGGCGACATTGACAGATAGGCCTCAAGATTCTGTCTCATTTCTTATCCTCTCGTTAACAAGAATTTGGATCCATTTGCCATGACATTGACTAAAATTGTCAGGCCCAGTCCCAAAAATTAAAAGCTCGGTTACACATCTGAAATTTTTTCGTGGCTGCGGCGCTCGATTCCATTATAACATCATTCTTCCACTCCTCTGTTGTCTTATACTGTCTCAGCACTATCGTATTCACGGTTATACTGAATTGTCTAGTTATGTTAGTAGTACCACTGGCACTGGTGTGTGGGTCGTGGGGCGTCAGAATATACAAAAGTTTTGTCAACTCTTGCAAAACAGGCGGAATTGACAGGGGCAGATCTCGAGATTTTAGGCGTTTTTGTGAACCGATTAGATTAGACCGATTAGCTATTATACGCATTTGTGAACCAAGTTGATTATGCTAATCGTTACATTTGTGAGACGATTTAACTCAACTGATTAGGCAAATCGACCTAATCGTCCCAGGAGGTGTTTAGGCGATTAGATTTGACGTTTTCAAAATGGCGGAATGTTCGACATCGTAAGTAATTTTTAATGCTTATTGTTGTTTTTCTCCATAAAAAATGTTTTTTTAAAACACATTTGATGTGTTTAAAGTAGCTAAGTCTCTAACTCAATATCATCCAAAATCTTCAACATTGAAAACACGATTTATTTGTCAAATTATATCAACATTCATGTTGTGATCTTAACGGGAAAAGATGGGCTTTTGATATCCAATATTTAAGACAAAATAAACATTTTACCATTGGTACACCAATCGTGTACCATAATGCGCTTCAGACCCAGTTGTATCAAGAGACTCGAGGGACGAGGCTAGACCCATTGCACCAAATCAAACGGCGTATGTAAACTGGAATAACCAGACGTGACGCTAGAAATTTGCACTCGCTTGAGACTGCTGGCTTATTTCGCCGAACATAACGGATTTGAAATTGGAGTAAAAACGGAAACCATTGAATGTAAATCAGTTTATATACATTCATATTACAGTATTATATGCATTGCGACCCACATTTGTCAATTTCTAGGTCCCAAATGTTAGCGATTTAGCTCCTTTAATGTTAACTTTATAGTCCACAAGAATGTTAGATCACCTCTGGCTCTAAGCAATTTTAGGCCCTCTGGGTGCCAGCAGTGTCACTGTAATCTGTAGGTAACTTGGACTACACGTGAAACACACGCCCCCCTCGTGTTAGCAGAGACGATTTTTTTTCTGATCGGTGTCCGTGATGGCAGCCATCTTACCAAATCGTAATTATCAAATTTCACATTTGTGGACCATAGCTAATCAAATCGAAATCATACCAAATCGTACTAGCAAATCAAAACCTAATCTAATCGACTCACAAAAACGCCTTTTGTCTAATTGACTCACTTTAGAGTAACCAGTCCATTTAAGTATAGGAAAGTTGGTCGGGGTTTTCCAGAGCACAAACTTTCACAGAGGAAGAGTCTATAGACTTGGTTTACTGTTTTTACTTTCAGCGCATAAAAATAAATAATATAGCTTGCAATAGTTGCAATTGTCGGAATTATTTTACCTGCACTCTCGATCGCTGTAGTAGGCCTAACTTCCACTGTTTCACGGTATAAGGGCATGTTCCAAGTTCACCTAATAAGACATTCTCTTCAGGTATAATAATAATAATAATAATAATTAAATAATAATGATAAAACATAAGCGGTGAATATGTTATGTATCAAATTTTTAAAAAAGCTTATAAATTCCGCTAGCATATTTTTTTTTATTTTTTTTTTGCCCACAATGGAATGAAAGTCATGACTCAACTCAATGTATACAAACTCGCAATTTTTGGGTCAGATTCAGGCTTTTAGATTTATGTTTCTGGATCCGCTCCAGGCATTTGACAACTGACAATTTCCCGCAGAGCACATGGCGTATGTCGTCTTCGTTAGGCTAGTTGTTGTAGAATAGAGAGACATTTAACTCCGTTTCATTTCATTTTTATAAATCTGTCTGTGACATGGAGGATTAGTATTATGGTGGCAGAACCGTCCTGAAAGTACTGGAATGAGTTATTCGGGTAAAATATATACATATCCCAGCAGGGGGGCGTATTCCTTCTGTTTCCGGTTATATATTTCCGGTTGGAAAGCTGTCGACGTTTTATTTATTATGATTGTAATATTTAATTGAAAATCAAAATGATCCATAGCCTGTTTGTCATAAATAATACAGGGTATGTAAAACTAGTATTTCAAATTCATAATTTCTTAAAAAAAGAGAAAGAATGAGCTGTATGGATACATTTGTAATATGTAACAGGCATTGCCTGAGTAGAGCGAAGCTGATTATTGTCAAATATAAAACCTTCAAAATTAATTTTCTCAAGTGATACAAAAAATGTTAAATAATTTAGTTTTTCCAAATTGATTTTCATTTAGATCTAAATTGTATACATTAATTTTGTTTTTTAAAAAAGAACAAAAAAGTGTGAGAATTATTTTCATTGACGTCAAAAATATGTGACGTCATTGATTAGACGCGTCATAGAAATAGTTCTATGAGGCGCGTAATCTCGCTTGTGCGAGATTTGGTAAGTTGACATGCGCATTGCCTGTTTTGCCCAGTGTATCCGGTTCCGGTCTGAATTTTTTTTTAATCAACAGTCTGTGGGTGACAATTTCAGTCACGCTCCTGTGTTACCGGAAAAGAGCTTTGCTCAAGCACCGCGCTTCGCGCGATGCTGTAGAGCTTCGCTCTATATTACCACATCCATCCTGAGCATCATCGACTGTCAGCTTAGGTTTTAGTTTGTTCCTTCAGTGTTGTCTTGTGATCAGTATGCTCTTATTTACTTTTTTACTAGGTTTTCCTTTTCAGTTCATTATGTTAACAGTCTCCACTATTGGGTGTGTAAAAATGGGAGGGGTGGTAGAATAGACATTTGGTAAACTGCTTGATAATAGAAAAGCAAGAATTTAATTAATTTAATAGAAGCAGAAAAACTAGTTAAAGATACATTATGGGAGATTAGATAAGGAGCTGGCAGTTCTCACTATAATAGTTAAAAACTAGATAATGTAAAGGGAATTTGCTGAAAATTCAGTCAAATTGATCCACTCTGAACCGAAATTTTAGCGATTGAATTTTCGGCCTAGCCTCGATCATCATTACTAAAGTCAGCACGATAAAAAACATAGTCTAGATTATCCATTTCATGATTAAATCATGAATGGAAGTCGAACACCAAATCGGAACCTAATCCATTAAACATAGCAGACTAGCGATGACATTGAGAGTTGATTATGGTCTGGATAAGTTTATTAATGTCTAATTAATAATTTAGATAATATTTAAGGCCCAAATAAAGACCTGCAATAGGCAGATTTAGCTCTTGCATAATGTATTTTTAATTAAACAGCCCGCTTAGTAATCGTCCACCACTGTCGTAATAATGGCATCCCCAGTAAATGCCAATTATCTATATGTTCTTATATCTATTTTCAGGGATGTGTTTATGGAGAAACACTGGAAAAGTGTCATAAATAAATCTATTTGTGATTATTTCTTTGAGGCCCAAGGAAAGGTAAGTTAATGCCCAATATAAAATCGTCCGTTACAATAGTCCGAATCAGTATTGTTTTTGTGAACCTTACTCAGTAATTAAGCTAAAAGTTCTTGGAAGTAGATAATAAACATGTACATGTACTGTATTTAAAATGATATGACAAAGGTTATAGATTGAATTCAAGTATTAATGCAGTTCATTATAAAAAATTAATCTGTCAGTTCCGTTATTTCCTATTTAATCTTACCCCACAAACCCCACAGGGAAATATAAATGAAAAAATTAAAAATATTCTCCAGCTGTCTTACCCTGTTCCTTTGTGTGTGTGTGTGGGGGGGGGGAGTAGGGAGGCAAGTAACTGTAAACACGGGTAGGCTCTATTATGATTTTTGACCTAAATGAAAAAAAATTTGAACAAATAATAAAAGCCACTACTGACCATTGCGACTTTGTGTCTAAGAATGTATTGATTAGAAATACATGTAGCAGTAAGGCCATTAAATCCAGAAAGTACAAACATATTTTATGTGCTTATTCTAAAAAATGAAATGAAATGGGATTTAACATCCTACTGTTCTGCTCCTAAACTGGGCTAATGAAGACGGGCATACGCCATACAGTGTGCTATGGGGGAAATTTTGCTACGGCCTACTCTTATATCGAATTCCAACTGCCAAGGGACTAGACTAGACAGCTGTCCTTGTCGAACACCCGACCTCCAGGCTAGCGAGCCAGCGCCTTACCCACTTAGCCACGTGAACCCCTTATTCTAAAAAAGATATAACCTTTTCTAGATAGGGTTCATACAGCTACCCTATCTTTTATCCTGGTCAAGAAAATATAGTTACACTGTATTCTGCGTCATACAAATAGTTGTTATATTTAGAAACTTCCTTGTATTCTTTTTTTTCCAACCTCAGAAGACTGAGAATGATCTACATTTATGTACCAGGTTGTGCCTATTCCATAATTAGTTTATTGCATGTTTTATTTTTAGTCTTTGAGAGGCATTTAGCAATTGACTTATAATAGTAAAATTAGTATACTAGAATACTTATTAGTTATTTTATGTTATTTTTAGGCGTCCACTCCTGAAGATGTGTTTTATGTTAAAATTATATTTTTATTTTTAGGCGTCCTGTCCTGAAAATGTATTTTTGTTAAAATAAGTTTATTTTATGTTACTTTTAAGTGTCCTGTCCTGAAAATGTATTTTGTGTTAAAATTAGTTTACTGCTTACTGTATCTTACTTTTAAGTATCCTGTCCAGAAAATGTGTTTTGTGTTAAAATTAGTTTATTGTATGTTATTTTTAAGTGTCCTGTCCTGAAGATGTGTTTTATGTTAAGATTTTTTAATTTTATTTTTAGGCATCCTGTCCTGAAGATGTCTGCCCTGTTATTAATACTCCACATCATTATCTGATCAATATTTACAGAAACTCTCTGTATTTTGTTGCTGTTGTCACAACCGAAGGTAGGCAATGTTTGTTTTTAGGTACATGTATAGTCACCATTCACAATTATGAAATTTATGGACAATGTTTAGTTAGTTTTTTTTACAGATACTTTAATTTGGTCACCAAATCCTTGCAAAAATGAAATGAAGCGGGTTTTAATGAAATAGTCATATGCCCTGACAGCAAAGCTACACTCTTCCTCGGGGGATCACGTGGCTAAGTGGGTAAGACGCTGGCTCGCTAGTCTGGAGGTCGGGTGTTCGATCCCTGCATTGGCCGAGAAAGTTCATCCAGATTTTCTGGCGTGGTTCCCCCTTGTCAGTGATGCAGGGTGGAGGGTCTGACAAGGACAGCTGTCTAGTAGTTCGGATGAGACGAAAAACCGAGGTCCCGTGTACACATTGGCGCGCACGTAAAAGATCCCTTGACAGTTGGAATTTGATATAAGAGTAGGTCGTAGTTCCATTGTCCGGGCAAAATTTCCCTCATAGCACACTGTATGGCGTATGCCCGTCTTCATTAGCCCAGTTTAGGAGCAGAACAGTAGGACGTTAAACCCCATTTCATTTCATTACACTCTACTCAGGACAAAACTGGGGGGGATGACCTGGTGGTCAGAGTGTTGTGCTTCAAGCTCTAGCTGGGCGGTCACCTCTTGTGTGCGGTCATGGTTTCGATTCCTGGTGTGATTGTATATATCTTGGAAATAGGGACGCCTTCTCAACCTCTTGGGTTTACTCTGGGTACTCTGGTTTCTTCCCACAGGAAAGACCCCTGCGTGTGTGTTACACTAGGAACAACAGCACAAAGCTGCCATTGATCCTGTCATTGGTTTTCGTGGTAACATACATGTAGCTTATAATTTCTTCAGTTCCTCGCTTGTTCGTGCTGCAAGGGATTCTTCCACAGAATCTGATGATACCATATCCCTTTGATGTCAAATTTCAGTTCCTCCATTGTTTGTACTGAGTTCCTCCACAGAATCTGATAGCATACCCCATTCTTTCTAATTTCAGTTCCTCCATTGTTTGTACTGGAGGGGGGTTGGATGGCTGAATGGTTAGCGTGCGCGCTGTATCATAAAGCCTGTCATTGAGTCGACTGGCGTGGTTTCGAATCCCCGGTTGTACGTGACAAGGAGTAGGGTCGCCTGTCCAACCTCGTGGGTTTTCTCCGGGTCCTCCGGTTTCCTCCCACTGCTAAAGACCCCTACGCGCAAGCGAATTATTGAAATAAAATTAAACCATATGTAAGTCCCGAAATGACCTAGTTTGTGTCGAGTGGACATTAAACCCCATTTCTCTCTCTCTCTCTCTCTCTCTCTTGTACTGGAGTTCCTCCACAGAATCTGATAGCATACCCCATTCTTTCTAATTTCAGTTCCTCCATTGTTTGTACTGAGTTCCTCCACCGAATCTGATAACATACCCCATTCTTTCTAATTTCAGTTCCTCCATTGTTTGTACTGAGTTCCTCCACCGAATCTGATAACATACCCCATTCTTTCTTATTTCAGTTCCTCCATTGTTTGTACTGGAGTTCCTCCACAGAATCTGATAGCATACTCCATTCTTGCTAATTTCAATTCCTCCATTGTTTGTTCTGGAGTTCCTCCACCAAATCTGATACCATACCCCATTTTTTCTAATTTCAGTTCCTCCATTGTTTGTACTGGAGTTCCTCCACCGAATCTGATAGCATACTCCATTCTTGCTAATTTCAGTTCCTCCATTGTTTGTTCTGGAGTTCCTCCACCAAATATGATACCATACCCCATTTTTTCTAATTTCAGCTCCTCCATTGTTTGTACTGGAGTTCCTCCACCGAATCTGGTAACATACTCCATTCTTTCTAATTTCAGTTCCTCCATTGTTTGTACTGGAGTTCCTCCACCGAATCTGTGATACATTTGAAGATTATTTTAATGAATGTAATGAATCCATTTTAAAGGAGCATTATGTCATAGTTTATGAGGTGAGTTAAATTTTAATGTCATCCACATTACACAAGGCGGGGTATGCCTATTGATTGGGAATTACATTTAAAAGTCGAGAGCTGGACATTAAATAATTGGTGGATGCTGCACGAAGGCATTAGTATGAGTGTTATATTGTGTCAATGTATTACATCTTTAAACAAAGTCTGATACGGATCACTCTTTCACACATATGGATTTTTGGGGGGGGGGGGCGTGAATGGTTAATACAAGGTCTGTCATTGGGTCAGGTCTAACCCTCCCTCTCTCTCTAGAAGCCAAACAAATTCTAATGATTTCCGATGATAACTTAGTGTCTTACAAATGTTTTCATTACTGACAGAAGTAAAAAAATATGTGACAACCCTTATTGACAACTTTGCTGCGGTGGGCGTATGTTTGATTGCCTGGCAACCATTTTTTTTTTATTTTTTGTAGATATTAGATGAAATGTTGGATAATGGCTTCCCTCTTGCTGTAGAATCTAATGTACTAAAGGAATTGATTAAACCTCCAAACTTCCTTCGAACAATAACAGACACAGTTACAGGAAAATCTACTGGGTAAGCACATTTTATAATTCTTCATTAATTAAAGAAGCCAAATCCCTATTCTTTGGCACCTAGAAATGGATACAAATGGATAGCAACACGTATAATAATGTAATATGAATGCATATATATATATTGATTTACATTCAATCATTTCTGTTTTTACTGTAATTTCTAATCAGTATTGTTTGGCGAAATGTGCAAAGAGTCCAAATTGAATGGCAATCTTTGGCATTGGGTTATTCCAGTCTACACCAGTGGTTGGTGACACTTTAGATCAAAAGGCCTGTCATTGAGTCAAGTGGTGTGATTTTGACCCCAAGCTTGTACATGACAAGGAGTAGGGTCGTCTGCCCAATCACATGGTTTTTTCAAGTTTCCTTCCACGGCTTTGTACAAGTGAATTATTTCAATAAAATCGTTTCATGTCAGTGCCAAAATGACCTAGGTTGTGTTGAGCGGACGCTGAACTCCATTTCTATCTCTCTCTATAAATATTTTGATGTAATAAAAAGTTACATTGGTTATAGAATGGTCAATGATGACAGATTTGCTACTTTAAAGCTTCTAATTATCATTTTCCAGCCTTGTGGGTTTTCTCCGGGTCCTCTGGTTTCCTCCCACTGCTAAAGACCCCTACGAGCAAGCGAATTATTGAAATAAAATTAAAACCATATGTTAGTCCCGAAATGACCTAGTTTGTGTCGAGTGGAGTTAAACCCCATTTCTCTCTCTCTCTCTCTCTCTCTCTCTCTCTAATCATCATTTCTTGCTTTACAGCTGCTAATCATCATTTGTTACTTTAAAGTTGCTAATCATTATTTGTTACTTTAAAGTTGCTAATCATTATTTGTTACTTTAAAGTTGCTAATCATCATTTGTTACTTTAAAGTTGCTAATCATCATTTGTTACTTTAAAGTTGCTAATCATTATTTGTTACTTTAAAGTTGCTAATCATTATTTGTTACTTTAAAGTTGCTAATCATCATTTGTTACTTTAAAGTTGCTAATCATCATTTGTTACTTTAAAGTTGCTAATCATCATTTGTTACTTTAAAGTTGCTAATCATCATTTGTTGCTTTAAAGTTGCTAATCATTATTTGTTGGGTTTTTTTTTCAGACAATATTTTATATTTAAATATCAATGGTAGAAAGTCAGTCGACTTGGATAACTTCAGTTTGCAATTTTAAATGATCTTTTAACAATAACTACACATTTAGATCCTGAGTTCACAAAGCATTCTCAAACTTGAGTTAAGAATTTACTCAAAATTGTTTGCCTTATTCTAACGAAAATATAGCCCTTTATAGAACTTTTGTTGTTTTAATGTCTCAAATACATCAATAAGAAACTATGTGATAAATTTTGTGTTTCTGGGTCAAACATATTTCTCATAAACAGTGATTAAAAGTTGTGTAAATTCTTAACTAAGTCTGAGAACTTAGGGCCAGATCGCCCTTCATAATTTTGTTTTACTGTGTAATTAATGTAGCTGGATATATATTATTATTATTCTAGTGTAAGTGGTATATTACCTACTGGTCAACTATCTAATATACCCTGGAGAAGAACTGGTGTTAAATATGCAAATAATGAGGCTTATTTTGATATAATAGAAGAAATTGATGCCATTATTGATAAATCAGGCACAACTGTCACAGCAGAAACACAGGGATATGTAAGTTGTTTATTTTTTCAGTTATAGAGATGTTTGGGATAATAACTAGTTTTAAAATAGGACGTTGAATCATATTTCCTTTTTGTATACCTTATTTGTAATGAGAGACCTGTATTAAATATTCGTACATTGTTATTTAAAGTGAATTTTTGTTTATTTTATTACATTGATTGTTTAATCAAGTCAAAATAAAGTTTACATAATCCGCCATGACAGCTCTGTATAAGACATATAAACCTTTTTGTGTAAAATTCAATTTTTTAAAATAATTTGATTAAAATTGTTTAAATTATTTTGTTTAAAAAAATTTGATTAAAATTATTTTGTTTAAAATTAATATGATTAAAATTATTTTGATTAAAATAATTTGCTTGAATTTCTTTAGGTTGATTATTTAATAGAATTTAGTTTAATTTTTTTTTAGATTCATTGATGTTTTATTTTTCTTCTTTTATTAGATTGATTGTTTAATAAAGTTAAGTGGTATGCCTGATCTAACTTTAACGTTTGTAAATGCTCGATTATTAGATGATGTCAGTTTTCATCCATGTGTTCGTTTTAAAAGATGGGAGGTAAGTTAAAAATTTGTATTCATTTATACTGATTAGAAATTTGGTAATTTTGAACTGTATTCTGAAAGTGCCTGCGGAGGTTGGGTTTCTGAATAGTTAATGCATAAAATCTGTCATTTGGTCAAGTAGCCTTTCGATTCCCCGCTTGTATGTGACAAGGAGTAGCATCGCCGTCGCCTGTCTAAGCTCGAGGATTTTTCCCAGGTCCCCCGGTTTCCTCTCACTGCTAAAGACTACTAGTGGATTGTCCACAGGTCATCCCTATGCGGAAACTAATTAATGAAATAAAACTGAACCATGTGTTAGTCCTAAAATGACCTAGTTTGTGTCGAGTGGATGTTAATCCCCATTTCTCTCTCTCTTTCTCTCTTAAAGTGCCAGTATACTCCCTGGTACATGTAAATATTGACTACACCAGATCCAAGAAAAAAAAAGATCTTTCAATCAATCAATCAATCAAATATTTATTTAGTATTTAAGGCCTCTGGCCCCTAGGACATAACAGTGCAGTATAATAAAATATATCAACTATATAAAACATAATTATATTATCAACTAGTTCTTATGTTGTTAGCCTTAAATATATATTCTGCTACATTATTTACAATGTTTATATCTGACATCGCTTTTATATACAAGTAAATGTTATTACAATAGGATGAGTTGATCCATGGCATAAGTTGTGATCTAAGGTCTTTGTACATGTGACAAGATACATTGAAATGAATTCAAACTTCGATAGTCGAGCAGCCTAGATTATCCAGACAATATTTATATATTCTGCCTGGAGGTCGGGTGTTCGATCCCTGCATTGGCCGAGAAAGTTCATCCAGATTTTCCGGCGTGGTTTCCCCTTGTCAGTGATGCAGGACAGAGGGCCTGACAAGGACAGCTGTCTAGTCGTTCGGATGTGACGAAAAACTGAGGTCCCGTGTAATCATTGGCGTGCACGTAAAAGATCCCTTGGCAGGTGGAATTCGATATAAGAGTAGGCCATAGTGCCACTGCCCGGGCAAAATTTCCCTCATAGCACACTGTATGGTGTATGCCCGTCTTCATTAGCCCAGTTTAGGAGCAGAACAGTAGGACGTTAAACCTCATTTCATTTCATTTCACGGCTACCCAGATTGTCTCAAACTGACTTAGTGACAGCATTGGTATACAGTCCCTAATTAGTTCAAAGCTATTCATATGACTCTACAGTTTGATGCACTGGAGGGAATCTCAGATGGTCAAGATGTTAAGGGATTAACTCTAAACATCATTTAGATTGTAATTTTAAAATTGAATGAATTGATAGATTTTCCTGAAATTGTGTTCACAATTTAATTCTATAGTATAAAATCATGTCCGAAATATCTGTTTTACTAACTAGTGCAGACCTACAAAATGATTGTTTCTCTTTAAGGTTAAAATATGATTTATTAATATATTTACAGAATGAAAAAATCCTGTCTTTCGTCCCACCAGATGGTCATTTTAGATTGATGTCATATCATATAGGTGCTCAAAAGTAAGTTCATTCATTTTTTAATTGTAAGAGTTTTTGCCAATTAACATCTTCTGCTAATTTTGTTGTCGTGGCCTTTCACACGGTTCACCATTGTTAGGTACCCTTGATATTGATCGTTATGGAGACATGTCTCAGGTATGATATTTCATTGGTTTTAGACCGGAAGTGGTATACATGTATGATATGGTTATGTTTGCGTGATGTTTGGTCTCTAAGTCTCTATAGTCTAAGGATGATGGTACTGACCTCTAGAATATCTCAAGTTCAAATCCCTGTATATATGTGGGTCGAGACAAATGTTGAAAATTGAATCTCTAAGAAGAATGTCAGTACAGATGTGGTTCAGTTCAGTTCAGTATATCTCCAAAGATATGACGAATTGAAATTTTTTTTAACAATATTCGGCATCCTCTCCCGATGTTGAAAACAAGCAAGCGGCACGTACATGGTAACATTTATTGATCAGTCTCTTTTTAATCGATTGATTCCAATCCACGAGATTATCTACAAAAACATTTTGGCTTGGTTTTCTTAATTGATATAAAGTAATCAATTTGAATACATTTTAGTCCTGGACTAAACTGTGGAAAATTTGATATTGTTCAAAGATGCACGCTATAGATTGGAAACTTTAATTTACATTTTTTTTTTAATCTTTCAGTATGGTAGCCATACCAGTGTATTTACGTCATACAATAAATTATAGAGAGGGCAGTGGTGGGAGATTTGATGTTACAGTTGGACCTAAACAAACAATGGGAAAAACTGTAAGTATAATTGTAACATGTTCTTTTCATTGAATAAGCAGATTGTTTTCCCTCTAATAGATTGGGTGGAGCTTAACCGTGCAATAATTAGACATTTTCAATGTTATTGCACACTTTTGCTGGTTTACACTAGTTTTAGTAGAAATCATATAGAGAAGTGGGGTGGGTTTTCTGTGCAATAACAACAAGCACGATGAGCAGGTGTCAGTGTTACAAGTCATTTATAGCACGCTTTATTCGTGCCTTAGGCTGAGGTGTTAAACCTGTTAACTCATGAAAGCCGTGTTATAAACTATCTCTGATCTATGTATTAAAACAATAGCGGTTGTTATACAAGAAATCTTTATTTTTCTAACATTGAATAGATGTATAATTTATCATAAACTCTGATTTTTATCAAATAAATTTAGTTATTTTTATCCTTTTCATTAATGTGGTCTACATCTGTGGTTCCCAACCAGTATTATACGCCCACATTTTCATGTGACTGTATTATGCCGTCGCCTCTGTCCGTCCTCAATTTATGAGACGAAGAAGCTTATTGATTTTCAACTATGTTTGAGAAATTACACGCTTGTAAATTGGACACTCATTATCGAAATTGAATGGTCAGCTTAAAACTGGACACAAGTAAAAATTGTATGATTTTTGGTGAATTTTAAACAAAGATTCGATATTGAATGAATGTGAAAGAAATTAGTGCTGAATACACAAGATTAAATGATACCCGGGTTACAGTGTCACATGATGTATTTTGGAGAGAGATAATGTCACACATATGAAGGTTAAAATTAAGAGAGATTGCAGCGTGTACTGCACTGCACATGCAGATCATGGCCTGTCTCCAGTGCGCATGTCCAGTAATGCACACACATAGGGATGGTTGACCAGCAGATGATAAAAGTCAATGTTTATATTTTAACATTATTTGTCATAAAAAGTTTTGACTATTGTGTATTTCAGGTAGAAAATGTTGTTTTAGAAGTCCCTTTTCCTAAAACTGTTTTAAATGTCACGTTAACAGCAAGTCAGGGGAAATATAGCTTTGATCCGGTGTCGAAAATGATGACATGGGACGTTGGAAAGATTGATACAGCTAAATTACCAAATATTAGAGGCAATGTAAGTCTATTTTATATTTAATGTCGATGTTCTCAGGGGCCACACCAGATTCTTGTTTAAAATGTTTTATCTGCCTTTTTTTCTGTTTCCATTTTTTTTTGTGCTCTGTCTAATGTTAGGGGTTGGGTTGTAGAGTGTTCTAACACATGCACTTTAGATCAGAAATTCTTTCATGGGCTGTCATTGAGTCAAGTGGTGTAGTTTTGATTCCCCGCTTGTACATGACAAGAAGAACGGCCTCCCCCACCTAGTGGATTGTCCACAGGTCATCCCTATGCGGAAACTAATTAAAGAACTAAAATTGAACCATATATTAGTCCTGAAATGACCTAGTTTGTGTTGAGTGGATGTTAAACCCCATTTCTCTCTCTCTCTATTCCTAAGGACTATGGTATCCTGTCTAATCTCATGGGTTTACTCTGTGTTAAGGATATACACAAATTATGCACAAGTAATTATTATTTTGGAGTTAATTACACTCCAGTATTACTTTGAAGTTGGAGACACAGTAAGACGCTGGCCCGCTAGCCTGGAGGTCGCGTGTTTGATCCCTGCATTGTCCAAGAAAATCCGATTTGTTTTCATCTTGTCAGTGGTGCAGGAAGGAGGGCCTGACAAGGACAGCTGGCAAAATTTCCTTCATAGCATACCGTATGGTGTATGCACGTCTTCATTAGCCCAGTCGGAGCAGAATAGTAGGACGTTAAACCCTGTTTCATTTAATCTATTTTAAAGTTAATATCCCAACACAGTATTATTTCGGTTGATTAATTAAGTTATTGTGTTTGTCTGATAGTACTAATGAGCCAAAGAATGGGGCCATGCTTACCGTCCTTAAATAGGTATACTAATCAACCACGGTAGAAGACTATAATGTTACAACTGGTCCAATAAAATCAATGCTTTTATAAATTTAGAAATGTTTTTCTTTTATTTTATTTGATAGATCACAATCCAGACAGGTTCACCTATTCCAGAATCTAACCCAGTTATAAACGTAAGATATTTTATTATTGTAAAAAGAAATCCACTTAAATATATAATAAGTTCAGGAGGACTACACTACATGCAAACAAAAGTGAAGAGACAAACCTCGGGACAAGGCACAAACTACACAGATATTGTAAAAAAAATAAACTACAACAACGAACATCATTTGAGGGTAACACAAAGTTAAGGATTACATGCAATGTTTCAATAGGTATCTTTATCGAGCATGATAAAACTCTTACAGGTATCTTTATCGAGCATGATAAAACTCTTACAGGTATCTTTATCGAGCATGATAAAACTCTTACAGGTATCTTTATCGAGCATGATAAAACTCTTACAGGTATCTTTATCGAGCAATGATAAAACTCTTACAGAGTATCTTTATCAAAACTCTTACAGGTATCTTTATCAAGCATGATAAAACTCTTACAGAGTATCTTTATCAAAACTCTTACAGGTATCTTTATCAAGCAATGACAAAACTCTTACAGAGTATTGAAACATTGCATGTAATAAACTAAGAAGTAGCAAATCCATAAACTTGTGTTATTATGAATATAATACCTCTCCTTCTAAATGCTTGTGTGTGAAATCATAAGGTCTCTCATTGTGTGAAGTGGCGTGGTTTTCCCAGGTCCTCCGGTTTCCTCTCACTGCTACTAAAGACCCCTATGAATTATTAAAATAAAGTTGAAACATATGTTAGTTTGTGTTGTGGATGTTGAGGTATATATTGTTATTATTGCAGGTACAGTTTACTATAAGTCAGATGGCAGTATCTGGTATTAAAGTTAATAGATTAGATATGTATGGAGAGGTAGGCATTAATATTTTTATAAACCCACATTATAATTAATGAAACTTCCAATCAATAGAAACTTGCAATGTAAACCATTAACAGAAAAATTGATGATATCAAATTTAAGCGCCAAAATATAGAGGAATGGTGTATTTACCTTGTCTCAAAATTTCAGCTCAAAATATTGAGTCGTTTGGACGTGAACATCAAAACTGTTTATCCGGACACGTAAACCTTTTAAGATTTTGGGTCAATTTTTTCGTTGAGTGACCTGATAATCGATTCCCATGTAGAGGTCTATACAATGAATGACCCATGTGCTGTACTTGATAATGAAAGGTAAATTACCGCATAATACAGCTTGGGGCACCGGTCTCCAATTCCAGATGAAGAATGACAGGTTTAAGTTGTTTGAAAACATATCACGTATATTGAGTTAGTTGCTCAGCCCTAAGGAAGGGGATTTTAACTCAAAATTAAGCAGTTTTATTCTCCAAAATATTATCGGGTTTGACCCTTTAAAGATACATTATGGGAGATTAGATAAAGAGCTGGCAGTTCTCACTATAATAGTTAAAAACTGGATAATGTAAAGGGAATTTGCTGAAAATTTCAGTCAAATTGATCCACCCTGAACCAAGATTTTAGCGATTGAATTTTCAGCCTAGCCTCGATCATCATTACTTAAGTCTATACGATAAAAAATATAGTCTCGATTATCCATTTAATGATTAAATTATGAATGGAAGTCGAACAGGAAATCAGAACCTCACCCAATAAACATCGCAGGCTATCGATGCCATCGAGAGTTGATTATGGTCTGGATAAGTTAATTAATGTCTAATTAATAATTTAGATAACATGTCAGGCCTAAAGAAAGACCTCCAATTGGCAGATTTGGCTCTTGCATAATGTATGATTAAGGAATTAAATTTATTTCATTATAATTACAGAAATATAAACCATTTAAAGGGGTGAAGTATATTACAAGAGCTGGAAAATTTCAAGTCAGAACATGATGAGGATAAAATAACCAAGTTAATTTATATTGAAATGAAGTCATTGGTATCAATTATAGATATATGTCATCGGGTCCTACAAGATATGTTGAAATTTTCACATTTGTACAACAGAGTTATCACTGTTGACTGTTTTATAGATGGTTCATTATTTTCATGAATACTAAGATATATTCGAAGGATATATTGATTTCATTGGCTGAGAGTAAAAAGAAATAACACATATTTTTATCTACCAACCAATGAAATCATTAGAGATATGTAAGTTGTTTGTGATTATGGTCAAAATTTGTACATACATTCATCAGTGCTAACATATAGTCCTCAGCTTGCATACTAAACTTAGGCTGTCTGTCTACAATTAGCTCTGTTTGAGAACAGACACTAAGCTAGTTGACTGACATTTAAGTTCTAAATCAACGATTTTAGTCGAAAGCACTAAGCATTTTTTTTTTGGAGAATTTTTAGACATATTTATTCTGCTTGCATTTAATTAAATCATAAAGGTTTAACTACCTTTGTGTGCATGGGAGATGTAAAACCAGGTAGAACCGCATTACAAAACAGTATACTAATTTTTGGAAAAGGCAGTCATTTAGGTCAGAGATCTATTCTCAAAGTAAATAGTTCTCGGTGTGCTCAGATTGTCATTATGAGAAACAGTTGTATTGCAGTCAAGGGTCAATACTGTTTAGTGTTTTTCACACACTTGAAAACATGAAGATGGATGATGTGAGTAATGAATATATACTGTAAAGCATTGTACCATGACATTTAGTATATTTTAAAAATTGATGGCTTCAAAGTTCAAATTAATCTCTGTATATGGTTATTATTGTGTCATTAAATTATTGTGGATGATTTTATGAAATTACCACATATCGGCCTGGGGTCAAATTACTGTGTATCTGCCTGGAGTCATGTATCAATCTAAGGTCAAGTTAGTGATCATTATAAAAATACTGTGTATCATCCTGGGGTCAAATTAATAACAGTATCATCCTGAGGTCAAATTACGGTGTATCAACTGGGGGTTAATTTACTGTATATCAACTTGAGGGTCAAATTACTGTGCTATCAGCCTGGGGTCAAATCACTGTGTATCAACTGGGGGTCGGCCTTCCAATGATAGTAATGTAAACAGACCACAAGCAATGTAATATTTAAGCATTAATATCATATTGTATAATGAATTTATGAACTGGTACAAAATGGTTGTACTTATATAATTCCACCATCTTTAAATTATACATATATGTATATATAGTTGTATATTTATTGTTGTTAAAATATGTTGTGAAGAGATTTGAATCCAAATCATTCCCTGCAGACCAGTTTATTAAAGGAGCTAAACCTCTCTTCTTTAGAATCTAAAATTGTTTTTGCCTCATTCATCAAAGTGTCTGATAACAAATAGTGCTTGAGAAAATAGAAAAAACAATGTGGCTCGCGAATTTTAGAAGTTCAGTGTGTCTTAAATATTGGATATCAGGAGCCTATATTTTCACAGTAAGATAACAACATTAATGTTGATTTAAATGGACCAATATTCAAATCGAATTGGTGTTTTTTATGTTGAAGATTCTGGATAGTATTGAGTTAAGAGGTTTAGCACCTTTAAATGTCAGATATAGCATTTCATAGTCCACCTCCACTCCATTGCATACTTACCGATAGATATTTATAGCTTCAAGAAATTTTCATTGTGTTATATGGCTATTTGTAGTTTAATACCCAAATACCAAAGGGGAACTACTCTCTTCATTCTTATTTTGAATGATGTATATTTGAATCATTTTTTTTTAAAATTTATTTTGAGATCATTATCACACCAGTCAAGTACTGAAATTGTTTTTGTTTTCTTGTAAATCCAAAGACCAAGAACTTTATCATTAACCAAAAAAAGCCAAACCAATTTGAATTTTTGTTCTTCCAGAACACCTATTTAAAATTTTGCGTCCTATTTCTTTGGGGGGGGGGGGGGGCACGGTGGCTCACTGAGTAAGACGTTGGATTTTCCGGCCTAGTTCCCCTTTGTCAGTGATTTAGGACGGAGGGCCTGGCAAGGGGCAATGTATTGGCATACACGTAAAAGAACCCTTGGCAGTTGCAATTCGATATAAGAGTAGGCCATAGTGCCGCTGTCCGGTCAAATTTCCCCCATAGCACACTACATGGCGTATGTCCAGCTTCATTAGCCCAGTAGGATGTTAAACCCCATTTCATTTCATTTATTTCTTTGGGGAAATAATTTGAAAAGACATGTTTCTGGTTCCTTTTCTCAAAATCTTTTAATTCCAATGTTTCAAAATTTTAAGCAAGATATCTGGGATTATTTATCAAAACCCTGAAGAACTAAAAATTAAATTTGATTGACCTGAGTAATAGAGAATAAAAATTCTAACAGGTTCATGTCTGTAGGAATAATGTAGGCCTATGTTTATTATTCATGTAGGCCTATTTATATTATTCATATTATTCATGTACAAATAATGAAATAAACAATACATAAAGGGTCATCTTTTGTTTTCAAGCTCAAATACAACTGAGTTTCCTTAAGGGGACGGGCTGTGATAGTCCAGCTGTTAAGGCAGTGGACTGTCAGTGTCGAATTCCATTGTGGACAGAGAAGAACCCTTTAGGATTTTTCAAGCCTGGGCCGAGTCCACAAAACATTCTCAGACTTTAAGAATTTACTTAACTTTCAATTACTGTTTATGAGAAATCTCTTTGATCCAGAAACAAAAAACTTTGCACATAGTTTCATATTAATGTATTTGAAACATTAAAACAACAAAAAATTTATAAAGGGCTATATATTAGTTAAAATAAGGCGAAAAATTTAGAGTGAATTCTTATCTTAAATCTGAGAATGCTTTGTGAAAGCAGAACAAGTTAGTCAGCTGGTGACCATAGTGGCCAGCAGCATAAGGGTTCATTCCCCCCTGTTGACAAAATAATAAGTTGTTGTTGTTGTTAGTGTTTAATGTCCGCTTCCACCGAAGGTGATATCGCAGACAAGTTGTCTTTTTTTTTTTATTTTCATGATCTTAGCGCACGCGCAGGGGTCTTTCGTGTGGGAGGAAACCGGAGTACCCGGAGTAAACCCACGAGGTTGAGAAGGCGCCCCTATCTCCATGCCACATACGCTCACACCAGGGATTGAAACCACAGCCGCAAGCCAGAGGTGACCGGCCAGCTAGAGGTCGAAGCGTGACACTCTAGACCACTAGGCCATCCCAACCCCCCCGAAAAAATAATAAGTAACTATGTATGTTCATTTATAACCTTTGTAGATCACATGATCATGTGCACCAATCCTCAGCATGTCAATTCCTTCAGCTTCTAGAAGTATTAAGCATTGGGGAGCATAATGCGATAGATCCGAATGCATGAGGACCAACACAACTGAAGATCGTGGGTGGGGAAATCGACTAAAAAAAGAGGAACATGTGTGTACATATCCTAATGTCCGCCTGTACAACTGACTACCGCTCTCGCTGTCTCCAGTTGACTCAATGACAGACCGTATGATACAGCGCGTGCATGCTAACCATTCGGCCATCCACCCACCCCAGCTTTTATCAGACTAAAAGATCAAATTAAAGTGAGTACTATAAAAATTAATATGAAGTAATATTTTATTATTTTCAATAGATAATATATGTGACAAGAAATAATAAGTACAGATGCATGAAATGACATGTAACACACTTACATAACATGTATTACACATAAATAACATGTAATACACACAAATAACAATAACTTGTAATACACATAAATTACATGTTATACATATAACTAACATGTAATACACATAAATAACATGTAATACATGATACTAACATGTAATACACAAAAATAACATGTAATACACATAAATAACATGTAATACACATAAATAACATGTAATACACATAAATAACAAATTTAACTGATTTATAAAATATTTGCTATAATGAATCCACATTGTTCTGGTTTCTATAAGAACACTGACTTACAAACACTTTAACCCTTTAGCAACCGACCCACCTGAAACTACTGCTACCTGTAGTGCATCAAACTGTGCGAGTCACATGAATAAATGTGAACTAATTAAGAACTGAATACTGGTTCTGTGGCACGGTCCGTTCAAGGCATTTAGAGAGCACTATTTTCAAGCTGTTTTGAAAAGATGCTACATAAATGGTAACTTTTCTATTGTTTTCATTTGGGAATTGGGGTAGTCAATATTTCCATGTACCAAGTGTTACAGGATTAATTAAAAAAAAGTTACTATACAATATGGAATTTACATGTACATAAATTTATATAGGCCAGAGAAATGCTAGATACTTAGTCCTTACATGCTGGATTATGAAACAGGCTAAAGAAATGCTAGCTATCCTTGTTACTTAAGGAATTATAATTCTTCCTTCCAGAAATTGTATTTCATGAACAAATTTGGACTTTTTTTTTTAATATTCATTTTCCATTCTTAGATTAAATAATTATTAATAGCCTAAAGGTTTACTTAGTATTACAAAAAAAATAATTTATTTCCATCATCAGGGTTTGTAATTTAATCTGAAAAGGAGGTACAACCCTTATAAACAAATAACCTGATCTGACATTTTGTAAGTTACAGATTTATGATGTTCAACTCTGACATCCATGTTAATTCTGACATCCACGATTTTTTAGTAGTCCACGAGATGAATTGAACATGACCAAAACATTGTATGTAGGCTCTTGTATATTATAAATTGCTTATTTTTTATTGCTCAAATTCACAGAAGCAGCATGGTTTTCAGTTTCTCATCACCAATTATATGATTTGTCATTTTGTTTTGAAGCAAATCAATTTCACACTTCATTTATCATCAGCCTCTCTGTCAATGTGATCTCAGAATTGTTCATGGCTTCTTTTTACCCTATCAGACACTGTGACCCTAAAATTGTTAACGACTTCTTGGACTTTAATTCTCCTACATTTTCTTACACTTTTCAACTTGAATGTAGCTCATAGTTCCATGCAAAATTCTTTCACTTTCTTTTGATTCTCTATAACCACCGTAACCTCTAAGCTGTTTTCAACGATCTAACAATGCACATTAACCAGTACACAGATTCCGGGCCATATAAAAACTATCCTGGAACTCAGATACTGCTGTATATGCAATGAAAACATGCTAATTCTTGATCAACTATTAATAAGCCTGGGAAATCATCTAAGCTGTTTTCAATGATCTCACAAAGGGAATAAACAAATACACAGGCCATATAAAATATATTCTGGTTCTCAGATACTGCCTTATATGCAATCTCTATGAAGACATACCAATTCTCGATCAACTATTATTAGGCCTTATAGATCGTATGTGCAAAAGATTACTTGAATCAATTTCAAATTTTACATTTGTACAAATATTCTGTGATCTTACTGTTGTCAGTGTACCATGAGATTTTTTGCGCATACTGACGAATAAAATTCAGAGGTAACAACGTCTGGGACCTATTTAAGATAATATGTTCTAAATCCATTCTGGTGTCTGAAATCACACCAACGTCAAACTTGTTATATTCCAGAACCATTCTCCCCAAAATTATTGGAAACTAAATCCCATTCTGTCTCTTACTATGACACATGCATAACATCTTGAGGTCAAAGGTCAATACTGAACACTTCACAACTTTCTGGAGCACCCTTGACTTCAGCGCCTGTTTCTGTGACCAGTAGTTCCATTCCATCTCTCTGTTTATTTTTAAAAGCTTCCGCTATCATTTTAGCAGCCTCCGTATGATTTAACCCCATCACAGATTGTCCATTAACCTCCAAAATCACATGACCAACTTTTATTTTACCCGATTCAAAAGCAGATCCCCCGGGCTGAAAAGAGAAGATAAATCAGTTGAAAGAAGTTATTTGTCAAACAAAAAAAATGAATGGGGGATACCCAAGTTGAGATTTTGTAGTTGATACCATACGGTTGAAAGGTTTTTAATCTAATAATCCAATGAAGTTCGATGGTGCGTCTATTGGTAGTAGATTTTTTGAGATCAGGGTTTGTGCCAAGTTGTTTAATTATTTGATAGTCAAAGTTGCGACTGGGGTGTCTCTCTTGTGGGTAATGTCAGCATAATGTCCCTTCAGCGTAATCTGGAACCTACTTTTGGTTTCACCTACATATTGTTTATGGCATAGATTACAGGTAAGAAGGTATATTACATTCTTGTTGTGAGAGGTCCAGTTGTTATTTGTCATTTTAAAACTCAATGAAATCAACCATTTCCTAGGTTGAGGATTCGATCCCGGTGGTGGCCGAGAAAGTTCATCTGGATTTTCGAGCATGGTTTCCCCTTGTTGGTGGTGCAGAATCGAGGGCCTGACAAGGACAGCTGTCTAGTCATTCGGATAGGATGAAAAACTGAGGTCCCCTGTACACACTTAAAATTTAACCATGAGTAGGTGTATGCCCATCTTCATTTTCCCAGTTAGTGCAGATCAGTAGGACGTTAAAACCCCATTTCATTTCTTTACAGTCTAAGGTTACATTTACATATCTAAGGTAACCCACCATAAATAAATATCTCCAAATATCTCAACAATTACACCACAATATTTGTATATATACAAAGCCTTAAATCAGTTTCACACATTTATAGTCACTAAATAAACGGTCATGTGATACTTAATAAGCTTTGACCATTTAACCATCTATAAATGAAAGATGGTTATGAGTGTCGGCCATAACATCTGGGCACTTGTGAGTAAAAAATAGGTTACATGCCCTTGTTTTGAAACATAACAGTGAGCTGGAACAAGAAATTGAATTTAGAAAAACGCACGTTAGGCAACCCAACAATTGTTTTAAGAACCTTGTAAAAGTAAAATGAAACTACTGCTAGTGTCATGTTCTTGCCTAACGAAAGTGTTTCTGAGATATTATTTGTACTAAACTAAAAGATGCTGCTCCTGCTTTTCATTTTCGTCAACAATAGATTTTTAACGGCTGTAATAGTTGATAGATGTGTAGAGAATTTCACGTGCGATGGCTATTTATAGTCTCATAGAATCTAGTGCTGAGTATTATCATACTGTGTGGTGAAACAGAAATCACTTCGAGACAAGTCACTGAAGCATGCACATTCGCCATGTCGGGACCAACTTCTGTAGAGAAATTTTCACTCTACGGGTCACCCTAACATATCCAGCTGCTTAGATATTACTCTACTTGACGCTTGTTTCATGTCTTAAAATCAACCAGAAATGTTACCTGCACGTTTATAATTCTAGGTATTGGTTGTCTAGTATTAGCTCCGCCTTCTATAGCCAGACCTAACGTTGGTTTACTTCTGTATACACATATTATATCTAAACTAATATCACCATATCTCTCTCTAGCTTCTTCTAACCTCTCTTCTTCCTAAATAAAATATATATATATAATACAGTTAAACCTCTGCATAGAGACTGTCTAACTCTTCTTAAACAAAATATATACAGTTAAACCTGTACATTGAGACCTTCTAAATAAGTGGTCCTAATATATAATACATTTAAATCTGTACATAGAGACTTTCTAAATAATTGGTCCTAATATATAGTATAGTTAACTTAAACAAAATATATAAGGGGCTGCCTTAATTATATCAAGACTATTATTAACAACCTGCGTAATAATCGTAAATATGGGAGCCTTAAGATGCCGACTCACTAACCAGGAGGTCCCATTGTTTGCAGAGAAAGTTCCTCTGGTTTCCACATGTCTGCAGTGGAGGAAGGCACAGGCTCTAGTCTTTGGGATGGGACTCAAAATATGTTGGAAATTGATGAAGGATACACCCTAACTGGGCAAAATTTCCCTCATAGCACAATACTTGGAAAAATATGCCCGTCTTCAGTAGCCCGGTTGATGCAAAAAATTGAATGTTAAATCCTTTTTCATTCTATTTCATTTCTGTTGAGTCAAGTGGTGTAGTTTTGATCCCAGGCTTATTGATTAGTTGTTTTGGAGTGGACATTAAATCTCATTTTAATTCACACAGTAGCACAAACACCACAGTATAATCATTTAATGTATTAACTATCCAAGAAATATTCCTGAAAACCATAAAATCACGCTGAAATAATGACAAAAAGTTTTGACAACTACTGTTGAGCAGACATTTAACGCCTTATTTCAGCACTCCTCACCCAATCCTAAATATATTCATATAGTACATAACAACAGTAATACAAGAGAACAACATTTCTTAAACAAAAATAGTATTTCTCACAACCTATGAATGAATTGAGTGAACATTATCCCCACAAACACATACGCCTCCAAAATCCTCTATCTTTATTTAAAATGTGACGTCATCCTTTAATATTGGCATACCATTATTTCAAATAATGGTACGGGCAATGTGCCAAGCCTACATGGTTTATACTTATTGAAATATTGGACCTGTGTGACGTATTTCATTGCAAAGCATGTGTGAGTGTCTGTATCTTAAGTTGTTTAATGGTCTCGAGCTTAAGACATTGCTAATATATTGAAACAGCAACCTGGGACTAATGTATCTTGTGTTGTTTCAACATATTATTTAATGCCTCGCTCTCGACTATTAAACCACACTTAATTCATTGCACAGAAATACACTAAAATATTAAATTTTAAATGGAAATAATCCAACAACCACCCTCATAGCACAGAAATAACAAATATACACCACAAAATGACAATAATACCACAAACATCTTTGATAACCTATCTGTAGAATACATACATTGGGTTCTGACTGAAACTGTGGGCGGGGCAAGCGAAATGGTTGGACACACAAACAACCATCCATAGTCTTCGAACTTAGTCTGAGGAACATCAAAAATAACACATACACAATAGAGTCGGAATTTAAATAATGACACTCGTCAGTAAATTCTATTAGATTGTTTTTTAGATTGTTTTTTTATTTCAATGGTGTGAGCTGCCCTGACTCAGTGAGGTGAGACTTTGGCTCGCATGATTCTCCTTTGTCAGTGATGCAGGATGGAGGGCCTGTCCAGTAGGACGTTAAACTCCATTTCATTTCATTTCATTTCTGGAGGGCCTGTCAAGTTGGAATTCAAAATAAGAGTACGTGTAGCTCATTTTGGGATTAACATATCGTTCAATTTTTTTTCAATAATTCGTTTGCACATAGGGAACTTCAGCAATGGAAGGAAACCAGAGGACCCAGAGAAAACCCATGCGACTGGACAGGAGATGCTACTCCATGTCATGTATAAGCAGGGAATTGAAAACACGCCTCTGCTCAGTAATAAACTGTGATTGTATTCCATAGAATTGTGTCCTGTACAGCTTAGTATTGTACTAATTGTCATAGCTGTATTTAGCTTAGGCTTTAGATGCATTATGTAAGAGCTAAATCTGCCTATTGCAGGTCTGCCAATTGCAGGTCTTCAAATTTTATATAAATTTATTCACACGACAAGCCTATAATCAAGTCTCTAAGCCATCTGATAATCTCCCTGCATGGATTCAATCGATTCTAAAATAAAATCTCATGAAAAGATTTTCCCAAAGGTGGTGCTAGCTTGTTTATATCGCTTGTTGGAAGATGCTGAATATTACGAAATTTTCAAGTCATCATATCTATGTATATATACTGACAGACTTTCACTATTTTTGGATTGATATTCCTTTAGTGATTCAAGTTTCACAATAGTGTAGTTTGAACGAATGGAAGAATGAATGAACTGGGGTTTAATATCCTACTGTTCTCCTCCAACTGAGCCATGAGGGAAGTTATGATCAGACAGACTACTCTTATTTTGAATTTCAACTGCCAAGGGTTCTATTACATCCACGGCAATGCATACACAGGACTTTGGCTTTTTCGTCCCATCTAGTCGACTATACGTTGTCCCTTGCAGGCCCCCGTCATGCTAGTGTAGTATGCAAGGATTACATTAAATCCTTCAAATCACAATCAACAAGTTTAATTTTACGATTCGGTGTTTCCCAAAAGACCAGGCCTCGAGTTCACAAAGCATTCTCAGAATTAAGTTAAGAATTTACTCACTTTCAATCAATGTTTATGAGAAATAACTTTCACCCAGAAACACAAAATGTTGCACATAGTTTCTTATTGATGTATTTGATATATTAAAACAACAATGGTTTTATAAAGGGCTATATTTTAGTTAAAAAAGGCGAACAATTTTGATAAAATTCTTAACTTAAGTCTGAGAATGCTTTGTAAACTCGGGGCCAAGTTATTTTAGGTTATTTTATTTTGTCATTAATGTGTCTGTTTCTTAGAAATATTTTAGATATATATCATTAAAATAAAATCCCTCAAATCAGTGGGTTCGGTTCAAATTTACCATTAGAAACCTCCAACAAGATCAAGGTATACCACTCACCTCCTAACTTTCAAGTTATACCAATATTAATTAGGCAAATGACCGCTGTATACTTATGTTTGTCCAATAACTATTAGGTAGGCAAATGACCGTTGTACAAGAGTAAATATATCCTCCTACATGTTTTATACCCTGGTTTGGGAAATAAGGGACTTAATATCGATTACTGTAATCAGTCCATTAATAAAATATACAATCCTAGTTGTCCATTAAGGATTTAATATTGATTTGAGATCTCAGTCTGGTGCCAAACTAGCCACAGAGTATCAATTAGCAGCTGTCTGATTAATACCTAGTTTATTAACAGGTTTCCATTAAACGTGACACATCGGTACTACAATAATCAACAAATAATTAAAGTACAATAGCTATTACCTATATATACTTAGAATATACTCGGGGATCCTAGTCTGTTAATCATGGTAGCTCAGGACGGAAATGAAATGAAATGAAATGGGGTTTAACGTCCTACTGTTCTGCTCCTAAACTGGGCTAATGAAGACGGGCATACGCCATACAGTGTGCTATGAGGGAAATTTTGCCCAGACAGCGGCACTACGGCCTACTCTTATATCGAATTCCAACTGCCAAGGGATCTTTTACGTGCACGCCAATGTGTACACGGGACCTCGGTTTTTCGTACCATGTGTTAGTCCCAAAATGACCTAGTTTGTGTTGAGTGGTTCTTAAACTCTCTCTCTCTCTTTTTTAAAATATACTATTCAAAAAAAGTAGGGGATATTTGATTTTGGGGGCATAATACTAAAATATGCAAATGACTACGAAAAAAGTCACTATAGAACCTAACAGAAGAAACATTTCCAGTTACATGTGACGCCCAAACGCACCAATAGCTACCGCATGGAATGCATGTGATGCTTGGGATCATCATGGGGGTCCAACCCAAGATTTGCACGACTCTGACTTTGAATGTTACAGTCATTGTGGCATTGAATTCCAGGGTGGAAACATCAGTTTAATTGTTTTAGTGACCAGAAAACAAATTTTGATATGCGTCGGCTTACCCAAAATGAAAGGTTACGTGCCCTTGGCATGCTACAGATCGGCACAACACAGGCGGTTGTGGCGCGGACGATGAATGTTTCTCAGTCTGTCATAAGCAGGCTATGGTCCAGATACCGTGATACACAATCTGTACAGGACAGACCACGCTCAGGTCGACCAAGGGCAACAACTCAAGCCCAGGATCGATTTATCCGTACCTTGGCCTTGAGAAATCGTGTCATCACAGCAAATCAGATCAGCGCTCGTCTTCAAACAGACACTGGTGTGAGAGTGAGTGGCCAGACGATTCGGAATCAACTGCATAGGGGTCACCTTCGCGCCCGAAGTCCTCACGTGATCCCTTGTTTGAGAGATCATCACATTCAGGCAAGACGTCGTTGGTGTAGGGATCGTCAACACTGGGATAATCGACGCTGGAGCAATGTGATGTTTTCAGATGAGTCAAGGTTCACTGTTGATTTTTTGGACAGACGTAGGAGGGTGTGGCGTCGTCGAAACGAGCGCTTCCAAGACATGATCGATTTGGGGGTGGTTCTGTTATGGTGTGGGGAGGCATCACTGTTGCTGGAAGAACGGCTTTACATGTTGTTGCAGGGCGTGTTACAGGCCAGTACTACTGGGACAACATCTTGGCAGTCCATGTTGTGCCGTTCGCACGACGTCATGGCCGCTGTTTCATCTTCCAGGATGACAACGCAAGATGTCACAGGGCCAGGATCGTTACAGGTTACATTCAACAACAGAACATCACCACATTACATTGGCCAGCACTGAGTCCCGACCTCACCCCCATCGAGCATGTCTGGGACATGCTTGGACAGAGGTTACATCAACGTCAACAACGTCCTGCCAATGTCCAAGAACTTGCTGCTGCGTTGCAACAGGAATGGGACAATCTGGACCAAAATGACCTTAGACGTCTCATTAGGAGTATGCCACGTCGGATCAATGCTTGTTTGGCAAACAGAGGAGGATTTACCCGTTACTGACTTGGTTGTGATGCTGTGGTAACTTTGCTGTTTGACCCCGGGTATCATTTTACCCTTATAATGGTCAGTCTGTGCCTTACTTAGTCTAACGATCATTTGGAATAAATCGATGAATGTGAACTTCATTTCATTTTGTCATTTGTTTCTTCGTCAGTTTCATTAGGTGACTTTAATAACACTTAAAAATCAAATATCCCCTACTTTTTTTGAATAGTATATTAATGACATTAAGCTTACCATGTTTGTTCTAGTATAAATATGTCAGGTGGCTACAAACAAAACCTGTCCTTATATCAATTAACCAATACATTAATGAAACCTGTGCTTATATAAATAAGACCACAAACCATCCTCTATCAACGTGTGAAAATCTTTATACATATTTTGTAAATCAATAACTCATTAGCCTGCAGAGTTCTCCATTATTTGTGATTTCTCATTATTACAAATTAATCTATACACTTTGATACACATCACTCTAGCTATTTTAAATGATATTGCTATGGTAACCATTTCTACCTTGATATAGAAACTGACTGTTTACTTACGTTTTAACTACAGTCAAAAAGGTTGTTGATGTATCAACAGAATTTTTTATTTTTCTAATAGGAGAGAGAGAGGGAGAGAGAGAGAGAGAGAGAGTGAGAGAGACTAACACATGGTTCAATTTTATTTCAATAATTCGCTTGAACGTAAACACACTGTAGACATAATACAGAAAGAGAGAGAAAAATGGGGTTTAATGTCCACTGAACACAAACTAGGTGATTTCTGGACTAACATATGGTTTCAGTTTTATTTCGATAATTAGCTTGTGCATAGTGGTCTTTAATAGTGGAAGGAAACTGGAGCACTCAGAGAAAACCCACGAGGTTGGACAGGCGACCCTACTCCTTGTCATATACAACCGGGGAATCGAAACCACGCCAGTTTTTTCTAATACGATATAAATGGGATCCGGACACGTTCTCTCTGGACGAAGACAAAATGTCACAGGCAAGTAATATCGCAGGACATCTCACAATATTAATATCGTATTTTACAGGGTTTAAGTCGATATGAAGTATAATTCGAATCATCATATTTAACTGTTTTTCCGACCTCCGTCCATATATAAGTCAAAGTGATATATAAGACGAATGCTTTTCAACACCACAGTATCAATCTAATATTGAGTTTCGGGATTGTTATCCTAGTCTAATACCCAGTGTATGCCAAGAAAAATTGGCCCATAATATTAATTAATATAAAATAATTAGATTATAATATAGTACTAACTTGATTAATATTCTAAGTTGTGTGAAAGATGCGTGAAATTATGAGAAATGGAAATGTGACAACTTTGACGAAAGATTCTATTTTGATGGCATATTCTCGGTTGATGTTAATATTTTAAAAGAGGGGGGTATGTTTTTAAATAAAGAAATAAACAAGCTAAGAAATGTTGACAAATATATCAATTACAATAGTGTAAGTAGTTTTGTTTCAAATGTTACTGACAATTTTTTTTTCAAGATGTCATTTTTTACCTTCATCCAAATATAAGTCAAATCGGAGTATAAGACAACGGATGGACTTCAGCGGAAAAAAGTATCGACTTATACCCCGAAAAATACGGTGATGGGCAAAATGTCACAATCATTTTTAAACTTAATTTGTCAATACAGTATAAGAAAATCATTGTAATCATTTTACTTGACATTATGTCCCTGACTCATAAATCTGAACATAAATGAGTGGATAACTCTGTTATAAACAACTCAAAGAGTCTGAATTTCAAATGGGTTCAAATCACCTCATTTATTTAATGATAAAGTTATTTGTATAAATGTAGTAAGAATGCATAGTATATTTGCACTACTTTCCGTCGTCTTCTGTCACCTCTTACATAGCACGCCACCTTTTTAGTCCGGATTAACCAGCCGGAACTATTTCACCATACACGACACAGTATTCCTATAGATTTCAACACAGTAAGAAGTATTTCTCGTATCAATGACAATCGCCCCGCCTAGATCACGACTTAACTAGAACTCATTATGTAACATAGTAATTTGAAATGAGAAATTAATTGCTGATAATTAACGACTAGGGGTGTTATTTGTGTTGTAATGTTATGACATACATGCTTATGAGATAAATATTAGGCTAATTGAGGGTTGATATGTGAAATAACCTAAGGGTGAAGGCCATGGGTTATTTCACATATTGACCGAGGGTATTAGGGTAATATTTGTCTTGCATACCGACATCAATGTTAAATCTGTCTTAATTGATTTCCCCTATAAGACAATGGTTTAGCCCATATCAGCCCTGCGACTGATATGACAAAATTAAGTTAACAAGTTGTAAGTTACACATGCATTTGATTTTAGTAACTGTGTGTTCACAAACTGGCATTCATTTTGCTCATCAATGTTGTCAAACAATTCTGACGACGAACTGATATGAGGCCCCGTCTATACATTGGCGTGCATGTAAAAGATCTCTTGGCAATTGGAATTCGATATAAAAGTAGGCCATAGTGCCTGACATTGGCAAGATATTTTCAGGCTTGTATTATTAATCATAGCTACATCGTCATTACAGAATCTGTTTATATATGATTAATGATTAGATAGCAACAGACACATCAATTAAACATCAAATTACTAGGCAGTATAGATTAGTTACAGATTGTTTTATTTGTCAGCTATGACAGAGATTATAGACAATAGTAGTAATGAGATAATCCATCTATAAACATTTCATAATCAAGGCCCCAAGTGAGAGAGAGAGAGAGAAATGGGGTTTAACGTCCATCGACACAAACAAGGTAATTTCGGGACTAACATATGGTTAATTTTATTTCAGAAATTTGCTTGCGCGTAGGGGGCTTTAGCAGTGGGAGGAGAAACCCACGAGGAGTTGACTCAATGACAGACCTTATGATACAGCGCGCATGTGCTAACCATTCCGCCACCCAAGCCCCCAAGTAACTGGTTGTATTAAATACTACCTGGTCATATACATATGACACAGGATGAACAGACAGAGTAATATTAACAATAGATCCAATTACTCCATATTACAATAAAACATGAGACATCATCCTTTGATGTTGGCATAACATTATTTGACGTAATGTTATAGGTGCGGTGTCAATCATACATTATTATACAAAATATGACAGAATCTAATCACACCATGTCCGTTAGTGGGACTGACAGAACTCATTTCTGTATCAGTATCATTCTACTGCAATTCTATTAGACTGGGACCTACAAGAACTACACATTAGGGTGGACACACAACAAGACCTACTTGGTAGGGTGGACACACAACCAGACCTACTTGTTAGGGTGTGCACACAACCAGACCTACTCATTAGGGTGGACACACAACAAGACCTACTTGGTAGGGTGGACACACAACCAGACCTATTTGTTAGGGTGGGCACACAACCAGACCTACCCATTAGGTGGACACACAAATCAAGCATTAGGGTGGACACACAAACAGGCCTACACATTAGGTGGACACACAACTCATTTCTGTATCAATATCACACTATTGCAATTCTATAAGACTGGGACCTACTCATTAGGGTTTACACTCAACCAAACCTACTCATTAGGGTGGACACACAACCAAACCTACTCATTAGGGTGGGCACAAAACCAGACCTACTCATTACGGTGGACACACAACCAAACTTACTAATTAGGGTGGACACACAACCAAGCATCTCTCCACATCAATACAAAACATATTTTTATTAATTCTAACAGAAATATGAAACACAGACAATATCAATAAACAAACACAATAAACATCACCACAACAAATCAACAATCTTGTATAGTGCTTACATGTACAGAAAAAAACACTTGTTAGAGCGTGAAAAATATGCAAAAGTTGTTGCCATGCAAGAAAAGCCATCATTTTGCAAGACATGGATGGATAACAGAGACAATCATTAACCATACATTATGCAAGAGCTAAATCTGCCAATTGCAGGTCTTTCTTTAGGCCTGAAATGTTATCTAAATTATTAATTAGACATTAACTAACTTATCCCGACCATAATCGCTAGCCTGTGATATTTACTGGATTAGAACCTGGTCTGCTGCTTCTGATTAAATCAAAAAATGGATAATCGAGACTTTGGTTTTTATCGTACTGACTTTAGTAATGATGATCGAGGCCAGGCCCAAAAATTCAATCGCTAAATATTTGATTCAGAGTGGATCAATTTGATTGAAATTTTCAGCAAACTCCCTTTACATTATCTAGTTTTTAACTAATTATAGTGAGAACTACCAGCTCTTTATCTAATCTCCCGTAATGTATCTTTAATGCTTGTCCCTGTAAAGTGTTGATTAAAATAATGTGAATGGATGTCCGGACGGACAGGGGCAACAACATCATGCAAATACAAAATGTACAATATACTTACTGGACTAAGATAATTTGATTGGTTGCTACTAGGTGCTGCAGTGGCTTCATTTGTATTCTGTTTCCCTATATGATTGTTGATTGGTTGCTCTGCTAGAACATGGTTGATATCTACAGGCGTTGACGGAGAAATCGTAACCCTAAAAAACACAACATTCTATGTATGATAAAAGATTTTCTTTTTAGGACTTATAAGGTAAAATTGACTTCTTTCAGCTGAACACTTGCATTCATGAGTTAATTTTGTTTGAACTGCTGACTGGATGGCGATCACTATGTGATAACCAATCAAGAGCCTAGCTGCAATGTAAATAACCATAGTCGACTGATTGGTGGATTGATTGATTGATTAATTAATTGATGATAATGATGGTTGATGATCGATGATGATGCTGTTGATGTGTTGAAATTGTCGATGATGATGTTTTTTATATCGCTGATGTTGATGCTGTTGATGATCGGTGATCAATGATGATGACTGTTGATGATTGAGCTGTGATAACCAATCAAAAGTCATAAATAACCATAATCGATTGATTAATTGGGGATGATGATGTTGTTGACAATGATGATCAATGATGATGTTGATGTGGTTGATGATGATGATGATCAATGATGATTGAGCTGATTGCTGATGACAATGATATAGAAAAGAGTTAAAATTCCATCTGCAAGTGGTTGTGAGTGATGTGAAATTACAGAAATGTTCTTGAACGTAGAAGTTTAAAAAACATGACATTTTGTGCTGCAAATTCCATAATTTTGTGTCAGTTTCATACAGTATGAATAACATAAATCAAATTTGAACATAATAACATAAATAAGGACATTGGTATAAGCTACGAGATTTAGTATTATCCAGGTTTCCAACAACTAAAAATAAAGTATTTCTAAACGGTGTACTGTAGGGCTACCACTAAACTCTAGATGTTACCCAATGAAAAGAGAAAACCCTTTAGCACTTGAGACTGCCCGAAGCTAACTCCCTGGAGCTATAACCGGCCCAAGTCACGCAAACAGTTAATTGTGGTTCCCCCAAGAACTACTATACTGTCCTACAATATGGAGTGCTATTCACACGATTCTGGCTGTTTGATGCTGTCTAGGAAGCAATTGTTTCCAAAGATTTCGGGTTGTCCAGCGATATACCAACTATATCAATTTTCTCTACCGTTTTTTTCAGGGTAGGTAACCAGGAACTGGGGCCAAACAAATACTCATCTTGTTTTTGGGTGGCTAAGTGGGTAAGACGCTGATTCGCTAGCCTGTAGGTCGCGTGTTCGATCTCAGCATTGGTTGAGAAAAAGTTCATTGGGATTTTCTGACGTGGTTTCCCCTTGTCAGTGGTGCAGGATGGAGGGCCTAACAAGGACAGCTGTCTAGTCATTTGAAAGGTATGAAAAACCGAGGTTCCATGTATACATTGGTGTGCACATAAAAGATCCCTTGACAGTTGGAATTCGATATATAAAGTAGGCCATAGTGCCGCTGCCCGGGCAAAATTTATCTCATGGCACACTATGCCCGTCTTCATTAGCCCAGTCTTGTAGGGCGACATGCTTCGAAAAAAGCCCAAGGCTCCTCAAATTCATGTACAATCGACATGAAACTTGGCATGCTTGTTCCTTGGACAATCTTGCATCCAATGACAGACTTCGATTTTGATATGACATCACAAGTCCAAGATGGCTGCAATGCTGTCATACTTGGTCCCTGGTCCATAGTACCTGTTACATACCATGTGCTAAAGGGTTTAATTTAAGAAAAATAGGCTTGGTAAGGAAATTAGGGTTCTTATTCTCAAAAAAATCAAAATCAAAAACAGTCTAAGTATATTGCCTTTTCATTGGTAGAATCTGTACAAATTTTAAATTTTAACCAATGAAAAAGCATTATCATTAAAATATTCGAAAAGAGGGCTCCTTAAGAAAAAAAAAGTGTCAAATAATTGAGGTGAAAAATTGGGAAACAGTTGAAAAACTGACCTTTTATTCGATCCTCTATTTGACTTTCTGATTGTAAAGAAATAATTTGAAATATATTCATCTTGATTGAACATTAAAGTTAGTCCAGTAAAGTACCAGAAAAGGACAATCATATTAAAATAAAGATCTATATTTTGTTTGTTTTTTTTTATACTTTCGATGGCCTACACTACATGAAGATCTGACTAGTTGTAGTGGCGGGTTGTGTCAGAGGTCATACGAGTGGCTTTTGACTCTATGATGTCAGACATTTGATTAACCAATCTGCGTTGATGTTTCTAGTGTGTTACCCATAGTTCATTGCAGCTCATGCCAAAAACTCGCCGTAACAAAACATTTCATTGGCTAATCCCTCACATCATCCAGAACACGGGTTATATAACAATGCTTACTGATCCTAGTGTAGTAAAGACAAGTAAAACGAAATTTGGAACTATAAAAACAAAACGAAATAGGATCTGTATTTTAATCAGATTGAGTAAAGGAGTCATATTATTGTTAACTAACTTGATCTGCTTACTTGCCATCTTCCTTTCATACACCCTTTCCGCTAGCTTACATCATCCATTATGATTATTAAACTTAATCAGCATAATAAACAGAGTTGCCTCCCATTAGCCATTAATTGTAGTAAAAAAAAGTTTGGCTGTATAAGCACAGTCAAGCACTGATTTTTGGCTTAGTTAAACTAATAAATGATCTTGAACTTCATAAATCATAGCCTAAAACATTCACAGGGTCATGCTGCTTAATTTGATACACATATGTTTTTCCGTCTCATTCACCAGTCCTTTTAGACTAAAACGACATGGCCCATCAATTTTCTATTTTCTACAACTTTGCTAACTTCTACAATCAACTTTTAAAACCTATCTAGACAAGTCCATTCAAACAATAAACTAAGTTTAATGACTGCATTCACGGCACCACAAGTGAAGTCAAAACTAGCAAATAAACTAGCAATTGGAAAGGACTATTTTAGGCAGCAATACAAATATTCACTATAAATAACCTGAAGACTAAAGGGGGCTAACTCTTAAAAAAATATTATTTTGAAACTGTAAAATGGACACAGGACACAATTAATTCCTACATCTGGTCACCAACGAATGAAGTGCGAAGTTATTAATAGTCGTCCTCTCCCTTTCCATTTCACCCCATTTTGTATGGTGATTTTTGTTGACTTTTCGATGTAGAATCGAAGAAAGGGTTTTCTGTCAGGTTTTGCGGCAGACAGATAAGATATTTAAGAGGTTTATTCTGTTGAAATGTATAGCTGATAGTTGCATTTTTACTAGTCTGCTACTTCCAGTTTGTGTATCTAAAGATTTGCATGGTGAATCTCATACTTGCTTTTGAGTAAGAGGTTGCGACATGTTGCTTCATCTGTGCTAGAAAGCGCTCAACCAAATGAAAATTTGGGAAAAAGTTAGGCCCGCTCAAAGACACAAGAATTAATATTAATGTCAATGGGGTTATTTTTGGTGTACTGTGGCCAGTTGCAGGTAAAAAAGCAGAGAGAAGCAGCAGGGTTATGAAATAACAAGCAAGCATTCAAACTAAATTTAGCTGAGCCAAAATGAATTCAGGTTCTGCATTAAAAGCATTGTCATATATTGCGTGGATTAAAAGCAATTGAAGAAAAGAGGAATTAACTCTTTTACTACATCAGTAAAGGGGCGACATTGATTTCAGCAAAATATAATAAATTGCAGTAGAGCAATGAGAGAGGGAGAGAGAGAGATGGGGTGTAGCATCCACTTGACACAAACTAGGGATTAACATTTGGTTCAATTTTATTTCAATAATTCGCTACCACGTAGGGGTCTTTCGCAGTGGGAGGAAACTGGAGGACCCGGAGAAAACCCACGAGGTTGGATAGATGACCCAATTTCTTGTCACATATATGCAATATTTATATTGCATCAGTCCCAGATTTTATAGGGTATACATCAGTTTCAGTATACAAATTAAACATCTAAATGTGACGAGAGGAACCCATGTTCTGTAAGAACAAAGCTAAGTAGTTAAATAATGTAGGATTTTTTGCTCACCTGTCGAAGGTTTGTAGTTGTTGTACCATCTGTGTGAGGTGACCATTACTCTCTACACCACTATCATCACTAGGTAAATCATCTCCCTAGCAACATAAAATACACATATAGACCAAAAATACATAACAATCATTCTGCAAGTCTCTGAACGTCATTTCAGGGTTTGTTAATCCCTTACAAATTACAATAATGTGAAAGCTAAATATCTAAATATGATATCAGTTTAAAAATGGTTCAATTCTGTTAATTATTTACAAAGATATGATCAATTAAAAATTATTCAGAGCTAGGAGTAAGTGACCACTCACTCTGAGCACTATTTTAAAAAATGGTGCCATCTCCATTATTTTTTAAACACTGTTTATAGCATTGCCTTGGACGAATTACTTCATATAACTAATACCTCCTTGTGTCTTACTTTTTAAAAACAAATAAAAACCTATAATGAATTTATGTGCCTTTTTTATGTGGTCGTTCCCAATAACTTTTGGGGGGGTTGGGTGGCTGAATGGTTAATGTATTCATGTTAAGGTAGTGTTCCAACGTGCATGTTGAATCTCATAAGGTCTGTCATTGAGTCAAGTGGCATGGTTTCGAGTCCCAGCTTGTACGTGACAAAGAGTAGGGTTCTCCAGTTTTCTCAAGCGAATTAATGAAATAAAATTGAACCATATGTTAGTCCCGAAATGACCTAGTTTGTGTCGAGTGGATGTTAAACCCCATTTCTCTCTCTTCCTCTACTTGACTTAGTCCCTGATTTGGTGAATCTTGCCAAATTACTTGTCTACAGTATTCACGACTAAATAGTCTGATTACGAAATTCTATTTACCCTTTTAATGGTTGTTTGATGAACGTCTGCCTTTACCATGAAACCTGATGATGTAATACCACTAGAGGTTGATGGGATTGGTTCTGGTGTATTAATATTTAATCGTGATCGTGACTTTGTCCGACTTCTGCTACTGACAGGGAACGACAGATCACTATATGATTTACTTCTGGCTTTTAAATGACCTTCCTTGATATTAAATGAAAAGAACAATTTTATTTCATGTAGTAGGAGAGTAAATATGGAGTGTGTATATCTGCAGACGTCTATAGGTTGCTAGGGGGTTGGGAGGCCGAATGGTTAACGCATGCGCATTGCATCATAAGGTCTGTCATTAAGTCAAGTGGTGTGGTTTTGATTCCCACTGCCAGAGCCCCCTACGCGCAAGTGAATTGTTGAAAAAAAATGGAACCATATGTTAGTACCAAAATGACCTAGTTTGTGTTGCGTGGATGTTAAACCCCACTTCTCTCTCTCTCTCTCTCTCTCTCTCTCTCTATAGGTTGCTTGGTCCTACAGACTTGATCGTGAAAAATTTCCAGGTTTCGATTCCAGAGTTGGTCATTAAAGTTCCTTAGGATTTTCCAACCTGGTTCTGATTACCCCTTGTCAGTGGTGCAGGATGGAAGGACTGGCAAGGATAAGTGTCTAATCATTTGGATAGAACAAAAAAACAAAGTCCACCATGGTGTGTATGTTAAAGATCTACTGACAGTTAGAATTCTAAAGGAGAGTAGGTGGATATCTGATCAATTACCTTCTCAAAAGCTAAAGAGTTCAAATTGTGACAAAACTTGTAGCTTACTGAGAGAAATCTGGGAAGGGTGTTTGCCACTCAACTAATTTCTGATTTCTTCTAAAAAAACATGGTTTAAACATGCATTAAGCTAAATTTGCCTATTGCAGGTTTTTTCTTTAGGTCTTAAATGTTATTTAAACTATTAGTTAGATATTTATCAACATAATCAACTCTCGATGCCATCATTAGCTCGGGATATTTAGTGGATTTGAATAGCTTTTGTGATGGATGATTTAACGTCAAAATGGATATCGAGACTTTGTTTATTATCGCAATGACGATCGAGGCTAGTCTAAAATTGAATGGCTAATATCTTGGTTCGGAGTGAAGCAATTTGACTGATATTTACATCATATTCGGTTTTCATTATCTTATTTTTTAACTATTATAACGAGAACCGTTGGCTCTTTATCTAATCTTACCTAATGCCCCTTTAACTATAAGCCACCACTTGGGTTAGATAAAATTCTTACATACAGTAGAACAATAATGAATAGTTTCTTTGAATGGCATTTAGTAATTGGAACATAATCAAAAACACACTTTTATGGATAACAATTACTATGGTTTATTTCACTGCGACGTTTCAACAAGGTTTCACAAGTCGTTATCAAGCATATACACAAATAAATAAAATATGAGAAAGATATGAATATAAATATACAAACATCAGTGCGAACTATCCAATGGAATGCAAGGTGAGTGAGCATGATTAGTTATAACAAGCTATTGATGTAACAAAGGTGCATAATCGTATATATATCGTATATGAAACATTGTTGAAACGTCGCAGTGAAATAAACCATAGTAATTGTTATCCATAAAAGTGTGTTTTTGATTTGAATAATGAATAGTGTACCTGTTTATCTATACGCTGTGATATATAATTCCCACTCTCCTGTATTTGTTCTATAGCATCACGTAATGACTGGAGATCTCGTGACGTAAATCCCTGGCAAATATTAAAAAAAATAATTCTGATTAAAAACTCATAATTTCATTTTCTTTGAAACCACACTATTAAGAATGAAAAGATATGAATGAAAAGATAAGAATGAAAAGATAAGAAACCCTTGGAAAACCAATTTATTGAGATTGAAAAGATACAAGGAACATGAAAAAACTTTTGAAAACCAATTTATTGAGATTGAAAAGATAAGAAGGAAAATAAAAAAAACCTTGGAAAACCAATTTATGGAGACGGAAAAATAAAAAAAAACATTTGAAAACCAATTTATTGAGGCGGAAAAATAAAAAAAAACTTTTGAAAACCAATTTATTGAGAACGAAAAGATAAGAAGGAACATGAAAAAAACTTTTGAAAACCAGTCTTATAAATATTGAAAAGATAGCAGGAAAATGGATTATCTTTTTGAAAACCAGTCTTATTCATTTCTTACGTGATTAGAAGGAAAATGAAACATCTTTTGAAACCAGTCTATGAAGACTAAAATGATTAGAAGGCAAACGTCTGACCTGGGAATATAGCCAATCGGACATGGAGATATGGTAAATCATAGTAAAAATTCCAAGAGATATTTACTGTACTAAAGGTGTAACTATTACTAATCTCGATTGTCATTGATAATAGGTGGGATTGTTTAAACAGATATTTACTATACTAAGGGCATAACTCATGTTCCTGAAGCATTGAGTGCGAGTTTTACAACATCTGGACGTTGCTAGATTGCTTCACAATTCCCGAACTTATAGCTACGTTATCTGCAGATACGTGAACAGTAGCGTACAATCAGAGGTTGTGACATAGCGACCTCCATGGAAACCTTGACACTGAACAAACCTTGAACTTTGCAACTCGATTATCACAGATAGACATTTTAGCTTAAAAGCGCGAGACTTGGTATTCGCGACGATCAAGGAATCTGATAGGCTCACAAGCTGGGCTTGTACCCAATCGAAATTAGTGCCGTAATATGCAGGTATTACATGAAGGCCTTGATAAGATGTACGGAATTAAAGGGAGATCAAGCCTTCTATTAAAGATGGGTATAACTATGCTACAAAACATAAAAAATATTTGTATTTGAAGTCAGGGAATGGAAGCTTTTTGACTCTGTTTCTTGAAGCTGACCACGACTTCTAGTGACCTAATTCTAGCCTCCATCAACCCCAACTAAAAATGTCCTACGAGCAAAATTTTGAAACAGCATTCCTGGTTTGCAGTCTATTTACTAAGAATGAGATAATGAGATGGAAGAAACTTTTGTTCATTTGATTCTCTTGTTTTTCATACAAAATAATTACAATATTGAAGCATTTACTCACATTATTATTGTTAGAATGTAAAACTGGATTCATTAAAAATACTTGATTACCATTTCTATTTTTATTCTGGAAAAAAAACCAAAACACACAGAATATTTATACTATGAAATATCTGAATATCCTTTAACATATTTGTACCAGGACTGATCTTGGAGCCACAATGGTTCAGTTAGTATGGTACCGATTCAATAACCAGAAATGATCTTGTAGCCACAATGGTTCAGTTAGTAAGGTACCGATTCAATAACCAGGATTGATCTTGGAACCACGATGGCTTGGTGAGTATGGCACCAATTCAATAACCAAAAATGATCTTGGAACCACCCTGGCTTGGTGTTTAAGGCACTGATTCGATAACCAGGACTGATTTCGGAACCACAACGGCTCGGTGAGTATGGCACTGATTCGATTACCAGAAGGTCCCATCTGAACAACAAGGCACACTTTCCTTGTCATTCCTGCAGATGAAACCCCTGACCAGTATGAAAAATCATGTAGGTCCTTCCTGGCACATGCCAGGATTTCGAACCCGGAACATTTTTTGTTCCACCTGAATGAATAGATGCTGTTCCTTGCCAGGCCCTCCATCTTGCACAGGGGGAGATAACTCCAGATAATCTTGAGGAACTTTCCTAGCCAACACTGGGATCAAACCCGGGTCCTCATGAAGTCACCGCAACTCCGCCACAAATTGATACAATTGAGCATATGTGAGATTAGGAAATAGGTTGTTTCTGTCACACAGTCTTTTAATCCTAACATCTTTATGACCAAAAGGGGATCACATGGCTAAGTGGGTAAGACGCTGGCTCACTAGCCTGGAGGTCGGGTGTTCGATCGCTGCATTGGCCGAGAAAATTCATCCAGATTTTCCAGCGTGGTTTCCCCTTCTCAGTGATGCAGGACGGAGGGTCTGACAAGGACAGCTGTCTAGTCGTTCGGATGAGACAAAAAACCGAGGTCCCGTGTACACATTGCCGTGCACGTAAAAGATCCCTTGGCAGTTGGAATTCGATATAAGAGTAGGCTGTAGCGTCGCTGCCCGGGCAAATTTCCCTCATAGCACACTGTATGGCGTATGCCCGTCTTCATTAGCCCAGGTAAGGAGCAGAACAGTAGGACGTTAAACCCCATTTCATTTCATTTCATTTTATGACCAAAACGTCCGTCGTTAGAATCTTACCATGGCAGAAGAGAATAAAGTTCTTTTATTTTGTTGTTCAAGGTGTAGATCTGTACTATCATAAGACATGAGAGAAAATGAATCAGGAACCAGAGATGATTGTCTTCCTAACTGTAAACAACCAAAAAAAATACATTAACATGGTACAAGTTTTACACCAGTAAACATCCATTTATTAAAAGTATGAAGACTAAAGGGAACTAACTCGTTATGTTTACCTATCCATTTGAAGAGTCCAGGAGAAGAAAGATCTAAATCACATTTTTGTCTTTTCGCATAAAAGGCAAAACAGACTTTTGGACGAGAATGCTTGACACGAACAGAACAACGAGCAGGTTTAATTACAACTTCGAAATAATGTTTAATATGAATCATAATTACCAGTACAACAACTGACTTCCACTTTTCAGCCAAATTAAGGTCAAATAAATACGATGGATTTGTATTTGTCCGGGAGGCCATTTCAGAAGGGCCTTGGTTCGATGTGACTCCGATCGTTTTACCCCAAAATTGATTGTTCCACTGAAAGCTTATACAATTTGCTACTAGATGGTGCCATTAACTGGGGTTCGTTTAAAAAGTGATTTAGATCGTTCTTCCCCAGGGCTCTTCATTTATTAAAAGTCTGAAGACTAAAGGGAGATAACTCATTATGTTAACCTATACAATTCCCTTTCAGTAATAATAATAATGCATTTAAAGATCATGTCAATTCCACCTTGAGTTCAATTCCACCTTGAGTTCAATTCCACCTTGAGTTCCTCTGGTGATCATTCTCTACTTGTCTGGAATAATACGTACGATGGATGTGCTATATAAAGGATTTTATAATAATAAAAATATAAACCTACCCCATGAACTTCAGCCTCTTTTTGAAGAACAAGATGATCAAATTGATCCAAATCTCTGGGATTTAATAAAGGACGGATTTCACCAACCAGTGTTAACTATAATAACAAACATTTATAAATATCTAATGATTTATTATTGATTAACTATAGTAACAAACATTTATAAATATCTAATATCTAATACTTTATTATTGATTACTAGTATAAACTATAATAACAAACATTTATAAATATCAAATATCTAATGGTTTATTATTGATTACTGGGGTCACTTGCCAATCGGTGGGGTTGGGTGGGTGGCAGCGGTTGAGAGGACGAGTGGTTTAACATGTGCGGGTTAGATCATATGGTCTGTCATTGAGTCAAGTGGCATGGTTTCAACTCCCCACATGTACATGACAAGAAATAAAGTTGCCTGTACAATCTTCTAAGTGAATTATTGAAATAAAATTAAACCATATGTTAGTCCTGAACTGCAATGGGGTTTTACACCCTACTTTTCTACACCGATTGGGCTAAAGAAGATGTGTATACACAATGGATGTAGGGTGCAACGAGGGAAATTTTGCCTGGACAGAAGTTTTTTGCCTACTCTTCATAGGCCACAGGTTCTTTTATGTTTTTAATCCCATTTGAAAAACTAGTCACTGTGCCTTGCCAGGACCTCCTCCATCCTACACAACTGACAAGGAAAACCAATGCTGGAAAATCTCAAGGTACTTTCCCAACCAAGACAGAACCTGGGCACCCCTACCAAAAAACAATTGAGACCCTTTAATTATACTTGTAACATGGACGGGAAATCTTCCTTTGTTCTTTTCGTTGAATAAGCAGATTGTTTTCCGTCTAGTAGATTGGGTGGAGCTTAACCGTGCAATAACGATGTTTACTTCAACCTTGATGTTTAAACCTTTTAACTCGTGAAAGCAGTGCTATAAATATAACTTATATGAACATATTTTGAAGGATAATTACAAACAACTGATCTATTTAATTACCTTAGCTTGTGTATTGAGAAGTTCGAACAAAGCGAAGACGAGGCCATCAATCATAATACTACTACGTTGATATTCGGTGAGATAATATCGTAATGTTGCCTGTTCGTGTTCATTTAATAATATTCTAGCTTGTTCTTCGATCATATCCCACTGTTGTCTGGACATAGAATTTAACATCAGCTGGGATCCAGCTCCTCGAGAAAATCCTATTCTTTTAGAAGACTGAAAAACAAAAGACATCAGTTTTTTAAAACAATATTTTATTCTGATTTGCATTGAGGAACAGGCATTGCCTATATTAAACCCCTCCAAACTTTCATACTGCCAACAGAAAAAATGTCATAGGATATAACACCCACGGACAAATTGTCATGGTATATAACACCCACAGACAAAATGTTATAGTATAATGCCCACTGACAAAATATCAAAGTATAATGCCCACAGATAAAATGTTATAGTATAATGCCCACAGACAAAATGTCATAGTATAATGGCCACAAACAAAATGTCCTAGCATAATGGCCACAAACAAAATGTCCTAGCATAATGCCCACAGACAAAATGTTATAGTATAATGCCCACAGACAAAATGGCATAGTATATATAACACCCACAAACAAAATGTCACTGTCACAATATATAACACACAGACAAAATGTCGCAGGGAAGTAATGTCACATGATAGAATGTCACAATCATATTTTTACTATATTTTTCACTTCAATTATTGAGTTGGGGTTAAGGTTAGCTATACTCATTGATAATGGCATGATATATCATTGACTTGGGTTTAGCTATACTCTATTGTATGGAATCACAGATAGTAAACCACAACACTTGATTACTTGATTGGGTTAGGTTTAGTGTTAGCTATATTCCATAGTATGGAATCACAGGTTCTGAACCACGATACTTTATTGGGTTCGGGTTATCCTGCAGTTTTGGTAATACTTGCATGTATTCGAAAACCAGAATCTCTAGTTCCAGCAACAACCACAATATATAAAGTTAATTACCTTTGGAATCAGTTCTAAATTAGATAAACTTGCTGATAATCTAAAACAAAGACGAATCATCATATTATTAAAAAAAAACAAAAATATTTTCAACTGATAGATTGTGCAGAATGGTGAAAACTAATTACCATCTTAAAGGACAATATGTGATATAACTGGTTAAACACATACCAAATATCATTTTTTAACACATTAAATTATCAAACCCTGAAGAATTAAATATAAAATTGCTTTGGGCTAAACTCAGGCCTAGAAATATTGTCTGACATTTTTAACTTGTGGTGAATATGTATTAAAAATACACAGAAAATAGAAAAATCTATCCCAGATGTAGCTGGAACTGTGCCTGAAAAAGCTTGTGTCTGACACGGTCTGTGACAGAAGCCTTAATTTATTTCCAGACTTGGTCTAAACATTTATTAAGACCACAAAGAACTTATTATTAAAATGCTTTGGCCTAAAGCAGGCCTTGAAATTGTACCTGGCATTTTTAACTTGCACTGGACATGTATTAATAATATCAATAAAAACACAGAAAATAAACAAGCACTGGCGGAATTGTGCCTGACAAATTGTGACCGGTACCTAAACATTTTGTTGTAAATGAGGGGTTTTATAAAGGTCACGTGATTAGTGTGATGTAACTGATATTAATCGAGTCACTTATTATACAGCTACCAAACTATCAACACGTCACTACTACAACTTGGTGGTTTAACAAAGTCTTAAGTCTAGAAATATTACAATTTCACATTCTCAGTTTTTATATATATTCTGATCTATCTATACAAACCTTCCATTGATAGAATGAGATGATCGTGGCATCTGGTCTTTATCTATCCACTGTGTTTTATCGATGGTAGTTTTAGCAAATGGTAATTTACCAACATCTTTTACCGTTATTACCATGTGGCGACCAACCTTTAATAATTTCACGGCTCTGGAATGACTGATGTCTAAAAAACTGTGACCATTAATATCCAAAATTTGATCTCCTACCTGAAAAATGCATCAGAATCTCAATAGATTTGCATTCGGGTCAGAAGTTTGATTAAACCAAGACTGTCATTTATTACGGCCCCAGTTTCACAAAGCATTCCCATTGTAACTAAAATATAGCCCTTTATAAAAGTTTTGTTGTTTTAATGTATCAAATACATCAATAAGAAACTTTGCAAAGTTTTGTGTATCTGGATCAAAGATATTTCTCATTAACAGTGATTGAAAATTGAATAAATTCCTGACTAATGACCAGTACTTGAAGACAGTATGTGAATTAAATTTTGTAAATGTCCAACATTATCAAGAACTATTTTTGTTTAGAAGTCTGGTTATATTAAAGTGACTGGGAGCTTATTGACCCTATTTCCTACAATTTGCAACAACTTCTATTGACCTAATTCTGGCACCTGGTCTGGTCAGATTCTTTTAAAAATGGATTAGAATTCTTGAACAGGAAACGATATACCATTTGAGGAGCTCAAATAGTTAACGAAATACAATGAAATGGGGTTTAACGTCCTACTGTTCTGCTCTGAACTGGGCTAATGAAGACGGGCAAACACCATACAGTGTGCTATGAGGGAAATTTTTAGCCAGGACAGCAGCACTAGGACCTACTCTTATATCGAATTCCAACTGTCAAGGGATCTTTTACGTGAACCCCAATGTGTACATGGGACCTCAGTTTTTCATCCCATCCAAATGACTAGACATCTGTCCTTATCAGGCTCTCCGTCCTTCATCACTGACAAGGGGGAACCACACGGACAATGCAGGGATCGAACACTCAACCTTCAGGCTAGCAAGTCAACGCGTCACCCACTTAGCCACTAAATAGTTAACAATTTTGGTTATACTTTTTGAATAAAGAAAAACTCACCTTCAGCCCGGCCATTTCTGCTACAGAATAATGATCAACACCAGAAACATAAATACCCAGACCAAATTCACGTCCACCTCTCACCATCAGCCCTAAACTCTTTCCTCGTGGCACTTTTACATTTACCTACAAACATAACATGATAATATATATCTATCAAAAATCATCAATATCAGAATATTCGTTTATAACCATGTAGCAGGAATAATCCAGATATCCCAGACTGTGGTTGCATTCCAATACTGAAATCTGTTTGTTAAATTATTTAATGTAAATATTAACCCCAACTAAAAATGTCTGATGAGTAAAATTTTGAAGCAGTACTAGATGATTAGTGTAAGACATTATGTCAGGTGCTAGTTGATCAGTGTAAGACATTATGTTAGGTGCTAGTTGATCAATGTAAGACATTATGTCAGCTGGTTGATCAGTGTAAGACATTATGTTAGGTGCTAGTTGATCAGTGTAAGACATTATGTCAGCTGGTTGATCAGTGTAAGACACTATGTCAGTTACAACTAAAATCATTACTTCCAGTTCTGTGAATAAAAGCGAGAGAGAGAAACAGGTTTTAATGTTCACTGCCACTCGACACAAACAAGGCCATTTCAAGCCTAATATATGGTTCCATTTTATTTCTATAATTCGCTTGTGCATGGGGGTCTTTAGCAGTAGGAGAAATTTGGAGGGCCCGGAGAAAACCCATGAGATTTGGGCAGGCAAGGGACAGCGTATAGTACAAACTGGCATGCACAGTAAAATATTTCCCCAATAGCACACTTTATGGCATATGCTCGTCTTCATTAGCCCAGTCAGAGCAGAACAATAGGACGTTCATTTTGTTTTGTTTTATATTTTGTGAGGAGGTGTTGGGTGGTTGAGTGGTTTAACACACAAGCTTTAGATTATAAGGTCTAAAAAGGTCTGACAATTGGATGTTAAACATGTTAAACACTATTTCTATGGTTTCCATCTTCACAATTTTATTTAACCCAAAATGTTTTCTGTTATGTTCAAAATAATATATATACATATACATTTTCAAAATAATCGTAATCTTGTTATTTTCATTTTAATCTATAAAAATGGACTACATAATTCATATCTAACAAATTTTATTGAAGGACAATCTTAAGGAGCTATAACGCTTATCAAGTCGGTCAATATGTCAAAAGAATAGGGAAACTTTTATCACTGAGAGGACATAAAATATTTTTATCCACTTCTATAGGCGAGTATTGCCTTTCATACGAGAAATAAAATGAATTTGGGTTTAATATCTTACTATTCTGCAACAATGTGAGCTAGTAAAGTTAGGCATACGCAATGCCGTTTTCTATGACTGAAATTTTCGGACTACTCTTATTTCAATTATCTCAGCGTTTTTTTTCTCAGAGCCACTGTGGCCCTCTCTATGAAACTTTTGCTGAAAATACCTGCTTATAAAAATACTTATTTTGCACTGAAAAACATATCTTTGGACACATTTGTTCTAGGCTGTAAGCCCTCTTGACCACTCTTCCTACGCAGGTTACACTTGTAACTGTAAAGATTATGATCTGTGATAATGGCTTATTTGCTTTGAAAACCGTATCTTTCTAAACACTTGCAGAGGGCTGTAGCATATAGTAGTCCCACTTGGGGGAGTTGGATGGCCAAATGGTTAGCATGTGTGCGCTGTATCTTAAAGCCTGTCAGTGAGTCAACTGGAGTGGTTTCGAATCCCCGGTTGTATGTGACAAGGAGTACGGTCGCATGTCCAACCTCGTGGGTTTTCTCCGGGTCCTCCGGTTTCTTCCCACTGCTAAAGACCCCTAAGTGCAAGCGAATTATTGAAATAAAATTAAACCATGTTTTAGTCCCGAAATAACCTAGTTTGTGTCGAGTGGACATTAAACCACATTTCTCTCTGTCACTCCCTTTCCTTCTTCCTCCGTACTCAATACGCCTACTAAGGTCAAACACATCAACACAAACATATGACTGTAAAAGTCTAAGTCGTATATACAATCTGTGATAGGTGCTAAGACAAGGCGTAAAAATCAGACATCAATTATTAAAAGCAGTGAGTATAATTCAGCTTGACGACCAATCAATAATTAAAACCAATCAATTCTCGTCGTAGATTCTTGGCTAGAAATTTGATATGATCAGATTCATGATCTCTTAATTAAAATCAACAATGTTTCTGATTTGTTTATTGTTTCATCCTTTACAAACCTTGTCATAAGTGAGAGGTTATTTTTAGTCTATATAACTAGGTTTTTCGGGACTAACATATGGTACAATTTTATTTCAAATCATTGGCTTATAGGTTTTCAGATGTGGGAGGAAACTAGAGAATGCATGTGTTGTGTAGGTGATTGTCTTATATATATTGTTCTGATTTTGATTTATGAATATACTAAATAAAAGTGTTCCTAAAGGTGTGGATGGTATGTTTTAAAATATTTTCATAGACACTTTGGCTCTGTCAGGCACAAAATGGGACGCTGTCAGTATTGTCTTAAATTATCAGTGTAAATAACAATCTGATTAAAATACAGATCTATATTTCGTTTCGTTTTTTTATACTTTCGATGGCCTACACTACATGAAGATCTGACCAGTTGTAGCGATGGGTCGTGTCAGAGGTAATACGAGCAGCTTTTGACCCTATGACATCAGACATTTGATTATCCAATCATCATTGATGTTACTAGTGGATTACCCACAGTTCCGTGCAAAACACACCTAAAGCTCGCCATAACAGACTATTTCATTGGCTAACCGCTCACATCATTCAGAACACATCAATGATAACAACTCTTCCAGATCCTAGTGTACTAAAGACAAGTAAAACAAAATTTTGAACTATAAAAACGAAATGAAATAGGATCTGTGTTTTAATCAGATTGTGTAAAAATAGTATGGTGAGAGATAAATGAGGTTTAGCGTCCACTCAACGCAAACTAGGTCATTTTGGGACTAACATATGATTCAATTTTATTTCAATAATTCATGTGTGCGTATGGATCTCTATCAGTGGGTGGAATCTTGAGGATCCAGATAAAACCCACAAGTATAGTGAGAGAGAGTAATGGGGTTTAGCGTCAACTCGACACAAACTAGGTTATTTTGGGTATAACATATGGTACAATTTTATTTCAATAATTTGCTTGCATGTACAAATGTAGAGGTCTTTAACAGTAGGATGAACCGATGAAACCTGGAGAACCCAGAGAAAACCTATGAGATTGGGCAGGCTACACTACTCCTTGTTACATACAAGCTTGGGATCGAAATCATGCCACATGACTCGATGACAAATGACAGACTTTATGATCTAAAGTGCACAACTTTAGACCACTCGGCCTTCCCCCAACCCTCCCTGCTATATAGTATGGTAGTGAACTGACAGAATTTTCATGCAATAAAGTCATTAAAGTTATTAATTAAATATTAATTAGCCACATTCCTTACCTTACGTTCATCACTAGCTTTCAGTAACGATAATCCAGATCTATTTCTGTGTTCCAGGGGTTCTGTTGGATGAAGTTGTTCTAGTTCTGGAGGAGGGGAGACTGGCCTCCCCTTGGGATCTATCCACCTGTACGTCTGATGAACTACATGTGTACCTGGGATTTTTCCGATTCGACATAACGTCAACTCTAACTTTCTTGCTGCCTTAATTATCTGCAAAAAATATTTTACATTCATAATTATTTTCAGGTGCTTGTTTATTGTCCCAGCCACACAACTAGAGACAATGCCTTAGCTGCAATTTTTAGCCGTGATAATTCTTATCTATGGCTGCAATTGATACACTATTTGAAGCTTTGAGCAAGTAAAATTAGGTTCAACTGCAAAATTTCAACACATATCTTCACAGTTTGCATGGAAATAATTAAATATGTTACAAATAGTGAAGAGTGGAACACTGAAATCATAATCTTATCTTACTGAACAGTTTTTCGAGTGACACGACACTGTATGTACAATACAGTTTGGGGTCAGTGTTATTGGAAATTAAGGGAGTTATAGGCCATTAACTTTTTTTAGTCAATTGACTACAAAACTTGCTCAAATGAAGGCCTTAGGACGGTCCACTACTGTGGCTGGAGCAAGACGGACGACATCAGTAGTGGAACCATTTCTAACAAAGCTTATGTCAGCCAAAGTGTCTTTACTTCTGACAATATAGCAGGTAAATGTAAATTATGGTATAAAGACATAAGACTCCACTTCAAAAGGAGATCATTATGGACATTGACAAAAAAATAATCGAAAATTATATCTGCATTTATTCACTCTGGATGTCTGTGTTTTTCTTGTCAATAATATAACGAGAGAAATGGCGTTTAACGTCTACTCGACACAGACTAGTTCATTTCAGGTTTAACATATGGTTCAATTTTATTTCAATCATCCACTTGCGTGTAGGGGTCTTTAGCAGTGGGAGGAAACCCGAGGACCAGGAGAAAACCCACAAGGTTGGACAGGCAAAACTACTCCTTATCACGTACAAGCGGGGAATCAAAACCATGCCACTTAACTCAATGACAGACCTCATGAATTCATGCGCATGCATTAAACCACTTGAACCACCCGACCCTTCCTCATCAATAATAAAACCACTAACTACATTCGATTTCCCGGTTGTACATGACAAGGAGTAGGGTCACCTGTCCAACCTCATGGGTTTTCTCCATGTCTTACAGTTTCCTCCCACTGCTAAAAGATCCCTATGCGTAAGTGAATTATAGAAATAAGACTGAGCCATATGCCCTTTAAACATATATTATGCAAGAGCTAAATCTGCCTACTGCAGGTCTTTCTTTAGGCCTGAAATTTATCTAAATTATTAATTAGACATTAATTAACTTATCCAGACCATAATCAACTCTCGATGTCATCGCTAGCCTGCGATGTTTATTGGATTTGCTGTTTATTGGATTTTCCGATTTGTTGTTCGACTTCCATTCATGATTTAATCATGAAATGGATAATCGAGACTATGTTTTTTATTCTACCAACTTCAGTAATGATGATCGAGGCTAGGCCGAAAATTCAATCACTAAAATCTTGGTTCAGAGTGGATCAATTTGACTGAAATTTTCAGCAAATTCCCTTTACAGTATCTAATTTTTAACTATTTAACTCTCATCTAATCTCCCATAAGGCTGACCTTGAAAATATCTTTGTTTCACCAAACCCGACCCACAATCGAGGAGAATGGTCGGTAGGTCGGGGTTTTTTTCAGATTTTTTTTTAAGAGCTAATTTGACAGCTTGATAATTTTCCGGGTGCAAACATTCGTCTTCTTTTATTGTCAAACAAATCAATGACATCGGGATTTTTCGTGATGCATGACTCACACACGAATTGCCAGAAACTGACGTTTGAAACTCCCTCAACATGTTTTTTAACGATCGTGCGGGTTGTGCCTTCATTTTTCTCGAAAACGGATATTCAATATCCGTTTTCGAGAAAAATAGAGGCAGAATCATTTCGTGGGAATGGACGTGCTTTCGTCTACAACCATTTTGTTGAGAAGCGACACCTATGATGCTTTCGTCTTGATCAACCAGTTTCAATAATGAATCAAACCATAGCCATAGTAAAGGGAAATAACTCTTGTGATATATTTCAGGTTGACACACAAAATAAAATAAAAAGATCGCGGAAAAGTGCAATAAAATAATTTAAGTCGGGGGTGGTTTTAGTTAGTCGGTCGCGTTAGGCGAAACAAAGATATTTTTAAGGTCAGCCTAATGTATCTTTACATACACCTAATATGAAATGGTCAAACCAAGCCCACATACAGCATGTTTCACATTAGATCAATATATTGTATATAAGAGAATTTATGACATGTGTATCTATTTATAAATCTATCTCTTGGTATTTATTTATGTAGGAAACAGATGTTTTTAATACTCACTGTAAATATTTCAATTGAATACAAGATGTTAAATACATCACAATGTACAACTGATTTCCAATATGATATAAAATCCAACAATCAAAAGCGGTGGACACACTGACTAGCTGAAAGATTTGGCTGAATCAATCGGCATTGAAATTCGCCTAGTGTGTCCATTGTTATTTGACCGAATGATTCGTTTGAATCAAACATGTTTGATACATTTGGCCGAATAGAATTATATTCGTCTAGTTTGTCCACCTCGCCGAAGCATTCGCCTGATTGAAAAATTCATTAGCCAATCACCACTCATATTGAGAAGTCATGTGATTGTTTGAAGACATGGTCACTGCCATGTACAGGTGAATCGGGCGTAAGATTAACCTAGTGTGTCCACTCATTCGGCAGTAGTTTGGCCGAATCATTCGGCTAGTGTGTCCACCGCTAAACATTCTCCCAAACAACTATTATTCCTTTAACGCCAATGATTCTCTAACAGATCTTCCTAAGTGTGCCACGAAATTTTGAATGGCCCACTAAGGAAATGTGAAAAACCATGTGATCCCAATTGAGTATTTACTGGTGTCTAATGATAATTTCAAAGCTGTGCTTTTCTTTATTTAGTTTGAGTCATTCTATGTGTCTATGACTAGTCTCTGTCTACGGTTGTATTCCGTCTGACTTACCATGTTTTTATTTTGCAAAATTCAAATATTTTTCATATAAATTTAGCCAGGTGTGCCGCAAGTTTTTCATGTGTTCCAAGGTGTGCTGTTGGCAAAACAAAAGGTTGAGAAAGCACTGCCTTACGCCCATGTCACTTAAACATTTATTATGCAAGAGCTAAATCTGGCAATTGCAGGTCTTTCTTTAGGCCTGAAATGTTATCTAAATTATTAATTAGACATTAATTAACTTATCCAGACCATAATCAACTCTCGATAGCATCGCTAGCCTGCAATATTTACTGGATTATGATCCCATTTGCTGCTCGACATCCATTCATAATTTAATCATGAATTGGATGATCAAGACTTTGTTTTTTATCGTACAGACTTTAGTAATGATGATCGAGGCTAGGCCGAAATTTCAATTGCTTAATTCTCAGTTCATAGGGGATCAATTTGACTGAAATTTTCAGCAGATTGCTTTTACATTATCTATTTTTTAACTATTATAGTGAGAACTGCCAGCTCTTTATCTAATCTCCCATAATGTATCTTTAAGTTGAAATAGCAGATTTGTGATCATGGCTTTTCTTTGGATAATGGTTCCCCCTTGTCAGTGATGCAGGACGGAGGGCTGACAAGGACAGCTGTCTAGTCCTTCGAATGGGGCGAAAAACTGAGGTCCCGTGTATACATTGGAATGCACGTAAAAGATCCCTTGGTAGTTGGAATTCGATATAAGAGTAGGCGATAGTGCCACTGCTCGTGCAAAATTTCCCTCATAGCACACTGTATGGCGTATGCCCGTCTTCATTAGCCCAGTTTAGGAGCAGAACAGTTGGACGTAAAACCCCATTTCATTTCATTTCTTTGGATAATATTAAATATTTCATGGCCTAATCTATACTAAACTGACTATTTTAATATTTAATTATGAAAACAAAGCTAAAATATCAACAACAGATAATCGCCTGACTTGGATACAACTGGATTAAAAAGAGGCCCATCAAAAAATCTTCCCCAACACATGTAGGTGATGCTGGCTTGTTTATGTGAATGCCGAATGTTAACAAATTTACAATTCATCAGTTCTTTGTAAACACTTAATCAGCTTGAACTATTTTTAACCTGCAATTGTTGTTTGCAAGGGATTCTGGGTCCCTTAATATAAAGGAGCCATGGTGGATTGGTATTCGCGACGATTGTGGAATCTGATAGGCTCTCAAGCTGGGTGAATACCCAATCGAAATTAGTGCCGAAATATGCAGGGTACGGATAAGATGTACGTAGTTAAAGCGAGATCAAGTCTTTTATTGAAGATGATGGTGACCATCCTTTTAATGTCTATGCACCTATTTTATAGAATAGGTTGCCTGTCGACTTGAGGCCCATGGAAATTTTTAATTCTTTTAAATCTGCACTTAAAGCAGATATTTAGATACATGCTTTTGTCATTATATCTGTATGGATCTACAACACACTGTAGACATAACACTGGGGTTTAATGTCCACTCAACACAAACTAGGTAATTTGGGGACTAACATGGTTTCAATTTTATTTCGATAATTAGCTTGTGCGTAGTGGTCTTTAGCAGAGGGGAGACTGGATGACCCGGAGAAAACCCATGAGGTTGGACAGGCGATCTTACTCCTTGTCACATACAATCAGGGGAAATACATCCAGTATCTTACCTTTGCAGCTTCAATATGAGAAATCTTCTTAAATGAAATATCATTGGCTTCTACGATTAAATCTCCAGGCTGGAGTCCTTGAAGCTCACCAACACCTCCTGGATCAACTGATGACACATACACACCTAATCCATACTCGGTACCTCCACGGATACTAAATCCAAAACTTTCCTCAGGATTCATCGAGGGACGTAGATATAACTTAAACACTTCTCCTGAATCGCCTATCGTGGACGGAGGGATGGAATAACCATTGGTCAGAGTGTATGATCGACTGTCACGACTCGATGATTTTGAACGCTGTTTTCTTTGACTGCGAATTGTACCGTTTGGCCCGTAATTAGCTACGTTTAACTCTGGTCTCCTTTTTCTGTGACGACGACCAAAAGTTGTATCTGTACGAAGAGTGTGAAATTGATCCTCAGCATGTAAATCGGGAACCTTATCCAAAGTATGCGTCTTATATAAATTAACCCGTGGGGCAGTTCCGTAAGATTTTCCGCCCTTCGTCAACAGTTCAAATGAATCAATGTCTTTTCGCGGTATGACACGTTTCACCAGGGGAAATAACTGTCTTTTTGTCGGACTATTAAGTATCTTTTTCAGACTGTTCACAAATTCAAAAACATCTCGTTCCGAATCATAAGTATGTAAAGCGTCTATAAAACCCGAAGTCTCCTCGTCATCCAGATAAACAGAAAGTGCTTCCTGCAGACGTCGTACGTTGAGAGAAAGAGTCCTGTGTCTGGGCTGTAACTCACCCAGTTGCATTTTATTGGACAGCATCTTGGAAGTCTTGTTTTTAAACAACGCACCACTCATATTTGCATTTATCACCACCAGCGGCAGCTGTGACCAGACGTCTTACTTATTCAATGGTGACTAAGATGTAGCCTATTACAATTGATTGTATTCTGCTGCAGAGCGATAAACTGACCTTTTGTTCTCTTGAAATGACCTCATAATTTTAGTATCAGAACACCTGGGAAAATAAAATAAATAAATATTGAAAATATGTTCGATAATTGATTGACTTAGTTCTAGTAAATCTACAAACAGATGACAGCTACAACAATAGAACTGTACATATTAAAATGGCTAGAAATGAAATGGGGTTGAAGCAGTGAATTAAATATACTGGATGTACAATACACAATAAACCAAGCCATCAAACAAACAGAGAGAGAGAGAGAGAGAGAGAGAGAGAGAGAGAGGGAGGTTTACTGTCCACGGGACACAATCTAGGTCATTTCGGGACTAACATAAGGTTTAATTTTATTTCAATAACTTGTTTGCGCGTAGGGGTCTTTCTTTAGCAGTGGGAGGAAACCAGAGGACCCGGAGAAAACCCACGAGGTTGGACAGGCGACCCTACTCCTTGTCAAGTACAACCGGGGATTCGAAACCACGCCAGTTGACACAATGACAGACCTTATGATACAGCGTGCACGTGCTAACTATTCGGCCATCCAACCCCCCACCCATCAAACAGGGAATGTTTCCTCTAATATATAGGGGAGCTGCTAACTGCAGGCCAGTTGGGAAGGCTCAGGAATTTCCGGTATTTTGGAGAATACTAACCCTAACACGTTTCAGAAGACTGAACTGGGATCTAATATTATTTTTTACCCCTCTTAAAAGGGTTAGGGTTAGTATCCCCAAAATGCTCATTTATATAAAGTGGCCATTGTGGACTCCAGAAATTCCCGAACCTTCCCAAGTGGCCTACAAATTAGCATTCACCAATATTTTGCAGTCAGTCTGAAAAATCACATGATATGAATATGTGATCAGGTGACAAAAGTAGGCTATGTGTGCAAGATATTTGTACAGATGTAAGAGTGAAATTAGTCAATCTTCGCAAATAAAAAGGGTTCATACTACACATTCACAACTTAGAGGGAATAGTGAAGAGAACTAAGTCAAAACTTGACACCAGTTATTACAGGTACTGTTTTGGAATTTCACCATCTTGGAATAATTAACCAAGATGAATTGTTGGTATATTAGTCAGATGATATAATAATTACACAGGTAGTGAAGTATGAAGTTAATTAAATTACTAGTAATCACAGTCACCATATGAATCATTAATTATCACCTGTACTTCTTAACCACATGTTTGTTAATAAACACCACATGTTTCTATAGAATACAAACTTTAGTTATATTTATGTTTTCTGTACAGTACAAGCATTTATTCATTAATTTGTTTTATATAATAAATAAAAATACATTATGGGAGATTAGATAAAGAGCTGGCCATTCTCACTATAATAGTTAATAACTAGATAATGTAAAGGGAATTTGCTAAAAATTTCACATAAATTGATCTACTCTGACTGAACCAAGATTTTAGCAATTGAATTTTCGGCCTAGCCTCGATCATCATTACTAAAGTCGGTAATATAAAAAACATAGTCTCAATTATCCATTAATTTGATTTTTATGGTTATAAGGTTATAATAATTTTTCTAAAAGATATAATTATTATGGGATTTTTGGTTATGATAATTTTTTAAATCGCACAATTATTTTCTTTTTTATGGTTATAATTAATTCATTTAAAAGATACAATTATTTGCTATTTTGGGGGTTGGGTGGGGGAGGGGGGGAGGATACAATAATTTTTTTTAAAACACATAATCATTTTCATCTGTAACATTTTTTATACTCTTATGTGGAATTCCAACTGTCAAGAGTTCTTTCATGTGCTTGGCAATGTGTACAGTGGACCTCGGTTATCCGTTCCATCCGAATGATTATACGTATTCCTAACCAGGCCCTACTCCTTGTCATGTACAAGCGGGGAATCAAAACCATGCCACTTGACTCAATGACAGACATGGAAAGAGAACTGAGAAGACAAACACAAAGCTGCGGACAAGACATTAACAACACAGACATGGTAAGCAACAAGGGCATGGATTTGTCATAACTTTTGGGGGGGACGGACGAACCCTGGAACCTTTCATTACCAAACCAAAATAATAATTACGAACAGTTTACCTGTGCTATTTCGATGAAAGCTGTAACTAGGGGTAATATGATGACGATCGTGGTGATAATATCGTGAAGATGAATTACTGTGGCGTGGCGAGACCCAAGGCAGTGGTTAGATAGCCTTCAGAACAGGACATTCATGTGGATATAAACCTGAAAATCTGTCCTGGTGATCAAAATCACGGGGGGGACAGAGACCCATATTCTTCCCCCCCTTCGGATTCTAAGGGGGGACCCGTCCCCCCTAAATCCACGCCCATGGTAAGAGAGAGAGAGAGAAATGGGGCTTAACATCCACTCGACACAAACTAGGTCATTTCGGGACTAACATATGGTTTAATTTTATTTCAATAATTCGCTTGCGCATAGGGGTCTTTAGCAGTGGGAGGAAACCGGAGGACCCGGAGAAAACCCACGAGGTTGGACAGGCGACCCTACTCCTTGTCACGTACAACCGGGGATTCGAAACCACGCCAGTCGACTCAATGACAGACTTTATGATACAGCGCGCACGCTAACCATTCAGCCATCCAACCCCCCACGCCCATGGTAAGCAATAAACAACAAATAAATATATCAAATCATGGGACAGATTTTTATTAAATATTTTCCTATGTTTATAGTTTACTATCTTTTATTTTCAACACAGGTGGATAAGAAAGGGAGCCTGAATTGTTTTTAAGGGGGAAGAACCTGACCTCTTGTCAACCGACCTTAGGTCTGCCCGTAACAAATACTATCAAATCTTGAGAGTTGATTCTAAAAAAAATAACTGTGTCAAAAACAACACAAAGATATCAGTTACATTGCTATCCATTTTTCTTGATAAACACAGTTGGTGGTCCCAACCCTGTCTGACATATATGTGAACTAAAAAAATCCAGCATCTGTTTTGATAAGGTCATGTTGAAAACATAATATCTTAAAATATCTCAAAATATTGTTATCATTTATCTCAGACATATAAAGGGGTGGGGGAGGTTTAAGGGTAGTAATTTCTGTGATGAAAGTATCTCCCCCCTCCAAAAAAAAAAATGTAAATTTACAATTATGTGTAATGTAATCAACCGATTGTTTCTAAAAAAAAAAAAAAAGATATATTCACAGTTTTAATCCTAGCTCTCCTCACCCCATATTTCCCTCCCCAATTATTCTTTCTAATATCTTTGCTGACAATCAACAACAACAAAAGAATTCTACTTTTTTTTTTCAACTTAATGGGAAAAATGGAAAAAATTACAATTTGAATCCTTCCTAGCCTACCCCCCCATCCCCTCCTCTCCTGTTAGTTTTGGCTTGCCTAATATCTGTGCAGACAATCAACAACAACTAAAAACTTCCCTAATTTGTTCAACTTGGACTCCCTTCCAAATACAAATCATATCCTCCGGATGTAATAATGCCACTTGTCAGTTACTTGTAGGCAGTAGAGTTGATAGAAGTTTTAAAGTAACTTACCTAACAAATGAGCATGCTGATATTAAACCACGCTGTTCTATCAAATACTAGAATAACTTATCATATCAAATAAGAAAAAAAAAACCTTGATAAATTATTAGAGATGCTGTTTAAAACTAGCCTAGCCTATGGCTAAAGTGCTAAATCCAGGCAGATGTCCTAATTAATAAACAACTCGACAAAAGCCACCTATATCGATAAATTATACAGTTCTAAAGCACACCAGTCGTTGTTCTAGGTATAGACCATCTGATACATATTGTATGAAGTCAGAATAACTTTATATTGATTTTACACATGCAATCCTTTCTGTAATCATATACTTACAGTGTATAGACCGCCATTCTTTAAGCTAGGTTTTCCCGCGTTTTCCTTGGCTCCTGGACACGTGGACGTCTTTCCATAATTTGTAAGAAAATAGTTTTGAGACAAATGGCCAGTTCTGGAATAAGAAAAATTAAAACGTGCCTATGGCACCACGGGTGTGCGGGGAAGGGGGTGGGGGCAGTTTTGTAGTTACCTATACAGTCTATAATAGGTATTCTGCTGTATTCTGCAGACCACCATTCTATACGCTAGTGTTCCCCGCGTATTAATTGGGCCGGGCACGTGGTTGTCTCCATTACATGAAAGAAAATAGTTTGATCACAAATAACCCAATCTGATGAAAATACAGATCTATATTTCGTTTTTTTTATATACTTTCGATGGTCTACACTACATGAAGATCTGACAAGTTATAGTGGGAGTTCACGTCAGGGGCCAAACGAGCGGCTTTTGATCTATGACGTCAGACATTGATTAATCAATCAGCGTGCCGTGCATAAAAGGGCCAAGAACTCGCCGTAACAGACCGTTCCATTGGCTAATTCCTCACAACAAGTAGAACGCCTGTTATATAATTAACAACTCGAGATCTTCCAGACAGATAAAACGATCCGAGGTGGGGGGGGGGGTGTCTCCCCACAGGAAAATTTTGAAAATTGACAACCGCAAACCCATTTTCCAAGCATTTCAGACCAAAGCAGAAGAAGGCAAATGTTTGATTTCCTGATACAATTAGATAACAGAATGACCTAAGAACCTAAGAGAGACCTAGATGAATTTGAGAATTCTAGTACACTTCTTTTTTTGTGTTGTTTGTCATTTATTTCCTATCTTTTCTTTCTCCTGTCCTGTCTCCTGTCCTCTCCTTCCTTCTTTCTTTTCTTTCCTCCCCTCTCCTTTCTTTCTATTTTCTTTCTCGTTTTTCCTTTTTCTTTATAGGCTTAGTCCCACTTTTTTTTAATGAGCTTAGGCCCACCTGTCACGGACAGGTGGACAGGTTGGCCCAGTCCGGCACTGATTGTCAGCACATTGTTTTATTTGGTGTAAGTGACCACAAAAAAAGGTGAAGCGCACTGAATACCCCCCTTCCCCATCCCCCACCAAAAAAAGCCCCAAGAAACAAACAAAAACACATACTCAGAGGAGATATCTGAAATAGGAAATACAATCTTGTTATCGCCATATATCGGTTAGCGCAGTGATTCTCGACCAGTGTGGCGTAAGATCTTCCAAAGTGTGCCGCCGAATTTTGAACGACACACTTAAAAAAATTCTCACAAACTCGAAAGACTGCAGTAAAAGTAAGTTCATAGCTGTGTTTTTCTTTATTTAGTTTGAGTCATTCTATGTGTCTATGACTATTCTGACGGTTGTATGCCATATTTTTATTTTGCAAAATTCAAATATTTTTCATAATGTTATATATTTACCCAGGTGTGCCGCTATTTTTTCATGTGTTCCAAGGTGCGCCGTTGGCAAAAAAGGGTTGAGAACCACAAAAGTTATCGCAATTATCAGATAATGTATAATCAATAGGCCATATTCGTAAATTCTTTTGTTACGTGAAATGAAATGGGTTTGAAATGAAATGAAATTGGGTTTAACGTCTTACTGTTCTCATGGAGACGAGCAGGTGCCATTTATGTGGATCGAATTGCCGCGTCAAAGTTTATTTTATGTGCACACTAAATTGCATGTGCACGAGACCTTGGTTTTTCGTCCCATCTGAGAGATACTGTTGCTTGCCAGGACACTTTTCCTTGGTTTAGAGCAGTGGTTCTCAACCTTTTTTTTGCCAGCGGCACACCTTGGAACACATGAAAAAATAACAGCACACCTGGCTAAATTTTGCAAAATAAAAACATGGTAAGTCAGACGGCATATAAACGTAGACAGAGACTAGTCATAGACAGATAGAATGACATGAATTAAATAAAGAAAAACACAGCTAGGAACTTATCAGTAGACACCAGTGAATACTCATTTGGGATCACGTGTTTTTCACATTTTCTTAGTGTGCCGTTCAAAATTTCGCAGCACATTTATCAAGATCTCGCGGCACACTGGTTGAGAATCACTGGTTTAGAGAATCTGAATTTAATAAGTTCATTTGCAGGTACGTGTGTACGGAAATAAGTTCGCACGTACCCATGCGACTGCACCATATCAGTCTAGTGGCTATAATCTCGAACGATCTAGTATCGAGAGATAAAACGAAAATAGCCCACGAATGCACGATCCGAAGGCCTGAAATAAAACTTGTGTGGTTCTATAAATGCTGCTGATTAAGGCTTATAATACATCAATACTGATTATGCAAAGAAAATCGAAAGAATTTTGGGGGGTTGGATGGTCGAGTGGTTTAACGCGTGTGCGTGAAATCATAAGGTCTATCATTGAGTCAAGTGGCGTGGTGTCGACTCCCCCAGTAGGGACGCCTGTCCAACCTCATGGATTTTCTCGAGGTCCTTCTGCTACATACCACTGCTAAAGATCCTTACGCACAACCAAATTATTGAAATAAAATTAACCAGATGTTAGTCCCAAAATGACCTACCTACCTCCCTCCCTCCCCCCCCCCCTCTCTCTCTCTCTTTCAAGGAATTTAATTTTACTATTGATTTGTTAAAGTATTGTGAAACTGCTGTCTGTTAGGTAGGTGTCTCTTAATTTTTAATAAGCATGTCGTCAAATTCCATCCTTATGGGGGTGGGGGTAGAGGTAGAAATAAATTCTTGAAAAATGCACGACAAATTCCTGCCTTATTAGGGGTGGCGGAAGGGGGGTAGCAAGAAATTCCCCGAAAAAAAGATAATTTAAAAAAATTTTTTTTACGGAACTGGGGGGTGGGGTGGGGCTTTTGGGATATCTTGTAATTCGCTGTTGATTTGGGTTTTGGACTGCAGTGACCGGGTATTTATGTCTACTTAATATTCTTTGTTGCCTAAGCTAGCAGGGTTTTTTTTCTCAGAAACCGTAGCTGTATCTCGACAAGATGTCAATTCTGAGAGCTCAAATTTTCATATTTTGTCGGCTCATAACTCTTATCATGCTCTACATGCACTACTGGAAGGCCACGCAGCCTTGCGGCATAATTTGTATGATCAGTCTCAGGGAATCTCTGTATAGAATAAATTTGTACGATCCCGATAAGTCTCGGGGCGTCTCTGCCATGGCTACAATAAATTATTTATTGGGTTTTATTACATTATTTAGTGCCACTTTTCATATTAATAGACATATTTTATTATATATTTAGGGGTCCATGTGGACGTATATTGTCGTCGCCCCTGTCCGTCCGTCCGTCCGTCCAAAATTGTTTGTGAACACTCTACCAGTCGCAATTTTTATCCGATTTCAATGAAACTTGAAATATAGGTTTATCACCCTAAGATCTCGGTTCCTGTCGATATTGGCAGGTATCGAACTGTAACTTCGTGGATTATTGCCCCTGATTGTACGAAAAATCACGTTTTTAGCTTGTGAACACTGTAAAGGTCGCAATTTTTATCCGATTTTTTTAAAACTTGACGTGTATGTTTATAACCCACAGATCTCTGTTCCTTTCGATGTTCGCGCATATCGGAGACTATAACTTCCTGAATTATGACCCCTGATTGTACGAAAAATCGCGTTTTTAGCTTGTGGGCCCTATAGAGATCACAATTTTTATCCGATTTAAAAAAAAGCGTTTGAATATATCACCATTACACCCTAAGGATTGTTAAATTCGAATTTAATAAAAATCGGACCGAAACTGACGGACAAAATGGCCGCCCCTCGATCGCAAATAGTGTCAAAATATTGTGTATCAGGGTTGTGGACAATCTGGAGGTCACAATTTTCATCTGATTTTGATGAAACTTGGAATGCATGTTTATAACCCAAATATCTTTGTTCCTGTTCATTTTCGTACATATAGAAACGTAACTTCTTGAATTATGCGCCCTGATTGTACGTAAAATCACGTTTTTAGCTTGTGGTCCCTCTAAAGTCACAATTATTATCGGATTTAAAAAAAAACGTTCGAATATATCATCGTTACACCGTAATTTTGTCTGAATTTGAATTTCATGAAAATCGGACCAAAACTGCCGGACAAAATGGCTGCCCCTCATACGCAAATAAGTGTAAACATCTTGTATATCAAAGTTGTGGATCCTCTAGAGGCCACAATTTTGACTGATTTTGATGAAACTTGAAATGCAAGTTTATAACCCAAAGATCTCGGTTCTTTATTTCAATATTCTCGCATATAGGATCGTAACTTCCTGAATTATGGCCCCTGGCTGTATGAAAAATTGCGTTTTTAGCTTGTGGTCCCTCTAGAGATCACAATTTTTTATCCAATTTAAAAAAAAAACGTCCAGATAATATATCACCGTTACACCGTAATGTTTGTTGAGTTCCAATTTCGTGAAAATCGGGCAAAAATGGACGCCCCTCGTACGCAAATAGTGTAAACATCTGGTTAAAAGGTTGCGGACATGTTTATAACCCAAAGATATTGGTTCCTTTCGATATTTGAGCATATCGGATCGTAACTTCCTGAATTATGGCCCTTGATTGAACAAAAAATCACGTTTTTAGCTTGTGGTCCCTGAAAGAGGTCACAATTTTTATCCGATTAAAAAAAAAACGTGTGAATATATCACCATTACACACTAAGATCTTGGTTCCTTTTGATAATTGCGGATACCCAAACTTATAACTTCCTGGATTATAGCCCCTGATTGTTCGAAAAATCGCATTAATTTAGCTTGTGGATTCTCTAGAGGTCACATTTTTTTTTCCGATTTTAAAAACCGTTTAAATACATCACCATTCCGCCATAATGAAGGTTGAATTCGAATTTCGGAAAAATCGAAATGAAACTGCCCGACAAAATGGCCGCTCTTTGTATGCAAATTGTGTAGAAGTATGTGGACCCTCTAGAGGTCACAATTTTTATCCTATTTGATGAAACTTAAAACATATCTTTATATCCCAAAGATCTCAGTCTCTTTTGATATTTGTACATTTCAGGCCATAACTTTCTGCATTATTGCCCCTGAGTGTACAAAAAATTGCGTTTGTTTTTAGCTTGTTCTCTATCCATCTCTTGGAAAATGTATGGGCGTATCCTGCCTGGCAGCCGCCACTGGTTAAAGTTAAACTATTGTTTCTGTTACTTTTAGGTTATAAGCTATAGCACACGGAGTCTGAATAAGTATTCACCGATTTGGTATAATCTTAGATCTGCCTTTTTGGTGCTTGTTGTTCTCCATAATCAACACCGGTTATTTCTGGCTAATCTGCAGGTGTTCTTAATAATTAGATCTGACCGTTGTGGCTGGGCTTCCGTAAACTACCCAAACTAGAAGTGCCCTTGAAGACAACGCAAACACCGAGCCTCGTACATTTTTCGTCGATAAATTTATTTGATCGGGAGAGACAATTTTACATTTTTTACGAAACTATTCAAATAACAGAGCCGTGCCCCACAGAGTAAACAAGAAAATGGCGTCAAGCCGAAATGAACCAAGTGAACGGAGTAGTCCTCGTCTAAATGGTTTGGACAGAATCCCCAAGCCGTTTTTAATCGGCGTTGCTGGGGGAACGGCTTCTGGAAAGGTCTGTGTTTTATATTTTTATGCAATTTTTGGTTTACATTACTTATATTGTGAAGAAACAGACAATTCTCTTTTTTCACATTTTGCATTATTTTGTTTACACTTTTTTTTTTGTGTCAAACGATCACTAGTGTTCATGGAAGTGATCACATAATATTGTCACAGTCACTTCAGTAGGCTAGATCTTGAACACTGCAAAACGTTTTAACATTTATTCAATCTGAATTGTCAGATCTTTACCTGAACTAGTTTTTTTAATAGCTAGGTCTACCGACTAGTACCGTCATTTTTTTTCAAATGAAATGAAATGAAATGGGGTTTATCTAGAAATGGTTCCACTACTGATGTCTTCCGCCTTACTCCAGCCACAGTAGTATCTCGTCCTACAGAGTTCCTTTGCGCAAGTTAATTTACACATAAACTGACCCAAAACAGTACTGCACCTAACTTAACATGTAATAAATCAATTCCTATTGAAATAAAGGTGAAGCCTTACCGCATAATTATATGATTTGATGAAACCCAACTGCTACGCGAAATTTCAACTGGCTGGTGTCATGGCGGCTTGTGTGTAATACATCATTACAAGAAACATCGCTATGCAAATGTAGAACGCATAACCACAAAGAAAAACTGTTCGGTAACTATTTTAGTGGTCCAGTCTTCACTATTTGTCATAGAATTATTTATTCCAATACAAACTGTAATGATATGTGTTGACAATTGTGCGTTTGAACCTATTTGAACTTGCGTAAGGATTCTTAGACTGTATCAATTGTAACGTTAAACACACAGTTTAACGTTACAAGTATAGTAACTAGGGTTTATCCTGCTCCATCTCCGGCTGGGCTAACGAAAACGGGCATACACATCATACAGTCTGCTATGAGAGAAATTTTGCCGGACAGCGGCGGCCTACTATTATATCGAATTTCAACTGTCAAGGGATCTTTTATGTGCATGCCAGTGTGTAGGTCACGTGACCTCAGGTTTTTTTTTGTCCCATCTGAATGACTATACGTTGTCCCTTGCCAGGCCTTCTATCCTGCACCACTGACAAGGTGGAACCACGCTGGAAAATCCCTATGAACTTTCTCAGCCAATGCTGGGATCGAACCTGGGACCTCTGGCAGGTTAGCGAGCAAACGTCTTACTCACTTAGACACGAACTGGTGTAAAAAAAGACATCCATATTTGGTCAGTCATGGTTGTGACATTTTTGAAGAATATACTCACACTTGTTTACACTGAGACTGAATAATCCAGCCACTGATAGATCCCATTCACTGATATGTTGCTTCCATAGACGAGACGGGAGTCAGTAATGACAGTTACATATCGAAATCGGACAATTCGGCATGCATGTAGGCCTGTATTATAGGTAATGTCTGTCTTGAGTCAAGTGGTTTCGGTTCACTGCTTATACTTGACAAGTAGTGGGGTCCATTGTCCAACCGTATGTTCATCCCGAAATGGCCTAGATTGTGTCGAGTTGACGTTAAACACCATTTCTCTCTCTCAAACTGGCAGAAGGCGTCAATTTGTACCAGGATTGTAACCCTCAACAAATGAAAATAGCTGTGTATCCTTTATATGTTTACTTTTAATGTAATAAAATTTTATTTTAGTCATCAGTATGTGCGAAAATTATGGATCAGTTGGGTCAGGCCGGAGTGGATCACAGACAAAGACAGGTGGTTATTATCAGTCAAGATGCTTTCTATAAAAACCTCACACCGGAACAAGATGTCCGAGCTAAACGAGGAGAATTTAATTTTGATCATCCAGGTATGAGTGATTTCAGATTATAAACCTACCCAATTTTCCATTCAGTAATGGTAACCCTAATCCCTGTTTGTTGTTGTGTATACATTTGTAATTTATACACATAATTGTTGGTGACAGGTGGACTGATGTAAACCTGGAAATAAGTCACCTGTTTTGAGTTGACGACACATTAAAATAAACCCATTACATTCCATTCTTTCTATTTTTATACGCCCACATTTTCATGTGGACTTATATTGTTGCCATCCCGGTCCGCAAACATCTTGTTTGTGGACACTCTACAGGTCACAATTTTTATCCGATTTTGGCCGATCTTGAAATATATGTTTATATCCCAAAGATCTTGGTTCCTTTTGATATTGGCATGTATGAGACCATACCTTTGTGGATTATAGCCCATGATTTTACAGAAAATCATGTATTAAGCTTGTGGAACCCTCTAGAGGTCACAATTATTATTCGATTTTGATGAAACTTAAAATGTATGTTTAGTTTATAACCCAGTGATCTTGGTTCCTTTCAATACTGTCACTTGCCAGATCGTAACATCCAGGTTTATGGACCCTTATTTTTCGCCCACTGAAACTACTGCTCAAAAAACCTTCTGATATTCTATGAAATACAATTACTGCTTATACTGAGCGACGTTTCGACTAGGCTTCTCTAGTCATTATCATCGAATAGGCTTCTCTGGTCATTATTGTTTGATAATGACTAGAGAAACCTAGACAAAATGTCAGTAATAAGCAGTAATTGTATTCCATAGAATTGTAACCTGGATATTCCAGTTCAATTACTAAATGCCATTGAAACATTTTAAACCTCCTGAGTCACAGAAATGATATGCGCTCCAGGGTCCTAAATTAATTTACAATTACTTACATGACTGAACAGTATGAGGTGCTGTTAAATGGAGCAGTACTTTTGGGTACTCCAGGTGCTAAGGGGTTCAAGAATGAAGTATTAAAGATGCATTATGCAAGTGCTAAATCTGCCTATAGCAGATATTTCTTTAGTCCCGAAATGTTATAAATGTTATAAATTAGACATTAATTAACTTATCCAGACCATAATCAACTCTTGATGCCATTGTTAGCTTGCGATATTTAATGGCTTTGAAAAAGTTTTGTGATAGATGAAATAACCGTAGAAATGGATAATCAAGATGTTGTTTATTGTCATAACAACGATAGTAAAGACGATCGAGGCTACCCTAAAATTGAATCACTAATATGTAGGTTTAGAGTGAAGCAATTTGACTGAAATTTTGAGCATATTCTCTTTTCATTATCTATTTTTTAACTATTATAGCGAGAACTGTCAGCTCTTTATCTAATCTTACCTAATGCCCCTTTAATATTTTTTTTCTTGTTGTAGAGGCATTTGATTTTGATGCGATGGCACAGGCGCTGAAAGATATTGCTGCTGGTAAAATCGTTGAAATACCAGAATATGATTATGTTCACAACTGCAGGTAATTTGATTTATGTTAATGCCTGGATGCACAAAATATTTTTTGGCGCAAACAATCTGATTTGTCAGACAAAAACATTGAGTGTACATCATACCAATTTCTTGTTACAGATTTCTTGTCACAAACATTTGTTGGCGAATGCTTGTCAGTCACCAGAATATCCAATTGCTTTCAAGATTACACAGGGATGTTTATTCAAGCACCTATACAGTGATAGGTTTATTTATATATAGCAACATCCAGGGATGTGCCCAAGGATTTGCTGAGTGGTGGAAAAAATAGCTTCGGAGCGGAGCGAGGCAAAAAATGTTTTTGGAGGGGGGGGGGGCGTGGTCTTTTATAAAAATTCAACCCTTCTTGGTGTATTTTCAGAGCATCTGCTGCGTTTTGTATTTGCTTCAGTGCAAACCAAATTTCCATTTATACAGTGGACTCTGTCACATCCGATGTCCGATCACTCCGGATTGCTGTGACATCCGACATGATTTTCATGTCCCGATTTATTTCCTTATTACTTCAGCCAAAAAATTGCTGGTAAATCCGGATTTTGTATGTTCCAGATTCCGACATTAATCAGCCGTCCCGTCACATAATTTCCATTGAATCGACACCGTATAATCCGTACTTCAAACGGTGGGTGTGAAGCATCCAATTATCGGTGAGATTAAAACTCAATGGGTGTGAAGCCAGAAAAGATTAACAAGCAATCACCAATCAATTATCGGTGAGATTAAAACTCGCAAGCGCCGGTCTGTGTTGATTACTTTGATGATATTATAAATTCTTTGTTGATTATTTTACAATTTATAATCTCTTGTAAGAGTGCGCTTGGTATTTGATTTTAGTCACACATGTCAAATACCGCGACATTATATAAAAATTGCCGCGATTGAAGAATCATTATACATTATTGTATTCAAAATGTCTGAACGTCCTGCAAAGCGTGCCCGAACAGATTTGACATTAGATGTAAGCGGCAACTTATAGCAGATTTTGAGGAAGTTCCACGACCTGCGCTAAAGGAATTAGCCGTTAAGTATTCAATTGTCCGAGCTACAGTGTCAGACATATTAAAGCGTAAAGATGAATTTAAACAGAAGTTTAAATATATTGTACACATATATTGTTATTGTTAATTATTTAATGTAATAAAATTTTGAAAGTACAGAAAGGTTTATCATTTTTAAAGGGAATAGCATTCTGGTGATTCGAAGCTACAATATAAAAATACTTCCGGTTTTCGAAGTTACAGTATTTCCGGTTTTGGAGAAAGCTCGGTATTCCGACACGCTGTGTGATCCGAAATATTGTAACGATCTCGTACAATGTCGGATGTGACAGAGTCCACTGTATATTCAAATTTTTACCAAATTCACTTAATTTTCATCAATGATACAGAGACTCTGACAGGGAGTAGCAGAATTGAACTGCGACGGTACCACAGCATTCTTTTGTACCGGTACATAAAAATAAAGTTTTCAAAATTTATTTATTGTAGATATGCTAAACAAAACTAATGTAAGTGGTATTTTATATACCATTATAGTTATTATTACTTACTATAGTTTACAATATACATGTACTGCAAATTAATTTACAGTAATTAATTGTAAATTGCCCGGTGTGGGCACATCCCTGAACATGAAATGAAATGAAATGAAATGGAGTTTAACGTCCTACTGTTCTGCTCCTAACCTGGGCTAATGAAGACGGGCATACGCCATACAGTGTGCTATGAGGGAAATTTTGCCCGGACAGCGGCACTACGGCCTACTCTTATATCGAATTCCAACTGTCAAGGGATCTTTTACGTGCACGCCAATGTGTACACGGGACCTCGGTTTTTCGTCCCATCCGAACGACTAGACAGCTTTCCTTGTCAGCCCCTCCGTCCTGCATCACTGACAAGGGAGAACCACGCCGGAAAATCTGTCCCTGAACATCCTTTGAAGACTAAAACAAATAATCTCTATATAAAAGCGTGTATTTGACTTATCAGTAGATTGTATCACGTCAATGCATTTTATCAGCAATGGATTATCTGTCAGTAATGCATATTAACCAATAAATTGTCAGGAACAATCTGCCAGGCTGACAAATAATCCATTGTGTGCCCAGGTATTCAGATATGAACCATTGTTTATTTCTATCTTATTAAAGGGCAGTCCCAGATTCCACTTAATATCCAAGATAAAATCATGTTTAATTATAAGTTTGAAGGTTAAATATGAAAATGTGAAGACATAGTCTCAACAACTTGTCTGAAACTTGTGGAAGTAACTGCATTCTTTTGAATTGTACAAGTGACTTGGAAATTTAAATAGATATTTTTGAATGAAACAACTCTTATCTTAAGTATAGTCGCTATCCTTAGATACACAATTTTAACAGTTAAACATACATTATGCATGAGCTAAATCTGCCTATTGCAGGTCTTTCTTAAGGCCTGAAATGTTATGTTAACTATTTATTAAACTTTTATTAACATGACAAGACCACAATCAACTCTCGATGTCATCAGATATCTCCGATATTAAGTCGATTAGAACGGTTCAGCCATATTTTGATTTAATCTAAAAATGGTGAAGCGAGGCTAAGCTTCGAACAACCAGTGCGGGGGTTGCAATTAATGCACACATCTTGTCAAACCTTCAAAAGCTAATATCTTCGATGGAGTAATTTCAATGAAATTTTCAATAAATTAATTTTGCAGTATCTATTTTCGAACTATTATAGTAAGAATGGCCAGCTCTTTATCTAAATCTTACATAATGTATTTTTAAGGAATTAAGAAATGATGTCTCTGAATTGAAGTGATTAATTTTATAATAATGTTTTTGCAGGAAGGACAATGGTATGAAGATCTATCCTGTTGATGTTGTATTATTTGAGGGAATTCTAGTCTTTTATTTTAAAGAATTACGTGAAATGTTCCACATGAAATTATTTGTAGATACAGACCCTGATACCAGATTATCCCGGAGAGGTAAGATCATTGTTACCATAGTTACTAAATGCCTATCAAAGAAGTAATATGTAGCACCATGAGCCTTCTGTCTGACGTGGAGAGCGTCTATGGGAAACCGGTCGCCACATCCTACATACGACCCATGCATCTTTTCTTACTACATATTTCTGTAGCCTTGTGATCGTCTAGAATTTGTCTCTAGCTGTCTTTACTTCTGCTTCACGTTGTGTATTTACTTCTTCCAGTTTCTTAAGACGTTTGTCTTACCAGGAATAATAATGCATAGTTCGCTTCTACATTTTATATAGCATATAACTGAATGCAGGTATACAAGCATAATAGATAACAATACTAGTTAAAACCATTTCTCTACCCTAGCCAGCCTCGCGGCTGTCTAGGAACTCAGATGTAAGCCCTCTGGAACCTAATAGAAGTCTGACTTACAGGGTTCCCCGGTTTCTTTTAAAGGTAAATGAATATCATGCACAATAACGCGTGATCATAGCCCTGAACTTGTGTTATTAACAAAATGATGGGTTACTTTAAATCAAATGATGCAATTAGAATAATTCCACTCACGTGTAATTCTGGTGGTAAATGAGTGACATATGTTTTCGATAAAGAGCTCTTTTTTATATGTCAACTGTCAATTACAGACTAAGTTGATTTAGTGCACACTATATATGTGAATATGTTTGAAATTACTAACTTACCAAAGATATTAATTAATGAAATATAAAGGCATCTTATTTCAAGAGCAAAAATTCTAGCAATATTATTACAAAAGATGTTTGATGTATGACAACTTTGTCTACTACGATATGGCTAGGGGGGGTTGGGTGACTGAATGGTTAGCACCTGCGCACTGTATCATACGGTCTGTCATTGAGTCAACTAGCGGGGTTTCGATTCCCCGGTTGTACTTGACAAGGAGTAGGGTCGCCTGTCCAACCTTGTGGGTTTTCTCCGGGTCCTCCGGTTTCCTCCCATGTGTTAGTCCTGAAATGACCTCTCTCTCTCTCTCTCTCTCTCTCTCTCTCACTATATGGCTGATCTATCAATTTCCTTTCAGTGTTAAGAGATATAAAGGAAAGGGGAAGAACTCTAGAGAAAATTCTACATCAATACACTACTCTTGTAAAACCTGCATTTGAAGAATTCTGTCTACCTGTAAGTAAGAATTAAAATGTCATATTTCAAGGCCAACAAAAGAATTACTATAAATAATGTTTTACAGGACCATATTCATAATAACATTACATTTGCCTAATTAATAATGTGAATAATTTTATGCTTAAGGATGCATTATTCAAGAACTAAATCTGTCTATTGCAGATATTTCTTTAACCTAGTAACTCATTTTATATACCCATTTACACTAAATAGGAAATGTTTTTTATATGCCCACATTTTCATGTGGACGTATTATGCCGTCACCCCTGTCCGTCCGGATGTCCACAGTTTGTTTGTGGACACTCTACAGGTCACAATTCTTATCCGATTTTGACGAAACTTGAAATATAGGTTTATCTCCAAAAGATCTCGGTTCATTTCGATATTGGCATGTATCGGATTGAAACTTCATGGATTATGGCCCCTGTTTGTACGAAAAATCACGTTTTTAGCTTGTGGACACAATTTTTATCCGATTTTGTTGAAACTTGAAATCTAAGTTGATAATCCAAAGATCTCGGTTCCTTTCGATATTCGCGCATATCGGACCGTAACTTCCTGAATTATGGCCCCTGATTGTACCAAAAATCGTGTTTTTAGCTTGTGGACCCTCTAGAGGTCATAATTTTTATTCGATTTAAAAAACCGTTTAATTATATCACCGTTACACCCTAAGGATGGCTGAGTTCGAATTTTGTGAAAATCGGCCCGAAATTGTCAGACAAAATGGCCGCCGTCTGTTCTCAAATAGTGTAAAAATATGGTATATCAAGGTTGTGGACACTATAGAGGTCACAATTTTTATCCGATTTTGTTGAAACTTGAAATCTAAGTTGATAATCCAAAGATCTCCGTTCCTTTCGATATTCGCGCATATCGGACCGTAACTTCCTGAATTATGGCCCCTGATTGTACCAAAAATCGTGTTTTTAGCTTGTGGACCCTATAGAGGTCATAATTTTTATCCGGTTTAAAAAACCGTTTAATTATATCACCGTTACACCCTAAGGATGGCTGAGTTCGAATTTTGTGAAAATCGGCCCGAAATTGACAGACAAAATGGCCGCCGTTCGTTTTCAAATAGCGTAAAAATATGGTATATCAAGGTTGTGGACACTATAGAGGTCACAATTTTTATCCGATTTTGTTGAAACTTGAAATCTAAGTTGATAATCCAAAGATCTCGGCTCCTTTCAATATTCGCGCATATCGGACCGTAACTTCCTGAATTATGGCCCCTGATTGTACCAAAAATCGTGTTTTTAGCTTGTGGACCCTATAGAGGTCATAATTTTTATCCGATTTAAAAAAAACGTTCAATTATATCACCGTTACACCCTAAGGAAGGCTGAGTTCGAATTTCGTGAAAATCGGCCTGAAATTGACAGACAAAATGGCCGCCGTTTGTTCTCAAATAGCGTAAAAATATGGTATATCAAGGTTGTGGACACTATAGAGGTCACAATTTTTATCTGATTTTATTGAAACTTGAAATCTAAGTTGATAATCCAAAGATCTCGGTTCCTTTCGATATTCGCACATATCGGACCGTAACTTCCTGAATTATGGCCCCTGATTGTACCAAAAATCGCGTTTTTAGCTTGTGGACCCTATAGAGGTCATAATTTTTATCCGATTTAAAAAACGTATTATTATATCACCGTTACACCGTAAGGACTGCTAAGTTCGAATTTCGTGAAAATCGGCCCAAAATTGACAGACAAAATGGCCGCCGTTCGTTCTCAAATAGCGTAAAAGTACAGTATATAAAGGTGGTGGTCACTATAGAGGTCACAATTTTTATCTGATTTTGTTGAAACTTGAAATGTAAGTTTATAACCCAAAAATCTTTGTTCCTTTCGATATTCGCGCATATCGGACCGTAACTTCCTGAATTATGGCCCCTGATTGTACGAAAAATCGCGTTTTTAGCTTGTAGACCCTATAGAGGTCCTCATTTTTATCCAATTTAAAAAAATCGGCCCAAAATTGACAGACAAAATGGCTGCCGTTCTTTCTCAAATATGGTAAAGTATATCAAGGTTGTGGACCCTATAGAGGTCACAATTTTTATCCGATTTTGTTGAAACTTGAAATGTAAGTTTATAACCCAAAGATCTCGGTTCCTTTCGATATTCACGCATATCGAATTGTAATTTCCTGAATTATGGCCCTTGATTGTAGGAAAAATCACTTTCTTGTTAGCTTGTTCTCTATCCATCTCTCGAAAATGTGGGCGTATCCTGCCTGGCAGCCGCTGGTTTTATCTAGATATACTTCACACACCTTTTTTTATTGTCCCCCGCCTTTCGAAGAAAGCAGGGGACTATTAAAATGGGTTCGTCCGTCTGTCTGTCCGTCTGTCTGTTTGTCTGTCTGTCCGTCTGTCCGTCCGTCTGTCCGTCTGTCTGTCCGTCACACTTTTTGGGACACAATAACTCTCTTCCTAATTGAGCTAGAATATTCAAACTTGGTGTATGTGTTTATTAGGTCAATGCCTTGATGAAGTTCGAAGATGAGCATTATCCGCTTAGGGTAAGCAGAGATAAGCAATTTGATTGGTTGATGCTTTGGGACACGATAACTCTCTTCCTAATTGGGCTAGAATGTTCAAACTTGGTGTATGTGTTGATTAGGTCAATGCCTTGATGGAGTTCGAAGATGAGCATTTTCCGCTTAGGGTAAGCAGAGATAAGCAATTTGATTGGTTGATGCTTTGGGACACGATAACTTTTAATTGAGCTAGAATGTTCAAACTTGGTGTATGTGTTTATTAGGTCAATGCCTTGATGGAGTTCGAAGATGAGCATCTTCCGCTTAGGGTAAGCAGAGATAAGCAATTTGATTGGTTGATACTTTGGGGCACGATAACTCTCTTCCTAATTGAGCTAGAATGTTCAAACTTGGTGTATGTGTTGATTAGGTCAATGCCTTGATGGAGTTCGAAGATGAGCATTTTCCGCTTAGGGTAAGCAGAGATAAGCAATTTGATTGGTTGATGCTTTGGGACACGATAACTTTAGTTCTAATTAAGTGAGATTGATGAAACTTGGTGTATAGTTTCATTACAGTAATACCTTGACTAAGTTTGATAATGAGCATTTTCTGCTCAGGGTAAGCAGAGCGATACGCAATTTGATTGGTCGAGACTTTGGAAAACAATAACTCTCCTACTTTGATTGTTAGACTATAAGTAAAGATATACTGTTTGATTGTTCAATACTTTGTAAAAGATAATTTGTGATAAATTTATATGTGTCCTCTAATTATTTTCCTATTTTGGCGGGGGACATCAGCCTCACTGTTGGCTTGTTTTCCTAATACTTCAAAAAATGTTCAAGAATTAAATTTGCAGAAGGAAAAAAGTTAATATTGTGAGCTAATTAACCTGCATCAATGTCATCTCTCTCAGTGATTGTAGCGAAATAGCAAATATTTACTGCTGATCAGTGTGCTTCTTTAAGTGACATGGTGATGAGATACAATCAGGAAAGTCTAGTTACATGGGAGATAACTTCCTTCAGCCTTCATTGTATTGACTATAAGAATTCTACCTATAATCTATTTTGAATGCTAACTGATGTGAATATTTTTTTTTCTTCAGACCAAGAAATATGCTGATGTTATTATACCTAGAGGAGCAGATAATACAGGTAGTTTTATGGAATAGCTAATTTAGAAAAACAACTTCAGAAGAAAAAAAACGTAGTTTGCTTCCTAATTTTATATGATTCTTGCAATATGACAAGCAGTAAGCTTGCCTGTGAAACATTGTATGGTCTCAATGATTTTCTTTGTACGAGCCACGCTTCCCTGTTGAAAATACTGCTGTGGACCAAGAAAAACCTTCCGTATTTTCAAGTCTGGGCTTCGCTTGTCCGGGGTGGTACCTGTGGAGCTAACAAGACGATTCAATTTTATTGGACAGGCAACCTTACTCCTTGTCCCGTAGAATTGGGGAATCGAAACTACGCCACTTGACTCAATGACAAACCTAATGATCCAATGCTCACTCATTAAACCCCCCTTGACAGTTGAAATTTAAAACAAGGGTAGGCCTATCCTGTTGTTCTGCCATCCCACTGCTTATTATATTTCATATTCATTTTATTTCACGACATTTAAAGAATTTTTCTTTCTTTGTAGTTGCTATCGATCTGATTGTTCAACATATTCAAGAATTATTACGACCAACCAAAACTAACAAGAGAACAAGGCACAACTCTGATTCGTTCGTTGGTAGACCACACTAACCAGTGATGAAAAATATTGGTTTATTTCATGAAAGTATTATCAACTACCAATTTCCGTACTGGAAAATAGAATTTATTAGGACCTTGCTTTACCCTGCATACAGAAATTAAACATTCATAAAAGATTTATTTGGAATGGAAAAGAAAACAAGGTCCACTATATAATAAATATTTTTTGTGTACTAATAGTATTAAAAAAGACAGAGAGGCTGCTGTTCAGGCCAAATTCTCCAAATTATTTGTGGATGTAAAAGATCCCTTATAAGAAGAGGCTATTTTTCTAACAAAATTCTCATCTTGACATTGGATATGTAACCAAAATTACTGTGTTAGTCTCATAATGGACAGAATAATCTGTTAAACAGATATTTAGATCCATTCATTTCCTCATATACTTAGTATTGATCTACAACTATTTCAAAATTTAGTGGTGACATATATACTGGGACGAATATCTCAAGTCAACAATAAACCAAAGACAGAATTTAACAGAAAAAGCTTCAAAGTATTCTGTTGATTATATTGTGATTTTTACAGTAGAAAATTATGCAGTAATCATTTTTACTTTCTGATATCTTTTTGTTTTGTTTTGAACAAGGACCAAGACTGCTCATGGAAAAGATTTGAAGTTTTTTTTTTGTCGCAATCTGGTTAAAACACAGATCCTATTTCGTTTTGATTTTATAGTACAAAATTTCGTTTAACTTGTCTCTACTACACTTGGATCTGGAAGAGTTGTTATTTAACTCGTGTTCTGAATGGTGTCAGGGATAAGCCAATGAAACAGTCTGTTACGGCGAGCTTTAGGCATGTTTTGCACAGAACTGTGGGTAATCCACTAGTAACATCAATGCTGATTGGTTAATCAAATGTCTGACATCATAGGGTCATAAGTCAGTCTTTTGACCCCTGACATGACCTATCGCTATAACTTGTCAGATCTTCATGTAGTGTAGGCCATCGAAAGTATAAAAAACCGAAACGAAGTATAGATCTGTATTTTAATCAGATTGTTTTTGTCGGTAGCACATATTTTTCTGTTCTTGTTTTAAATGCCCTCTATTTTTATTGTCTCCTTGTTAAGTAAACCATCAATGTATTGTGTTCATTTCTGTAATTGAAACACCCCTGTTACGGACGGAAAAATGAGCTGCCCTAGAAAGTTATTGCACATTTTATTTTATATTTCAATGTTAAACCAAAGCTGCGAAATTGTCAGACTACGATTTTAAACACGTCATGTAAATAGTGTTTTTATAGACTGTTCATATTAGTGTGTATCGGGTTTTTAGGGAAAATTGTTGTTTTTTTCACATTTATGTATTATTAAAACTATATTTCTGGAAACCCGACCCATTGTCTCTTGGTCTCAGACAGCATGAAATTTTCTTTTTAATTCAGACTTATGATGTAAAAATCTATTCCCAGTAAAATATTACTCTTTCTCTTTCTTTGATCGAATTCATAAAACAAGTATATTCCAGACATTTGTTAAGAATTACCTCGTATAAATGCACGTATACACTAGATCCAAGATAATCCGTTAACCTCGATGTCGGTATAGCAAGGGTAAAATACAAAATACTCCCTTTTCATCAGTGTGTTCAGCATGGCATCCACTTTAAAACTATGACTATACCGCACATAAGCTTGGCAAATTAATTTATTGACATCATTAGAATGTTTAAATCAATCTAAACAGCAGATTTGGTTATTAAAAATAGTCTTATCTATAATATAACTAATATCTCTTATGTATAAAGGCAATAGGAGAAAAATATTTGTTTTATCCTATGAATGTTTTATCCTATTTGCGGTTAGACTTCTTCCAATCTAGGTCGACTGGCTTGTCCGGCATATATGGACAAAACTGAATCGGGACGAGAGACAATGGGCTTTCCCAGAATTCCTGTGTATATGCATGTATATACTTGAAGTGTGTTTTAATCTTGTGTCATAAATAATTCAGATGTTTCTCGGAGAAAACAAAATTGGTTTTAACAGCCACTCAACACAAACTGGGTTATTTTGGGACTTACATATTGTTTAATTTTATTTCGCGTAGGGTGATTTGTGGGCAAGGAGCAAACCCATGAGGTTAGGCATGCCATCCTACTCTTTGTCATGTAAAAGTGTGGGATCGGAACCACGTCACCTGACTCAATGACAGACATTATGAGCTAAAGTGCACGTGTTAACTCATTCTGCCAAACAATCCCCAAAATGTTACTCAGTGTTTACCTTTGGGTACAGTGGGTGCTCAGAGGCATATATTTTACCCATAACCTCCGTCATGTTTCGAAACCTGGAACTCACTAGTCAAAGTCGGACAAGGAAAATGTGCCTGGTTGTTCGGATCGAATGAAAAATAAAACTGATTGTACAAGCAACCATAGTAATTGATGAAAGTTTCCATATGATAGTCTCAAATGACAAGATGTTAAAACCTAACCCATTCCATACTCTTGTGTTTCTCAGTGAAATCAAGTTTAACTCATGACTTGGATGAACAGAGAACATAAAGCTAGACCAATTTTATACCAAAGCACCAGCGCTTTCTTAATTGTATGTGATAAGAAATAAGGTCGCCTTTTTAACCTTGTGGGTTTTGTCTGGGTTTCCTCCCACTGCTAAAGACCCCTACACGCAAGTGAGTCATTGAAATAAAATTGAACCATATGTTAGTCCCGATTTAAGGTCTGTCATTCAGTCAAATGGTGTCATTTCGATTCCCCGCTTGTATGTTTTCTCCGGACCCTCCAGTTTCCTCCCACTGCTAAAGACCCCTGCACTCAAGCAAATTATTGAAATAAAATTGAACCATGTTAGTTCCAAGGTGACCAAGTTTGCGTGGAGTAGACATTAAACAATATTTCTGTCTCTCTCTCTCGTTTTCTTAATAAAGTCAAGATATATTGATAACATATCATTTTATAGATGATTTATAATGGTTTATTTCTAGATTTTCATGAAATTACTGTAAATATCTTGTCAGCTTTCACAGTAGATAATTAAGGTTGAGTAACATCTGAATTTAAATGAAATGTTTTATATACTTTTTAGTTTGGATTTACAAAAACAAAATAATTCATAATTAATTAATTAAATAGATTGTATATAGTTTTGCATAGTTTTATAAATTCATGTAGATCATGTGAAATTTCAAGTTTTAGTCCGATTTACTTACCAAATCAGGTTTAATTTTAGTGTTACTTTTAGTACCGGTATGTGTTATGTTGAAATGTGAAGCTTTTCTTACATTTGCTATGGTATATTGTTTAATACTAAATGTCCTTACTTTTGCTATGATATGTTGAAATGCAAAATGTTCTTACTTTTGCTAAAGTATGTTGAAATGCAAAATGTTCTTACTTTTGCTAAAGTAAGTTGAAATGTGAAGCAATCTTACTTTTGCTTTAGTATGTTGAAATGTGAAACTGTTCTTACTTTTGCTAAAATATGTTGATATGTGAAGCAATCTTACTTTTGCTATGGTATGTTGAAATGTGAAGCAATCTTACTTTAGCTAAAGTAAGTTGAAATGTGAAGCAATCTTACTTTTGCTTTGGTATGTTGAAATGTGAAATGTTCTTACTTTTTGCTAAAGTGTTTTTAAATGTGAACAGTTCTTACTTCAGCTAAAGTATGTTGAAATGTGAAGCATTGTTACTTTTGCTATATTGAAATGTGAAATGTTCTTACTTTTACCAAGGTTGTATTTTGTAGTAAGATGAAGACAACTGGTAATGTTGAACATATGGACTATTAGACTATAATTATTCTTGTCAAAAAAAATAAATCATATGTAAATACATGTATAAAATTAGACAGGCCTTTTTTAATATATTTTTTAAAGAAACATTGTTAGGATTCTCCTGACCAGGCTTCTTGTTTCAGTCATATTTTCTAGCCTTGACTGACGGTCAGTGAAATTAGACAGACAGGAGAATTTGACAGTCACTCAGTTTACATACCATAGTTAATGTAGGTTTTCTTGTGTAAAGATGCTTATTAATGTATATAAAATTGTTCAGCCTGATACTTATTTAATATACTCAGTTAATTAATGAGTTAGGGTGTTTTACCCAATACGGACCAAACACCTCCAAATACTACTTCATAATTGTGAAAAACTGCTTCAATTACCGGTAACACAAGTGAGTTAGTTCACAGTTCACTGTATGCCTTTTTCTAATTGCTAGGAATATTGATATTGATATTACCGGCAGCACAAGTTTCCCATGCACCTGTTTCTAATTCCTAGGAATAAACTCATTGATATTGATATTACCGGTAACACAAGTTAGATAATTCACAGTTTCCCCATATACACCTGTTTCTAATTCCTAGAATAAACTCATTGATATTGATATTACCGGTAACACAAGTGAGTTAAATTCACAGTTTCCCATGCACCTGTTTCTAAGTCCTAGGAATAAACTCATTGATATTGATATTACCAGTAACACAAGTGAGTTAATTCACAGTTTCCCATGCACCTGTTTCTAAGTCCTAGGAATAAACTCATTGATATTGATATTACCGGTAACACAAGTGAGTTAAATTCAGTTTCCCATGCACCTGTTTCTAAGTCCTAGGAATAAACTCATTGATATTGATATTACCGGTAACACAAGTGAGTTAAATCACAGTTTCCCATGCACCTGTTTCTAAGTCCTAGGAATAAACTCATTGATATTGATATTACCGGTAACACAAGTGAGTTAAATTCACAGTTTCCCACGCACCTGTTTGTAATTCCTGGAAATAAACTCATTGATATTGAAATGATTTATGTATTCTGTCTGTTTGAAATCATAATCAGGTAGTATGTTGTGGTAATGGGTAGTGCAATGATAGTCATGCATTTGTACTGCTCTTGAGTGTTCCAGCTGATAACCTGCTCCAGGGCAATCAGGTATTATTATGTATTATTAGGTAGTATTGGGTAAATTATCCAGCGAAACTGTATGTTATTTCTTTTTAATTTGTTTGGAGGACTTTTTGGGCATTTCAAATTTTATTTATTGTTTTAAAGAAATATAGGTCCTATAAGCCATGCATTGTTAATGTAAATATGTTGTTACTTGTATTATAGGAGCTAAGCCTCTTTGATTTAGGACAAAATAAAGTATCTATTGGGACAAATCTGATATGTTATTTTGATTAGGGATTGGACAAGTTCTTTAAAGGTCACCGTAAAAGCTTCATAGATTTTTTAAATAATGCAAGGAATTATGTCAACATAGCATGATCCCGAATGTCAATGTCTCCTGCCACAGATAAATTTCAACAGGTAGATTTCTGCTGTTCTCTGTGAGTAGTCATAACTTTCCACCAATAAACAATCTGTGACGTCATTTTAATCCTTCTGCTCATATTCTTGTCTATATTTCTATAAGCAGGACTAAAATGAGGTCACGGCTTGTGTATGGGCGAAAAAAGTTACGACTACTCACGGAGAATGACAGAAATCGCTAACGCTGAAATTTACCTGTGGCAGGTAACATTGACATTTGGGATCGTGTTATCTTTATGGAAAGGATATGTTGACATAATTACTTGCATTATTTGAAAAGAATTATGAAGCTTTTCCGATGACCTTTAATGTTTTGTTTTGAAAGATTAAGCAGAAGTCATTTTTAGTTTTATTTTTGGCTTAAGCCTGGGACATGTGAGCGTATTTTTTCGCCTGAATGTGCCGATTAAAATTCACCAGCAATTTTTTTACAAACGAGCACACGTAGCGATTATCTAGAGAGTGTAAACCACTCTGTGAGTGAATTACATCGATCATGTGACTTAAGTGGAAGGCAATTTGAGCTCATGTCATATCAATGATTTCATATCAATAGTTTGCTTGACAGTATATGCTGCATTTTCGGCTGTAAAATTTTTGGTTGAAAATATATAATATGCTAGATACGGGCGATCAATCGGGCGAATAAGTTTTGGCATATACTTTAAATTGCTGTTTTGAAAAGGCTCCAAACATTGAATGACCCCCAAGGTTTAAATCCAGCTCTGCATAGAAACGAACCTAACCTTGGTTGCATTTCAATATTGGCTTTGTAGACTTACAATTTTGAATGAAGACGTATTATGATCCTGCAAGCCAACACATAACATTCAATGGTATCAACAATAACTTTTTTTTTGACCCAAATCAAAGAGGGCTAACCATATTAAGAAATCCAGTTTTAGATTTAATCCTTTAGTGGCATTATCTTGACCTTTCACATTGGTCATCTATTACCCTATGTACCATTGATAAGGATACTAGTAGCCAGCTCCATGGTTCCCGTTTCATTCATATTTGTCGGTCTTCACTGATTGGTTGTGAAATTGACGTGTTTATATGACATCAATTTAAAGATTTCTAAAAATTTAACCCGAAAACAATGAATACAATTAAATTTATACTTTTTAGGTGTCAAAACACTTAAAAAATATCTTTATATATTGAAAAATGCTTTAATAGTTTATATCAGTATTAGTTCTTAACTCTTTTTACACTTTACTACACTTACCAGTAACTCTTTGTACACTTCACTCTTTTCTACACTGATCACGTTTCTACACTTAACTCTCTCACTTAACTCGTTTCTACACTTAACTCTTTAACTTAACTCGTTTCTACACTTAACTCATTTCTACACTTAACTGTTTTCTACACATTTCTAAACTTAACTCTTTTCTACACTTAACTCTTTCCTACACTTTCTACATTTAACTCTTTTCTACACTTAACTCACTCTTTTTCTACACTTAACTACTTTCTAAACTTAAATATTTTATGCATTTAACTCTATTACACTTAGGTCATTTCTGCACTTAACTAGTTAACTCTTTTTACATTTCTGCACTTTAACTTATTTCTATACTTAACTCATTTTAGCCCTTAACTCGTTTCTACCCTTTACTCAATTTTACTTGTTTCTGAACTAAATTTAAGTAATTTTTTGTGTTTAGACTGATATTTCTTTAAAAGAGAATCAAATATCGCAATATTTCTAGTTTGCAAGGAATTAATAATTCCTCAAATGACAATTAGAGACTTTAAATGAGACCTACATTTGTGAGTCAGTTGGGTAAAAGAAACAAAGGTTTATGGGACTCTCTGGGTATTCTTTTATATTTTATTACATTCTATTTTATAGATTTTATGTCAATCGGGTGTGTGTAAAGCAAAGTAATTTGTAATGAAATACTTAATAGGGGATCATATAAAATATGTTAAGAATGCTGCCTTTCACATATTCTAGCTCTTTTCCAGTGAAAAGGCAGAATTCTTAAAAAAAATTTAGTTTAAGTTTGCTTAAATAAGGACCCAGATTATTAAAGAATGACACATTTTCTAATTTCGAAAGATTTATAATTTGAAAACATGTTGAAATTTAAAAGTAGAGTGAATTTGACCTCAAATCTTATGTATAATTTCATTTCTAAAATGTGAATTATTTTTCATTTATCCTTTTTAAATCCTTAATATGTATTTGGTTGTGTTACTCTTCTTTTTGTTATTTTATTTTTTGGTATTTTAAAAATTTAAAAATCATTAAATTAATAAGAATTTTATATAGACTTTTTGAAACCCATTACTGTGTGAGAAGTCTCTTCCCCTTGACAAAGCTCTGTAATCTTCATAAACAGCAATTTTAAATGTTTGTAAATGTCGAAATATGATTATTTCATCTTTGTTACTGTCGGAACAAACCCGTATGAAGACAGCTGTAGAAAAGTACATGTAACTTGGTATGTGTTAATTCCATTAGCAATGTGGGTGATAAGGGAAGTGTCTATAGCGAATTTGGGTCAGAATTTCATGAGATGCCATTTTTGTATTACTAAATCCCTTGACAGTTGCATTTTGAAGAGTATTGGGAAAGTGAAGTAGTGTAGAGCATAAAGTTCAATAAACTGCCGTTTCTAGAAAATTAACCATAGAAATTAGTAAATATCATTACTTTAATCCAATTAAGTGAGGGGGGTTGGATGGCTGAATGGTTAGCGCCTGAGCGTTCCATCATAAGGTCTGTCACTGAGTCAACTGGCATGGTTTCGATTCCCTGGTTGTACGTGACAAGGAGTAGGATCGCCTGTCCAACCTGGTGGTTTTTCTCTGGGTCCTCCGGTTTCCTCCCACTGCAAAAGACCCCTACGCGCAGGCGAATTATTGAAATAAAATTGAACTATTTGTAGTCCCGAAGACCTAGTTTGTGTTGAGTGGACATTTCTCTCTCTCTAATAAAGTGATGTTGAGGTGACTTCATCTTTTGATGTTGCTATGTACCATTATTACTTGTTACATGGACGGGAAATCTTCTTTCCTTCTTTTCATTGAATAAGCAGATTGTTTTCCCTCTAGTAGATTGGGTGGAGCTTAACCGTGCAATTACTAGACATGTTCAATGTTATTGCACTCTTTTGCTGGTTTACACTAGTTTTAGTAGAAATCATATAGAGAAGTGGGTTGGGTTTTCTGTGCAATAACAACAAGCATGTTGAGCAGGTGTCAATGTTACAAGTCATTTATAGCAAGCTTCATTCGTTAACAGGTTTAACATCTCGACCTACGGTCTCGATGTTTCAACTGTTAACTCATAAAAGCTGTGCTATAAATATAACTTAATGTCTCGCTATCCTCCATTTAACTCCTGTCCTTGCTTATTCCTTCTTTCCTTAACAAGAGATGAACCAATGGACCTCTTTTTTAGCTGCCAAGTTGCAGTATGTCTGTTGTAAATTGCTGAGTACACCCACCCTTCCCCTAGTCTAACTAGACCCCTTTCTATCAAGTGTTGTGCTTACAAGACTTTAAACTCCCTTACATTGTACGTTTTTTGTGTGAAGGTGCGGGGTTGTTACAAGTCTCTGTAACACATCTAACCTCTTTGACAGGGTTCTTTAGTATCCAAGTGAATTATTGAACACATTGTAATGCAAATGAAATGGGGTTTAACATCCTACTGTTCTGTACCGACTGGACTAATGAAGACAGGCATACACCATACAGTGTGCTATAAGGGACATTTTGCCTGGACAGCGGCACTACAGCCTACTGTTATTTCAAATTCCAACTCTGTTTTTCAACCCATCCGATTGACTATACATTGTCCCTTGCCAGGCCTTTCATCCTACTCTTAACTTTCTCAGCAATCGGGACATCCAGGTTAGCGAACCAACATTTCCTTTTTAACCCCCTTCAGATGCCATACTTGAAAAATCCTGACAGTTGTTTACAAATTTATAAACAGATGCCAACCATAAAAAAAAACCCTTAAATATACTGAATAACACATTTATCACGTATATAATTCAACTACAATTTTCTAAACAAATAAAAAAGAATGAAATGTTTGTCCCGTAAATAATTCAAATACAATCTTCTAAACAAATTTTCAACTAAAAAAAAAAAAAGAAAAAAGAGAATAAAATGTTTATCACAATTAATTAACTCCACTACAATTTTCTAAACTAATAAAAAAGCAACCTGCACATACTGAGGTTGTATTGTATTTTCTAAACAAAATACCACAACATCAATAAGGATTTCATTCCAGATTAATTTTTAACAAAACTAAAAACAAAAATCATACCCGAATATAATGTATGGAATATTAGAAGTAAAAACAAAATCGAAATGCAACTGTATGTATTATGGAGAGGATATCACTCTCGAACAATTACGATCACAGATTTCCATTTTGTTGAAAAATCTGAGGAAAGTTTTTTTAAACAAAGATCAAACATGTTTCATCAATAATTTTCAACAATTTGATCCACAGTTGATTCATCAAGAAAACTTAAACATTTCAAGAAATCAGCCATTTCATTGGCTAAGAGCTATGAACAATCAGTTTAAATTTTCATTAATGGGACTTGAGAAAAATGGCAAGTATAAAATTCAAAATATTTTCAATTTTGTTTACATCTTCCATTTTTTTTAATGAAAGAAATCACATATGCTTTCTATGCTTAAATATAAATCGGTTGAATTGAGCAAAATATCCCAATAAAACTAGGGCCTGTATCACCAAATTTGAATTGAGATAAAATCCAAATTTTAGTAATTTGATTGGATAATATTAGATTAATTTTAGTGCTTAGCCAATCAAAATTGAAATATCTACTGGTACTAAAATTTGGATTTTATCTTTAGTTAAGATTTCGAGAAACAGGGCCCTGTAATTGTGCCATTTATTTTTTGTTTAAGAAATATGATTTTAGCAACTGGAACTATGCATTTAAAATCAAGTAAAATACAGGATCTACAGAAAAACATACATTGTCTATACTGTAATATAAATAGGTTAGCTAATTAAGCAAGTACCATTTATTTTTGTTTAAAATCATATAGATTTAGCAACTGCAAGCATAAATACATAAGATTATCTAAAATACATATACACTTCTATGCATTAATATAAATGGGTTGACCATTTTGTGAATTATGCTAAATATTTCAATAAAATGTACCATTTATGTTTGTTGTTTAAAAATATAATTTTCCAGATTGGAAGCACCCATTTAAGTTTATCTAAAATACATAAACAATTCTTAAGCCTAGCTTATGTCGCCCTATGATGCAACGAGACTGAGAGCTTATGTCGCAATGACTGGACTGGATGCAACCACAAGCAATCAGTTGACCATAGTCGTAAGATCAGTTGCGGAATTGGAGCCACAACTGATCACATGACTGTCATGTAATAATCTTCAAAATGGCTATGGCCATGCTGAAAGAGATTGAGTTCCACATCATGCACTATTATTGCTGAAAAAAAAAGGCTGAGGCTTGTCCTACTTTTCATTTATCCGTATGTTGCGTGGTATTGGCCTGTTTTTTTCTTAGACAAATGGGTTTTTAAGCTAATCAAATTAGTAATGCCTGAGAAAAAAAACAATCAAATACCGCACACTGTTTACAACATAGATTAGTGGTAACCTGACCCGAGTCTATTGTACTAACATATAATGAGGGGCGTTTCTGCCACAACTTCGTCTGCCTTATTCCACTTGTCTGCCATGTTTGTTTCTTTTCCCTGTTGTACCATTTGACTAAATAACTGATTGTTATTGCCTACCTCAGCGAGTCGCTGATTCAAGGTAGACGGAGGGGCGTTAATGTAGATTGCGACTAGGGAAAACTATTTGTCTCTAGTCGTAGAATATGTGTGCCTCAGAGCAACTGGTCGCCGTCCAACGTAGACCAGTTGTAAGAGCACTCAGGTCGCCCAGGTAGTTACGATAGACCAGTTCCACTTGATCGCAACCAGTCGCCGATTTCAAGTTGCCGTCAGTTAAATCGGGCCGTTGGGCGACATAAGCTAGGCTTAAACTGTCATATAAATGGGTTTAGTCATAGCCATTTTCTGAATTGAGCTAATTATTTTAATAAATGTACCATTATCTAAAATAGATATACAATTCTAAAATGTATCATTATCTAAAATACATATACAATTCTAAAATGTACCATTATCTAAAATACATATACAATTCTAAACTGTTATATAAATGGGTTAGCCATTTTGTGAATTGAGCTAAATATTGTAATAAATGTACCATTATATTTTCTTAATAAAATATAAATTTGGCTGCTGGAACTATATACATCTAAAAGACATGAATGTATGAAAAAATATACACGTAACAACAAAACAGCATGCTACAATAACACCTTGGAAAAATCCGTATGAGAACCAGTCTTGTTTTTTTTTATGCCGACTAATTTTCATATTGTGGAAAATCCAAAGTGACGATTTGTACTAAATAAATAGATGTTTCTTATCGTATCTTTGGTTTAAAATATATAGGGCAAGGCTACTACACCAATTTGAACTTTTACTCTTTAGGAACATCTAGAAAAATATTGTTTCGTCTTTTTAAAAAAACAAAAAACAAAAGAAATACTTGGTCGCTCTTTTGAAATGCTTTTAGTTTAAAATTTAAGTTTTGAAATTTTAAACAGAAATTTTTTCTTTGGGAGTCAAGTTGCTATTTATGTGTCAAGACACCGTAGAACTTAAAATTCAACTGCTTTGGCCTCAAGTAAGCATATAAAACATAACACATATTATTATATTGCTATGAAATCATTAATATAAATAAATTCATTTAAAATTTAATATAAATTGACTTACATGTGTTAAATATTTCACATTTTATGTTTATTTTTAATGTTCAAATACGATAATACCGATAATACCGTGGACGACACGTCATATCAAAAATTGGAACCTGTCAATTGATGCACAATTTTCAAAGGAACAAACAAGCCAAATTTAATTTGCTTTTAGTGTAAAAGTATAATAATATTAAATGGACCAGGAACCGTGCAAGATACCATCTTGAAATTGTGAAATCATATCAAAAATCAAAATCCATCAGTCCATGCACAATTTTCAAAGGTACAAGAATGCCAAATTTAAATCATGTCGATTGTAATCTAATTTACAGAGCCTTAGTATTTTTTGAAGAGCGTCACCCTTCAAGAAAAACAACAACAACATGATGACTAATGCTTGGAGATCAGTTACTTGTCCATAATGAATATCAATCGACATGTAATTTGTGCTAAAATTATTTTACGTTAAGTTTACATTTTTTAAAATTTGTAGTGATATTACATTAATTGATGGTTAAAAATAAATATAAAGATACTTGTTACATATGCTAAAAATATTTTACATTAAAGCTTTTGTATTTTCATAGTTTTGAAATGACTTAAAATTAATTGTTAGTGCATGAACTAATTAGAAAAAAAAACACAATTCAAATAAAAAAAGTATCACATCATACATGCATTAAAAACTATTATACAAATTGGTTCACGTCAATTAATAAAAGCTGAGAAATATGTGAAAAGCATATTAAAATACTATTATACAAATAGATCAATTCAATTAATAAAAACTAGGAAAAATGTGAAAAGTATATTAAAATACTATTATACAAATTGATTCAATTTAATTAAAAAAGAAAACCTGGAAAATACTTAAACAGTATATAAAAATTATAGTCATGACAAAACTTTATAATCACAGGTCGGTAGTCACTTTTATAGTTGTAACTTTATCCTTTTAAGAGATTTTATGCTAAAACTATTTCCAATTTAACGATCTTCTAAAGACAGTAAGTTTATTTACTGTTGTATTAAATGTTTAAAATGTATAAAAGAATCGTTCGGGATCTTAAATTTAACCTGAAAGTAGGGTAAATTAATCTTTTAAAAATACTTGAAGTCAAATCCCTGTAAACAGTTATAAAAATGCTGCCTAATTTCTCCTCTTTCGTTTAAAGATGACATTTTCTAGCCCCATCATAGGTGATTCAAACATCAATGATAGAACAAACGCCAACATATAAGCTGCTACCAAATGTGCAAAAAAGTAATAAACCTGAAAAGAAAAAGGAATAATAAATTAAAAACATGTTGCAATGACTCTTATCATACAACTTACACCTACCCACAGCCATCTTAAGTTGATACAACCACGCTCAGCCATCTAGAGTTGATACAACTACCCATTGTCCACTAGAGTTGATAAACTATCCATAGTCATCTAGAGTTGATACAACTACCCTCAGCCATCTAGAGTTGATACAACTACCCACAGCCATCTAGAGTTGATACATCTACCCACAGCCATATAGAGTTGATACAACTACCCACACGCATCTAGAGTTAATACAACTACCCGCAATCATCTAGAGTTGATACAACTACCCACAGTCATCTAGAGTTGATACAACTACCCGTAGCCATCTAGAGTTGATACAAATACCCTCAGCCATCTAGAGTTGATACAACTACCCGCAGCCATCTAAAGTTGATACAACTACCCATTGTCCACTAGAGATGACAGAACTACCCACACTCAACTAGAGTTGATACAACTACCCACAGCCAACTTGTGTTGATACAACTACCCACAGTCATCTAGAGTTAATGCAACAACCAACATGGGGTTTAACATCCACTCAACACAACTAGGTCATTTCTGAATTAACACGCGATTCAATTTTATTCTGATAATTCACTTGCACGTAGGGGTCTTTAGCAGTGGGAGGAAACCAGACTCCATGGAGAGGCAAGCCTACTCCTTGTCACGTGGAAATAAAACCATACCACTTGACTCAATGACAGACTTTCACCCCTGTTCCCAATAAGAAAAGAGTTAAGCATTACTTACAAAGAGAGAATCTGTAAATGCTATGGGTTTTATCTGAGCGTAATAAACAGCATACATAATAATAGGATGTATCAGGTAAGCACAGTATGTTAATCTACTCAATGGTATCAATGCTTTCCATGATAATATCACATTCACTGGACCTGTAATACACAAATTCAAAGTAAATCAATAAATGAATGAATGAATGAAAAGGCGTTTAATATCTTACTTTTCTGCAGCGACCGGGCAAATGAAGACTGGCATATGCCATACAATATGCTATGACGGGAAATTTGTCCGGACAGCACTTGAATTCCAACTCTCAGTGTATGCCAATGTGTACACAGGACCTTGTTTTTTTTGTCTCATTCGAACTACTAGTCACTGCTAGGACCTCCAGGTTAGTGAGCTAGCACCTTACTCTCTGAGCCACCGCTGATCCCACATTTAGATAGGAGAGAAATGGAGTTTAACGTCCACTCGACACAAACTAGGTCATTTTGGGACTAACATATGGTTCAATTTCATTTCAACAATTCGCTTGGGCGTAGGGGTCTTTAGCAGTGGGAATTAACCGGAGAAAACACATGTAGTTGAACAGGTGACACTACTCCTTGTCATGTACAAGGAATCAAAACCATGCCAGTTGACTCAATGAAAGATCTTATCATATAAAACGCATGCGCTAAACATTCGGCCACCCAAACCCCCAGAAAGGGAATAAACAAACATATTCATTAATATGACATTAATACACAGACGGAATAAACAAGTATATTCATTTACATAATTACACAATTACAAAACGAAATGGGATTTAAGGTTTCTGTTCCATCTGGGCTATTGAAGATGGACATACATCATATTATAGTGTGTGCAATGAGAGAAATTTGCCTGGACTGCAGGACTATGGTCTACTATTATTTTCGAATTCCAACTGACAAGGGTTATTTTCCATCAGCGCCAATGTGTATACGGGACCTCAGATTTCTGTCCCATCCTAATGACTAGACAGGTTTCGTTGTCAGGTCCTCCGTCTTGCAACATTGTACATTCACAGGAACTTTCTTGGCCAACGTCAAGATCGAATTTGCCCCCTCCCCTCCCCTCACACACTGTTAGGAAGCCAGTGCCTTACTCACTGAGCCAGTGAGGCTCATATGTAATACACGTTTAAGTGAAAGCCCTTACCTAGATCCTTTGTTACCAGATGGGAGAGAGAAGGGGGTTTAAAGTGTACTCGACATAGACTATTTCATTTAAGGACTAACATATGGTTCAATTTTATTTCCATAATTGGTTGGTGCGTAGCGGCCTTTAGCTGTGGAAGGAAATTGGAGGACCCGGAGAAAACTCACAAGGTTACCAGATTGTGTGAATATGTTACTTACCTCCATATCCCCCAACACAAGCTACAATAACCCAACATACACATGCACCCCATACAGTACGATTTACAGCATTATAAAATGCAGCTGTATCCACGGATATAGGATGACCTTGAGCAGTGTCATAGAGACCATAAAGAACAGCTAAAGCAGAAGCTGTGGAGACTGCCCAACCAGCAGCAACAAAAAGCTGTAATAAAATTGGAAATATATAACAAGGATAAACAAAGTTAAGAGAAAAAGTGCTTCATTTCTGATTGAAGAGGTTTGATAGAACACCTTTATGTCACAGAAGAGGTTTGATAGAACACCTTTATGTCACAGAAGAGGTTTGATAGAACACCTTTATGTCACAGAAGAGGTCTGATAGAACACCAATATTTGACTGATGAGGTTTGATAGAACACCAATATTTGACTGATGAGGTTTGATAGAACACCAATATCTGACCAATGAGGTTTGATAGAACACCAATATCTGACAGATGAAGTTTGATAGAACCTATATGACAGATAAGGTTTGATAGAACACCAATATCTGACCGATGAGGTTTGATAGAACACCAATATCTGAGAGATGAGGTTTGATAGAACACCAATATCTGAGAGATGAGGTTTGATAAAATACCAAGATTTAAACATGTCAACAGATAATTTGTCCCTTTTGTAAACAATCACTATTGCAAAGCATGATTCAAACCCAAGAATTTAAATTATTCTGGAAACGGCATATTTTTTTTATTTTACATTAGATCTGGAAATCAAGAATTCCTTAAGGATTTAAATAAACAGAGCTCTTTTTAAACCATTTTAAAGAGACAATTTTTAGGTTTACAAACTATTGATGATTTCGTGTTCCCTTTAAGACCTGTAGCAGCCATATTTTAGGTTTTTCATGCTATAATATAATATACAATAATACCTTGTTCCATCTGAAACGTAATTCTGTAACATAGAGATAATAACCAACCATGATGCCAATTATATATGGTCCCATTCTACACCATGGTGTAATATAGTACTTCAAGAAAAAGTCCATTGATGCTCTGAAAATAACCAAAGTAAAAAAACCTCATAGAAATATTGGTAATATGTATTAAAATGAAACAAGGCTTAATGTCCGACTCGGCTATTCGAGACGGCATACGCAATACAGTGTTCTATGAGGGAAATTTTGCCCGGACAGCGTCACTGGTCCATGGGGCCTACTCTTATTGTTAATTCCACTGCCAAGGGGTTTTTTTTTACGTTCACACAAATGTGTACATGGAACCTTGGTTTTTCGTATTATGTGAATGAAAATAAGTTGTACCATGCCAGGTCCCAAGTCCTGCACCACTGACAAGGGGGAACCACGCCGGAAAATCCTGATGAACTTTCTCTGTCAGTGAGCGATCGTCTTACTCACTGAGCCACTGTGGCCCCAATATTGGTAACAGCATCTTGCACTCGGCAAACCTCGGCAGATTCCGTTACTCCACATTTAGCCTCGGCTGTATGACGGTAAATGATATGTACCTACGCCTATACAATTGTGATGCGGCAACGGTTTACCTATTAGAAAAACTTGACCCTTTTAAAAAGAAATTATCAAAATTCTGTTGTTCGCATCTTCAATAGAAGGCTTGATCTCGCTTTAATTACGTATATCTTATCAAGGCCTTCACGTAATACCCTACATATTTCAGCACTAATTTCGATTGGGTACAAGCCCAACTTGTGAGCCTATCAGATTCCTCGATCGTCGTGAATACCAAGTCTCAGTGTTTCAAGCTAAAATGTCTACCTGTGATTATCGAGTTGCAAAGTTCAAGGTTCATTCAATGTCCAGGTTTCCGCTGAGGTCGCGATGTCACAACCTCTGATTGGACGCTACCGCTAACGTGTTTGTAGATAACATAGCTATAAGTTCGGGAATTGTGAAGTAAACAAGCAACAGCCAGATGTTGTGAAACTCGCAGTCGTTGCTTCAGGAACATGCGTCATTCGAAGCATGTGAAGAATTTTCAGTGCAAAGTTGTGATTGTTGGAAGAAAATCGGATAAACTTGAAAGAAAAACAGTTTCAGACTTTGAAATATTTGTATGATAAAACATTCTTAAAAGGCGTCGTTATCGGCAACGCCGTTGGTAATTCGGGAACTTGAAAGTAGTTCCAATGGCGGACTTCGTAATACAGTCGAGGCTAGATATAGGGTACTGGAATCTGCCGAGTGAGCATCATGGTTTTATGGAAATTTCACTTGAAGCTTACTAGGTTTATATTTTGAAGACGGGGTGACAACAATGTTGGCAAACAAGAATGGAATATTAAAATTTTTCAACTTACGGAGACGCTGTGGCGTTAGTACTAGTATTAGTACCTCCCATAGCCATAGGGGTTGCTGCCAAACCTGGAGCCATAGAATATGCTGCAGAAACAGCTCCAGCAGTAATGGTGGTGGTCAGCAAAAATACCGTTGATACCGCAAATCCTATGAATTTAGAACTAAAAAAGAAGGAGAAATGGGATTTAACTCAAACAACAAAGTACATGTCGTATGACTTTATGTTATGGGGGGGGGGGGGGGTGGCAAACAGTTAATGAGCGTGCAGGTTTGATCATAAGGACTGTCATTGAGTCAAGTGGCGTGACAAAGAGTATGGTCGCCTGTCCAACCTTGTGGGCTTTCTCCGGGTCCTCTGGTTTCCTCTCCCTGCTATAGATCTCCACGTACTAGCGGATTTTTGAAATAAAATTGATCCATGTTAATCAGAAATGTACTAGCCAGTGTCAAGTGGATGCTCTCTCTCTCTCTCTCTCTCTCTCTCTCTCCGGTCGCACATGAGATAAAATAGGAAGATAAGAAAGAAAACACACCCTCAACTTTTACACTTACACTTGTGTTAACAAAATCACACTTACATAAAAGACAGCTTACCTACAGCTCACTCGATACCCTTACAGATGGTAGCAATTTTTGGATTGTGAGAATTCAAATCTGGAAAATTCACTCATGTATCCAAGTATATACTTACTAGAAAAATGGAACAATCAACAATGGACATAATATATAAAACTGCATGTCATTGGCCAGATACCAGGACCATCCCATACACTACAAATAAACATTAGATTATAATCATTTGGAAAGTATTTCAATAAATGGATTCACAATTTAACAAGTTTTGCTATGGATGGCTCAACGATAAGATTTTGTCCCGAAATGTCCCCTGTGCCAACCTTCTTTGTTTACAGCTGATAAAGACAGCTGCTTGAATCCCTGACCAGGTAGTCCCGGGTTCAATCCCGAGGATTTTGAAGTCTGGTTTACCCTGAAAAGCATCTGAATACCACAGAAAAATTTGAAAATCTAGTCGTTCAGATGGGCAAAGGGAGACTCACAAACTAGGTCATTATGGGACTAACATGATTCAATCTTATTTCAATAATTCTCTTTGCATGTACGGGTCTTTAGCTGTGGGAGGAAACGAGGTTGGACAGATGACCCTACTCTTTGCCATGTACAAGCAGGTCATCGAAACCACACCACTTGACTCAATGACAGACCAAGAGAGAGAGAGAGAGACGGAGAGAGAGAAGGAGAGAGAGAGGGTTTAATGTCCACTCGACACAAACCAGGTCATTTCAGGACTAACACATTGTTCAATTTTATTACAATAAATCGCTTGCACGTAGGGGTCTTTAGCAGTGTGAGGAAACCCGGGGAAAACCCATGAGGTTGGACAGGATCAGGATCGAAGATAGGGCTTCCTGGTTAGTGAGCCAGTACCATACATGTATTGACATGGAATTGTAGAATATATAAAATTCAGATATTTCAAAAGAAAAGGAACAGAATCTAATATATCCAATCTACAAGTAATTAAATATAATCTTTTACTTTTTCTTACAATCCAAATGATAACAAGGGCCATAACACTAACAATAATTAACAGAAATTGTTGAAATTACATAGGTGTCTTCTTTTCACCAATTTGAACAATACACATATTTTATACACCCAACCCGGAAGGAAGCAAATTAATATAAGCCTACTTTGCTTGTTTTTTTTGTATCCTATTCTTTAGGCCTTTCAATTATACAATATTTTCGAAATATATAGTGTTTAAACGAAATTCCAAGAAGATCAGGTGAAAAGTGTTTAAAAGCAATATCTGAATATGTGCATTTAAAAAAGCTTTAAAAAAAGTCAAGATGGAGTAAAAAAACATACAGACATGAAAAGACATTGCATAAAAGTGAAATCAAGTGAATGGATCCGGGGACCGGCATCCATTGTGCTGTGCAATTGCTTAGTACCAGAACACAGCAGTAATTCCAGAAATTACTTACTACCACAACCCACAAAGTAATTCCAGAAATTACTGAGTACGACAACTCAAGTAGTCATTTCAGCAATTACTTAGTACCGCAACTCAAGTAGTAATTCCTGCAATTACTCAGTACCACAACTCAAACAGCAATTCCTGAAATTACTTAGTACGACAACCTAAGTAGTAATTTCTGCAATTACTTAGTACAACAACCCAAGTAGTAATTCCTGAAATTACTTAGTATGACAACCTAAGTAGTAATTACTGCAATTACTTAGTACCACAACACAAACAGCAATTTCATAAATCACTTAGTACCACAATTCAAGCAGTAATTCCTGCCATTACTTAGTACCACAACACAAGCAGTAATTTCAGAAATTACTTATGCTAAGTTCCCACTGTCGTGTGATGAATTACGATAGATTGTCACTATCAAGTCCACGATCTGGTACGTGCAGATACGTTTCGATACAATCAACACAATTGCGACGAGTGACCTCAATATATGATTAGACCCGATAGGATCACCACGATTACTCTGTGAATAAAACCACGATTTCAATCGCAGCATAGATCGTGATAGTGGGAACCTAGTATTAGTAGCACAACCAGCAGTAATTACAATTATTTAAGTAAGAATAGGAATTGCTCAGTACCACAACCCATGTAGTAATTGCAATTAAGTAACAAGCATGTAAGAACAGCAACATATTAGAAGCACATTCCACACAAAACTACAATTACACATTATGCTTTTATCTATGTAGTTACCACAACCCATGCAGTAAAACAGTAACTACTTAGTACAGTAACTACTTAGTACTACAATAGCTCATGCAGTAAAAAGAGAACTTAGTACTACAATAGCTCATGCAGTAAAAAGAGTACTTAGTACTACAATACTGCAGTAACAACAGTAACTACTCAGTACTACAATAGCCCATGCAGTAACAACAGTAACTACTTAGTACTACAATAGCTCATGCAGTAAAAACAGTAACTACTTAGTACTACAATAGCTCATGCAGTAAAAAGAGTACTTAGTACTACAATAGCTCATGCAGTAAAAAGAGTACTTAGTACTAAAATAGCTCATGCAGTAACAACAGTAACTACTCAGTACTACAATAGCCCATGCAGTAACAACAGTAACTACTCAGTACTACAATAGCCCATGCAGTAACAACAGTAACTACTCAGTACTACAATAGCCCATGCAGTAAAAAGAGTAACTACTTAGTACTACAATAGCTCATGCAGTAACAACAGTAACTACTCAGTACTACAATAGCTTATGCAGTAACAACAGTAACTACTCAGTACTACAATAGCTCATGCAGTAACAACAGTAACTACTCAGTACTACAATAGCTCATGCAGTAACAACAGTAACTACTCAGTACTACAATAGCTCATGCAGTAAAAACAGTAACTACTTAGTACTACAACAGCTCATGCAGTAACAACAGTAACTCCTTAGTACTACAACAGCTCATGCAGTAACAACAGTAACTACAATAGCTCTCACAGTAAAAACAGTAACTACTTAGTACTACAATAGCTCGTGCAGTAATTACTTACACCTTCTTTTACTTTAACCAAATTATTGACATAAAGTAAATTTGTCCACCAGGATTCACAGTGGTTGGGTTCTATTCCCTGTTGTGGCCATGCTGGTCCGTTTGCCAGATACGGAAATAGTGGAACGTACAGCAACAGTAATAACATGTAGGGAGGAGTCAACCTAGAACAATAAGCCAGTCAAACTTACAATTTCATTAGTTTTTACTATATTATTGACATAGAGAAGATTGGTCCACCATCCTTCACACTGGTTTATTTCCACGCCTTTTTGGGGCCATGATGGTCCATTGGTAAAATAGGGGAATAAAGGTACATACAACAACATCAAGAACATATAGGGCGGGGTCAACCTAAAATATAATCATTTATACAGTTTAAAATTACTTTTTTTTATTTCAATAGGCCATTAACGAGCTACTAGTCTCAATCATTTAGCCATGTAGTCCAGTTTGTCATTATAGACCAACTACTGAAATTTAATTTCATAATTCATATAAATGAAATAGGGTTTAACGTCCTACTTTCCTGCACCGACTGGGCTAATGAAGTCTGACATACACCAAGCAGTGTGCTATGAGGGAATTAAAGAGCTACTAGTCTCAATCATTTAGCCTTGTAGTCCAGTATGTCATTACAGATCAACTACTGAAATTTTATTTCATAATTCATATAAATGAAATGGGGTTCAACGTCCTACTTTCCTGCACCGACTGGGCTAATGAAGTCAGACATACACCATGCAGTGTGCTATGGGGGGAATTTTGCCTGGACAGCGGCACTACAACCTACTCTTATATCGCAGTCCAACTGCCATGGGTTATTTGCATCAATAAAGTGCTTGATCAATCAAAATGTACGAAACAAACCTCCAGTATCTGTGAAAATAAAACATAAACCAATTTAGTTTTCCTTCAGTTTTCTTCAGTTCTTTTAATGTTAAATACGATATCAACAAACCACTGAAAATAAATAAATTAAAATCTCTTCATGTGTCCAAGGTGAAGTGGGAAAGAAATGGGGTTTACGTCCACTATACAAACTAATTCTGGACTAAAATATGGATGAATTGTATTTCAATAGAGGTCTTTAACAATGGAGTACCACAAGGTTGGACAAGCGACCCTATTTCTTGCCACCTACAATGTACAAGTGGGGAGTCGAAAGAACACCAATTGACTCAATGACAGACCATGTCCAGTATGTAAATGAAATAAATCAGGGTTTAACATCCTACTTATCTGCACCAACTGGGCTAATGAAGATGGGCATGCACATTGCAGTATTTTATTAGCAAACTTTGCCCAGACATCGGAACTATGTCCTTCTCGTATTTCAAATTTAAACTGTCCAAAGGGTTCTTTTACATACATGTCAATGTGTACATTGGATCTCAGTTTTTCTTACCAATCCGGACGACTAGACATCGTTCCCAACCAGAACCTGATCTACAGCACTGTGGGGAAACCACAGAAAAGAATCACGAGGAGCTTTCATGGCTAATACAAGGACTGAACCTAAAGCTAACAATGCAAGTTCTTCAGACAGAACAGTAAACTCAGGAAATTTCAAGAATATTAGCAGAAACATAGCTGTTCTCATAAAATTCCATATTCTTTGATTGCCAATGTCATCATAAAATGTTATTTATTTATGAAAACCATGAAGAATAAGTGAAAATTTTACCTCAAGGTAAAGAAAGTATCAACAGAAACAGTTGCATTACTGATAGCTTGAAATGTAAATCTCTTCAACAGTGGTGGAAAATAAGTTGCAAAGTTCTCTGCAAAAAAATTACCAATATTTGTGAGAAATACAATATTCAAAGTATCAATTAAAAACTTTTTTTAGTGCCAAGAATGATTTAATTGATCGACAATGGGTCAAAGTATCAATAAAAACTATTTTTTGTGCCAAGAAAAATTTGATTGATTACAGAAATTAATTTTACCTATCATTGAAGAAGGCAACTACATCTGATTATGATTTTGAAAGAAAGATTTTTTTCAAACAAAAACATTTTGATAAGTTTCTCTCTAGTAATCTACGTTATTGAGTACTGATGACTACAAGTCGGGTATCGTGTACTCCTGTTGTTTTTGCGGGACTGTCTGTATTTAATGTTTAGAAGCCCATTGTTTTCCCGCTAGTTATTGTCATGAGTTAGTATCCAAATACAGCCTACTTCATCCACTACAAGTCAGGTATCATGTACTTTTGTTGTTTTAGCGGGACTTTCTGTATTTAATGTTTACAAGATATTGTCAGAGTTAGTATCCATATACAGCCTCCTTCATCCACTACAAGTTGGGTATTGTGTACTCTTGCTATTTTGGCGGGACTTTCTGTATCTAATGTTTAGTTTCATACCACTGTTGGAAAATTGCTAAAATTTATTAAGAATAAATGAAAAATGTTGGATTTCTATTGTCCTGTAATTTAAAATGCTCCATCTAGATTAAATAATGAGTGTCAGGTTTACGAGCGCTTACTTTCCCAGGCATTGTCGAGTAATTAACAGACTAATTAGTAATCTAAGATGTTTAATTAGCAGGTGAATCATGATTAGATTTATCCAATGATTGATTTAGCTGAAATCACTAATATTTATGGGTTTAATATTTTGATTATCTTGCCTAGTTTTAGAAAATGTGACGAGCTTTAGATTTTGCAATACAGATCTGAATTCTCTACTAAATTTGTAGATTTATTAATTACGCTCCTGTTCTCGAATGAATCCTGCAATGTTGTTATGAATTCTATATTATTAACCCTTTGCGTTATTCCCTATTGATTGTGTTGATTGTAGTGGATGAAGGAGGCTGTATTTGCATAATAACTCTAACAATAGCTGGCAGAAATCAATAGGATTCTTTTCGCACAATCACAAACACTGCATATAAATTTCAGTCAATCGAAGAAGAACTTTGGCATCTACGGTGCTGGGTGAAGACAATATATGAACAAAACTTTGACGTAGAAGAACAATGAAAAAGTAATTTACCAAGGTTTCCAATAGCAAAGACTAAAGTGTGTCCGAGAATAACCCATGTCATTGAGAAGAAACGGATTCCGTGAATACATTGTAAGCTTCCTTTAGGTTGTTTTGTACTTAATATCTTCAAACCATTGGAATAAGCAGAGAATGATAATAAAGCTTTCCCACATATTCCTGAAACAAACAAAAAATAATTTGATTGATAATATTCAAATAGGTTGTTGCTGTTCTTGGTGTTTAATGTCTTCCACCGAGGGTGATGTATCGCAGTCAATTCTTATTTTTATTGTCTTAGCGCACACGCAAGAATCTTTCCTGTTGAAGAGAGAGAAATGGGGTTTAATGTCCACTTGACACAAACCAGGTCATTTCGGGACTAACACACGGTTCAATTTTATTTCAATAATTCACTTGCGCGTAGGGGGTCTTAAGCAGTGGGAGGAAACCAGAGGACCAGGAGAAAACCCACGAGGATGGACAGGTGACCCTACTGCTTGTTACGTACTACCGGGGAATCGAAATCACGCCAGTTGACTCAATGACAAACCTTATGATACAGTGTGCACATGCTAACCATTCGGCCATCCAACCCCCCATTCGATATAAGATTCTCCCTGTTAGACCAGTCAGTGCAGAACAGTAGGATGTTAAACCCCATTTCATTCCATTAATATAATTTTGACACAAAACTTTGTTTGGCTTTCTAAAAAAAAATATGGAAGAGCATTGACCTACCAGGCTCCATCGAATTATTGTCTATGGAAGTTTTTGTTTCTCCGATTAACGGAGTATTTTCATCTGAGTGGCGATGATATTTGATATTCATTGAACCATTGGCTTCCTGGTTGGAATTCAAATTGCCATCATCCTCATCAGCTGACTGCGACCATTTTGGCATCTGTACAAACATGAAGTCGTACAGGGTGCCAATCACAAGCAACAAACCGAAAATAGTTCCGACAACACTGTAAAAAGAAAACGAATACGGTACAGTTCTGACAACACTGTAAAATAAAGAAAACGAATATAGTTCCAACAGAACACTGTAGAAAAAAAACAAACCAAATATAGTTCCGACAACACTGTAAAATCAACAAAACTATAAAATTTTTTAAAAAAAATATAGTTCCAACAACAGCCTAATATAAACAAACTGAATATAGTTCCGACAACACTGTAAAAAAAAAATCAAAAACTAATATAGTTCCAACAACACAACAATGTAAAATAAAGAAACAGAATATAGTTGCGACAAAACTGTAAAAAAATAAAAAAAACAAATATAGTTCCAACAACGCTGTAATATAAACAAACTGAATATAGTTCCGACAACACTGTACAAAAAAAAAATGAATATAGTTCCAACAACACTGTACCGAAAACAAAAAAGAAACGAATATAGTTCTGAGAACACTGTAAAAAAAAAAAACCCAAAAAACGAATTTAGTTCTGACAACACTGTAAAATAAACAAACCAAATATAGTTTTGACAACACTGTAAAATAAACAAGGACAACTAATATGTTGAAATTTCACTGAAATTAGTTTATTCTGAGCCAAGTTATTTTTAATTCTTTTGATCCGTGAATATGGTCCTGGCTCAATAAACACTAAGTCCCAGCCCCAGGTTACTAGTGATGGCTGCAAAAGTTCCTTAGTCTTTAGGCTCACTAACACAAGGCCCAAAGTTTCTAGTGATGGCTGCAAAAATTCCCTAGTCCTCAGGCTCATTAACACAACACAAGGTTCCTGTCCCAGGTTCCTGGTGATGGATGAGAAAATCCCTTAGACTCACTAAACACAAGGTTCCAGGCCCAGGTTTCTGGCGATGGCTAATCCTAATGACTAGATTACACCACTGACAAAAGGAAACCACGTCGGAAAATCCCAATGAACTTTCTCAGCCAACACTTGGATTGAACCTGCGATCTCCAGGCTAGCGAGCTAGCATCTTACTCAATTAGCCACCGTGGCTTCCTAGGCTGGTTGGTGCAGAAAAGTAGGATTCCATTTCATTTTATATAATTAGTGTAAGGGAAAGCATCTAGTCCAACCGTGTGCTTGTTGCCAGGCACATAAAAGGTCCATTCATAGTTGAAATTTCATGAAAAGTAGTCAAAAATTTCATGAAAGCACATGGCGTGCCATATGCCAGTCTTCATTAGCTCGATTGGTACACCCTATTTCATGACATCCTAAATCTAGGATATACAAATATACTACCAATACTTACATGGCTGCTATAGCTTTTGAGTCATATTCTAAATCTTCATTCTGACATCTTGATGTTAAATTACTGAATTGAAAACCAATCTTTAAACCAGTGATATTAACTAGTTCATGCAGAGCTGAAACCAAAAATATATACTGGTCACTAGAAATATAAACAGGATATGGTCCCCAACACTAATCATTGATCTGTCTATAGAGGGTTATAAATAGCACAAACAAGAGATGTTCCCAACACTAGTCATTAACCAGGCTGGAAAAAGCAAACACATGAGATGGTCCCCAATAATAATCACCTAACTGAGAGAGAGAGAGAGATGAGAGAGAGAGATGAGAGAGAGAGAGAGAGAGAGATGGGGTTTACATTTTGGGACTGACATATGGTTCAATTCCATTTCAATCATTTGCACGTGCATAGGGGTCCTTAGCACTGGGAGGAAACCGAAGGATCCGGAAAAAAAACTCACGAGGTTGGACAGGCGACCCTATTCCTTCTTGCCACATACAAGCAGGGATTTGAATCCATGCCACTCGACCAAATGACAGACCTTATGATTTCATGCGCATGCGTTTTTAAAAACCACTAGACCACCCAATCCCCCAATCATTGAACCATCTAGATGCTTAGAAATACGATAAACAGGATGGAAGCTGATGAGGAGTATGAGGAGTACCTCAGTCAGGGCAAAACATTGTGAGCACAAAAAAACAGTTGTATGTTCAATCTGATTAAAACACAGATCCTATTTCGTTTCATTTTTACAGTTCAAAATTTTGTTTTACTTGTCTTTACTACACCAGGATCTAGAAGAGTTGTTATATTACTGGCGTTTTGGTTGAAGTGAGGAATTAGCCAAAGAAACGATCTGTTATGGTGAGTTCTTAGCCTTTTGATGCACGGAACTGTGGGTAAACTACTAGAAACGTCAACACTGATTGATTAATCAATGTCTGATGTCATAGTGTCAAAAGTCGCTCATTTGACCCCAGACGTGAACTCCCACTATAACATGTCAGATCTTTATGTAGTGTAGGCCATCGATAAATATAAAAAATGAAACGAAATATAGATCTGTATTTTAATCAGATAGACGTATGTTAGTACGAAAATGACAAACGTATTCTGCTGACAAGGTATATAACTCCCTTCCTATCCTATAAAAAGTTACCTACCATCGTTAAGTAGAAGAACCATATCTTTGGCTGAACACGAGTTTGGGAGACATATTCCTAGTTGTACACCTACTGATGGCATGGGAGAAGCTGGCTGAAAATGTAAACCATAATTGGTATTCATTAGCGTTCAAATAACTGTTCTTCTCCGACTGGGCTAATGAAGACGGGCATTCGCCATGCAGTGTGCTATGAGGGAAATTTTGCCCGGACAGTGGCACGAAGGCCTACTTTTATATCGAATTCCAACTGCCAAGGGATCTTTTACCTGCATGCCAATATGTACACAGGACCTCGTTTTTTTTTGTGCCATCCGAAAGACTAGACAGCTGTCCTTGGTCAACAATGGGATTGACTCCAATATCTCCTGGTTAGTGAGCAGCGGCATATTTGATCTGGATTCTGGACACCGATATTCGATCTGGACACCTATATTTGACTGGACACCTGTATTTATTCAGTAAACTATATTAATTTTGGAAATTTGAATATTATTCACCATGTCTTGATGTTCGATTGGGCATATTCCTGGTCGGACAATCCCATCCCTTAATCAGTACACATATATTTGTTCTGGACACCTATGTTCGACTGGACACTTGTATTTATTCTGGATATAACTTACCGTAGCTGATGTTTCTGGTGTAAAAGGTAAAACTGCCGTACAATATTGTCCCTTAAACTGTATTTCCCCTGTGTCCGTAGTCTGGTTGACCTCTGTGTAAGGTGCCCGGATAGCAATACACTCATCATAAGATCCAACCCAATTCAACTCAAACTGTAAAATACCAGACGAAGGCTTCCCAAACGAATCAAACACTGAAAAAATAAAATATGGCAAAATAAATAAATGATCAACCTCTTTGAGTAAGGTAAAAATAAAGTATTGAATTGGGTTTATCTGATGTGTTGTTTCAATTAAAGGAGTCACGATGGTTAGCCAAGGCTAACGTCTGCTCACAAAATAGAAAATCTCTGGTTTGATCCCTGAGAGACTTGATTGGATGATAAAAATAGACACGCTCCGTCAAAAACCAAAGTTTTTGCTCTCACTACGGAAAAGGCAAGAGAAGGATTTCTTGGGACCATTGCTTCTCGGAAAATGCCACAATAGCAATGGATTTAGAAAAAAAATGGATAAAGAACCACAATAAACCAAGGGTCTTCCATTTTTCACATTTATTGGCATAAGATACATGTATGTACATGTAGGAATGGAAGATTGAATGATCCTATCATGATGAGCCTTCAAAAAGTAAATAATAGGTTGCCAAGAATTCCATTAAAGCCATCGCAATGTAAATAATAAACAGAAATAAGCTCACTTAAACATACATTATGCAAGAGCTAAATCTGCCTTTTGCTGGTCTTTCTTTAGGCCTGAAATGTTATCTAAATTATTAATTAGACATTAATTAACTTATCCAGACCATATTCAACTCTGGATTGCATCGATTAGGTTCCGATTTCCTGTTCGACTTTCATTAATAATTAAATCAAGAAATGGATAATCGAGACTATGTTTTTTATCGTACTGACTTTAGTAATGATGATCAAGACTATGCTGAAAATTCAATCGCTAAAATCTTGGTTCAGAGTGGATCAATTTGACTGAAATTTTCAGCAAATTCCCATTACATTATCTAGTTTTTAACTATTATAGTTAGAACTGCCAGCTCTTTATCTAATCTCCCATAATGTATCTTTAAATTATGAATTGAAACAGGTCAGATACATTGGGGTTTGTGCTACTACTTTTCACATAAATCTGGACCACCTTAAGAAAAATTCGGATAGAAAAAGTGTGAGCCTACATATACATGTATGATCATCTTCACTGGCTAAGGCTTATGATTCGCTTTTCTTCAACTTCACCCTTGGCAGATCTTAATAAACATTTTGAGGATTCACGGTTCAAGATTTCATTGGTTATAGCTATCAGTAGCGGCATCAAATCAGAAGACGTTTTACGCAGAGCACATGTATATCGGAGAAATGTAAACAAACATGGCAGCGGACACAGGGTCTTATTGCCTAAACAACACAGAAGAACCATATTTTCTGTCTGTCAAAGCAGTTAAACTTTTCACCTGGTTGACAGTTAGTCCTAAATTAAATTTATGACATCAATTTTTCTGTACTTGGCCCGGCCATTTTCAACTCTCAAACATACGCATAACAAAACGATTTTGATTGGCTAGCGATGATGTCTATGTAATGGGTGTAACTTCGATATATCACCAGGTGGCACTGCGCGAAGACCAAAATGTATTCGAGATCTGCCAAGGGTGAAGTTGAAGAGAAGCGAAACGCAACTCTTGGCCAGTGAAGATGACATATGATATATATGTACCCACAGCAAAATGATTGACATCCATTTCTTTTAATATGACCGGAAAAATAATTTCATGCACAATTTTACTTGGGACATTGTGGACCCCTAAGGGAATTCGAGGACTTCAGTTTGGAAAACACTTGTAGCGTCCTTCCACTTTTATCAGTTATTATTTGCACGAATAATTCATGTACAGACATACACGGTAACATAATATGTTTTTTTTATAGTTTTCTATAATGTTTGCTAAAAAAAGGCATGTGATTAAATGTCAATATATAGGACTGAGACCCATCCTATTTTATAACAACAATACATTGAGGGCAGTCAAGTTCATCTGATATTAAACAAAGTTATCATGCAAACATGAATGATGATTATTTATAGCTATGATATGGTATAGGCCTATCAAGAGTACATGTTATAGGCCTATATAGAGGACATTGCATTTTGTATTATCAATATTTAGGTTTATCTGATTAAATGAAAGTACAAATGGTAGACTGATTTTGTCAGGAGTGGCAGTCAATAGTTTACCAGTTCATGGCTTAATTATTGCTATCACTCTTTACTATGTAATATACATGTAACTGTCATTACTTCTGTATGACTTCTTACATTATTCCTAGCCATTGTACGACTTCTCGCATCATTTCTATTCAATGAATGGATTCTTGCATCATTTCTACTCTATGATGTCTTGCATCATTCGTACGCTATGAATGACTTCTCGCATCATTCCTACATTATGAATGACTTACCGCACCATTCCTACTCTATGTATGACTTCTCGCATCATTCCTACTCAACTTCTCGCATCATTCCTACTCTATGTATGACTTCTCGCATCACTTCTATTCTATGAATGACTTGTCGCATCACTTCTACTCTATGAATGACTTGTCGCATCATTCCTACTCTAGTATGAATGACTTTCCGCATCATTCCTACTCGACTTCTCACATCATTCCTACTCTATGTATGACGTCTTACATCATTTCTACTCTATGAATGACTTCTCACACCATTCTTACTCTATGAATGACTCCTATCTATGAATGACTTCTTGCATCATTCCTACTCGACTTCTCACATCATTCCTACTCTATGTATGATGTCTTACATCATTTCTACTCTATGAATGACTTCTCACACCATTCTTACTCTATGAATGACTCCTATCTATGAATGACTCCTCACTTCGGTTCTACCCTATGAGTGGCATTTGACATTATTTCTAACCTATGAACGACTTCACACATCATTTCTGCTCTATGAATGTCATCAGTTCCATTTCCTGAAAGGAAATGGGGTCTAAGGTCCTAGTTTTCTGCACAAACTCAGTTAATGTAGTGTGTGTTTAAGCCTACTCTTTCTCAGATTCCAACTGATACAAAGTTTATATACTAATATCTCCCCCCACCTTGCTTTATATAACATTGTTCATATAAGATTTAACTCTATCATTATACTATAAGATTACATCAAGTGCCGGTAGTCTACAGTACAGATTTAAGAAACTATAGGTTGTCAGCGTTGTTAATCCACTCGTTTTACAATGAGCACAAAATAAATGAAATGGAATAGGGTTTCATGACCTACACTTATGCATTAAATGAAATGGAATAGGGTTTCATGACCTACACTTATGCATCAACAGGGCTAATGAAAACGGGTACCAGGGCTGCCGAAAACCAGTAGCGCAGCACAATTTGCGATACATATCTTGTCCGTTGCTAATCAAAAATTATAATCTAACGCTTTTGATTCGCAGTAACCACAAATGATTAATATGCCTGTCATTTTGTGATCTTGCCACGAAGATTCATTCACATTTTGAAGACTAGAAGGCTTTCTCAACACTTTCAATGTGTATAAAATGACAAATAAAATTTTATAAACAAAACTGAATTCTCCATCTGACAGTCTCTTCTCGAACTAACCAGACACAATTCATTATGCTATATAATACAGGGACATAACTCTATGAATAGAGACCATAGATATACTATATATCTTCATAGGATATCTATGATAGGGACTATTAAACCGGAAATAGGGAATCAAGTAGTACCACTCATGTTGCGAGACATGTCAATTTCGAGTAATTATATCAGTATTCAATTTGAAAAAAATAAATCTAGAGTATTCCCCACATATTGTAAATAAAATGTAAAAAAATAAATACATGTAAACAAACATATTGTAAAATTAGAAATCAAAGTAAGAATTCACGTAAAATATTATTGTTTATATCGTGTGTGTCTATATTAATCAAGTTTATTGGTTAATTTCCTTGTGTGTCCAATTGAACAAAAATAGTAACACACCATAAAAAGCCCTCAAAATTTTTTTCAGACGAAGAAATGCCAATTAAAATGAGTGGTGCTTCGGAAGCCACTGCAAGAATTGGTTTCAGACAAACACCTAACCAAAAGTCAACATCACATTCACAAACTGTCACAGCTACCTGTAGCAGTGCTAAAAAAATTTAAGAATGAAATCTAATCATTTTTATGAATTAAAGTAATATCTTGTTATTTACTTGTTGTATGTTGAAACTGAAAAACTGCTAATCAAATTTGGCAAAATTGGACTTTTTGATTAGCAGTACTGCTAATCAACTGTGAAAAATTACCGACAGCCCTAACGGGTACCGGTATGCGCAATACAGCGTGTTATGAGTGAAAATTTTGTTCGAACAGCGGCACTTTCGCCTACCCTTATATCAAAATTCCAACTACCAAGGGTTCCCATATGTGCACGCCAATGTGTAATTAAACTATTAGGTACTAAATTAACCTGAACCTAAATATATTACACCAAAACCTTATTACATTATTATGGAATCAACGACAAATCTAAACTTGGGAAGCCCAACCCTTTTTTTTTTAAATACTTAGACATTTTTATTTGCCAATACATTTTTATCAGGCAGAGAAACAGAATGTGCCAAAATCATCTTGAAACAAGTCCATATTTACATATGAACAAATATTTTGAGCATATACTATTGTCACAGGAATAAAATGGTGCACCTGCTGACTGCTAAGGGAAGATTAGAATGACAGCAACCATTACAAAAAATCCTGAGTTACAGTCCTAGATATTGGCCTTTGGTATTCTAATTTTATCCTGGGAGCTACTGTAGCGTAGCCTATATAGAAGGAAAATGAAAATGAAATGGGGTTTAACGTCCTACTGTTCTGCTCCTAAACTGGGCTAATGAAGACGGGCATACGCCATACAGTGTGCTATGAGGGAAATTTTGCCCGGGCAGCGGCGCTACGGCCTACTCTTATATCGAATTCCAACTGCCAAGGGATATTTTACGTGCACGCCAATATGTATACGGGACCATGTTTTTTCGTCCCATCCGAACGACTAGACAGCTGTCCTTGTCAGGCCCTCCGTCCTGCATCACTGACAAAGGGGAAACCACGCCAGAAAATCTGTATGAACTTTCTCGGCCAATGCAGGGATC